AATGTACTTCGTTCAGTTACGTATTGCTCTAAGCCTAAGCCTAAGCCTAAGCCTAAGCCTAAGCCTGAGCCTCAGCTCCTCTAAGCCTAAGCCTAAGCCTAAGCCTAAGCCTAAGCCTAAGCCTAAGCCTAAGCCTAAGCCTAAGCCTAAGCCTAAGCCTAAGCCTAAGCCTAAGCCTAAGCCTAAGCCTAAGCCTAAGCCTAAGCCTAAGCCTAAGCCTAAGCCTACAAGCCTAAGCCTAAGCCTAAGCCTAAGCCTAAGCCTAAGCCCTAAGCCAGCCTAAGCCTACAGCGCTCCTGAACCTAAAGCCATAAAGCCTAAAGCCAAGCCACAAAGCCTCAAGCCTCAGCCTCAGTCCCTAAGCTGAGCCTGAGCTCTAAAGCAAACCTGAATTAAGCCTAAGCCCTCAGCCTAAGCCGTAAGCCTAGCCTAAGCCTAAAGCCTAAGCCTAGAGCCCACAAAGCCTAAAGCCTAAGCCTAAAGCCTAAGCCTACAGCCTCAGCCTAAGCCTAAGCCTAAGCCTAAGCCTAAGCCTAAGCCTAAGCCTAAGCCTAAGCCTAAGCCTAAGCCTAAGCCCCTAAGCCTAAGCCTAAGCCTAAGCCTAAGCCTAAGCCTAAGCCTAAGCCTAAGCCTAAGCCTAAGCCTAAGCCTAAGCCTAAGCCTAAGCCTAAGCCTAAGCCTAAGCCTAAGCCTAAGCCTAAGCCTAAGCCTAAGCCTAAGCCTAAGCCTAAGCCTAAGCCTAAGCCTAAGCCTAAGCCTAAGCCTAAGCCTAAGCCTAAGCCTAAGCCTAAGCCTAAGCCTAAGCCTAAGCCTAAGCCTAAGCCTAAGCCTAAGCCTAAGCCTAAGCCTAAGCCTAAGCCTAAGCCTAAGCCTAAGCCTAAGCCTAAGCCTAAGCCTAAGCCTAAGCCTAAGCCTAAGCCTAAGCCTAAGCCTAAGCCTAAGCCTAAGCCTAAGCCTAAGCCTAAGCCTAAGCCTAAGCCTAAGCCTAAGCCTAAGCCTAAGCCTAAGCCTAAGCCTAAGCCTAAGCCTAAGCCTAAGCCTAAGCCTAAGCCTAAGCCTAAGCCTAAGCCTAAGCCTAAGCCTAAGCCTAAGCCTAAGCCTAAGCCTAAGCCTAAGCCTAAGCCTAAGCCTAAGCCTAAGCCTAAGCCTAAGCCTAAGCCTAAGCCTAAGCCTAAGCCTAAGCCTAAGCCTAAGCCTAAGCCTAAGCCTAAGCCTAAGCCTAAGCCTAAGCCTAAGCCTAAGCCTAAGCCTAAGCCTAAGCCTAAGCCTAAGCCTAAGCCTAAGCCTAAGCCTAAGCCTAAGCCTAAGCCTAAGCCTAAGCCTAAGCCTAAGCCTAAGCCTAAGCCTAAGCCTAAGCCTAAGCCTAAGCCTAAGCCTAAGCCTAAGCCTAAGCCTAAGCCTAAGCCTAAGCCTAAGCCTAAGCCTAAGCCTAAGCCTAAGCCTAAGCCTAAGCCTAAGCCTAAGCCTAAGCCTAAGCCTAAGCCTAAGCCTAAGCCTAAGCCTAAGCCTAAGCCTAAGCCTAAGCCTAAGCCTAAGCCTAAGCCTAAGCCTAAGCCTAAGCCTAAGCCTAAGCCTAAGCCTAAGCCTAAGCCTAAGCCTAAGCCTAAGCCTAAGCCTAAGCCTAAGCCTAAGCCTAAGCCTAAGCCTAAGCCTAAGCCTAAGCCTAAGCCTAAGCCTAAGCCTAAGCCTAAGCCTAAGCCTAAGCCTAAGCCTAAGCCTAAGCCTAAGCCTAAGCCTAAGCCTAAGCCTAAGCCTAAGCCTAAGCCTAAGCCTAAGCCTAAGCCTAAGCCTAAGCCTAAGCCTAAGCCTAAGCCTAAGCCTAAGCCTAAGCCTAAGCCTAAGCCTAAGCCTAAGCCTAAGCCTAAGCCTAAGCCTAAGCCTAAGCCTAAGCCTAAGCCTAAGCCTAAGCCTAAGCCTAAGCCTAAGCCTAAGCCTAAGCCTAAGCCTAAGCCTAAGCCTAAGCCTAAGCCTAAGCCTAAGCCTAAGCCTAAGCCTAAGCCTAAGCCTAAGCCTAAGCCTAAGCCTAAGCCTAAGCCTAAGCCTAAGCCTAAGCCTAAGCCTAAGCCTAAGCCTAAGCCTAAGCCTAAGCCTAAGCCTAAGCCTAAGCCTAAGCCTAAGCCTAAGCCTAAGCCTAAGCCTAAGCCTAAGCCTAAGCCTAAGCCTAAGCCTAAGCCTAAGCCTAAGCCTAAGCCTAAGCCTAAGCCTAAGCCTAAGCCTAAGCCTAAGCCTAAGCCTAAGCCTAAGCCTAAGCCTAAGCCTAAGCCTAAGCCTAAGCCTAAGCCTAAGCCTAAGCCTAAGCCTAAGCCTAAGCCTAAGCCTAAGCCTAAGCCTAAGCCTAAGCCTAAGCCTAAGCCTAAGCCTAAGCCTAAGCCTAAGCCTAAGCCTAAGCCTAAGCCTAAGCCTAAGCCTAAGCCTAAGCCTAAGCCTAAGCCTAAGCCTAAGCCTAAGCCTAAGCCTAAGCCTAAGCCTAAGCCTAAGCCTAAGCCTAAGCCTAAGCCTAAGCCTAAGCCTAAGCCTAAGCCTAAGCCTAAGCCTAAGCCTAAGCCTAAGCCTAAGCCTAAGCCTAAGCCTAAGCCTAAGCCTAAGCCTAAGCCTAAGCCTAAGCCTAAGCCTAAGCCTAAGCCTAAGCCTAAGCCTAAGCCTAAGCCTAAGCCTAAGCCTAAGCCTAAGCCTAAGCCTAAGCCTAAGCCTAAGCCTAAGCCTAAGCCTAAGCCTAAGCCTAAGCCTAAGCCTAAGCCTAAGCCTAAGCCTAAGCCTAAGCCTAAGCCTAAGCCTAAGCCTAAGCCTAAGCCTAAGCCTAAGCCTAAGCCTAAGCCTAAGCCTAAGCCTAAGCCTAAGCCTAAGCCTAAGCCTAAGCCTAAGCCTAAGCCTAAGCCTAAGCCTAAGCCTAAGCCTAAGCCTAAGCCTAAGCCTAAGCCTAAGCCTAAGCCTAAGCCTAAGCCTAAGCCTAAGCCTAAGCCTAAGCCTAAGCCTAAGCCTAAGCCTAAGCCTAAGCCTAAGCCTAAGCCTAAGCCTAAGCCTAAGCCTAAGCCTAAGCCTAAGCCTAAGCCTAAGCCTAAGCCTAAGCCTAAGCCTAAGCCTAAGCCTAAGCCTAAGCCTAAGCCTAAGCCTAAGCCTAAGCCTAAGCCTAAGCCTAAGCCTAAGCCTAAGCCTAAGCCTAAGCCTAAGCCTAAGCCTAAGCCTAAGCCTAAGCCTAAGCCTAAGCCTAAGCCTAAGCCTAAGCCTAAGCCTAAGCCTAAGCCTAAGCCTAAGCCTAAGCCTAAGCCTAAGCCTAAGCCTAAGCCTAAGCCTAAGCCTAAGCCTAAGCCTAAGCCTAAGCCTAAGCCTAAGCCTAAGCCTAAGCCTAAGCCTAAGCCTAAGCCTAAGCCTAAGCCTAAGCCTAAGCCTAAGCCTAAGCCTAAGCCTAAGCCTAAGCCTAAGCCTAAGCCTAAGCCTAAGCCTAAGCCTAAGCCTAAGCCTAAGCCTAAGCCTAAGCCTAAGCCTAAGCCTAAGCCTAAGCCTAAGCCTAAGCCTAAGCCTAAGCCTAAGCCTAAGCCTAAGCCTAAGCCTAAGCCTAAGCCTAAGCCTAAGCCTAAGCCTAAGCCTAAGCCTAAGCCTAAGCCTAAGCCTAAGCCTAAGCCTAAGCCTAAGCCTAAGCCTAAGCCTAAGCCTAAGCCTAAGCCTAAGCCTAAGCCTAAGCCTAAGCCTAAGCCTAAGCCTAAGCCTAAGCCTAAGCCTAAGCCTAAGCCTAAGCCTAAGCCTAAGCCTAAGCCTAAGCCTAAGCCTAAGCCTAAGCCTAAGCCTAAGCCTAAGCCTAAGCCTAAGCCTAAGCCTAAGCCTAAGCCTAAGCCTAAGCCTAAGCCTAAGCCTAAGCCTAAGCCTAAGCCTAAGCCTAAGCCTAAGCCTAAGCCTAAGCCTAAGCCTAAGCCTAAGCCTAAGCCTAAGCCTAAGCCTAAGCCTAAGCCTAAGCCTAAGCCTAAGCCTAAGCCTAAGCCTAAGCCTAAGCCTAAGCCTAAGCCTAAGCCTAAGCCTAAGCCTAAGCCTAAGCCTAAGCCTAAGCCTAAGCCTAAGCCTAAGCCTAAGCCTAAGCCTAAGCCTAAGCCTAAGCCTAAGCCTAAGCCTAAGCCTAAGCCTAAGCCTAAGCCTAAGCCTAAGCCTAAGCCTAAGCCTAAGCCTAAGCCTAAGCCTAAGCCTAAGCCTAAGCCTAAGCCTAAGCCTAAGCCTAAGCCTAAGCCTAAGCCTAAGCCTAAGCCTAAGCCTAAGCCTAAGCCTAAGCCTAAGCCTAAGCCTAAGCCTAAGCCTAAGCCTAAGCCTAAGCCTAAGCCTAAGCCTAAGCCTAAGCCTAAGCCTAAGCCTAAGCCTAAGCCTAAGCCTAAGCCTAAGCCTAAGCCTAAGCCTAAGCCTAAGCCTAAGCCTAAGCCTAAGCCTAAGCCTAAGCCTAAGCCTAAGCCTAAGCCTAAGCCTAAGCCTAAGCCTAAGCCTAAGCCTAAGCCTAAGCCTAAGCCTAAGCCTAAGCCTAAGCCTAAGCCTAAGCCTAAGCCTAAGCCTAAGCCTAAGCCTAAGCCTAAGCCTAAGCCTAAGCCTAAGCCTAAGCCTAAGCCTAAGCCTAAGCCTAAGCCTAAGCCTAAGCCTAAGCCTAAGCCTAAGCCTAAGCCTAAGCCTAAGCCTAAGCCTAAGCCTAAGCCTAAGCCTAAGCCTAAGCCTAAGCCTAAGCCTAAGCCTAAGCCTAAGCCTAAGCCTAAGCCTAAGCCTAAGCCTAAGCCTAAGCCTAAGCCTAAGCCTAAGCCTAAGCCTAAGCCTAAGCCTAAGCCTAAGCCTAAGCCTAAGCCTAAGCCTAAGCCTAAGCCTAAGCCTAAGCCTAAGCCTAAGCCTAAGCCTAAGCCTAAGCCTAAGCCTAAGCCTAAGCCTAAGCCTAAGCCTAAGCCTAAGCCTAAGCCTAAGCCTAAGCCTAAGCCTAAGCCTAAGCCTAAGCCTAAGCCTAAGCCTAAGCCTAAGCCTAAGCCTAAGCCTAAGCCTAAGCCTAAGCCTAAGCCTAAGCCTAAGCCTAAGCCTAAGCCTAAGCCTAAGCCTAAGCCTAAGCCTAAGCCTAAGCCTAAGCCTAAGCCTAAGCCTAAGCCTAAGCCTAAGCCTAAGCCTAAGCCTAAGCCTAAGCCTAAGCCTAAGCCTAAGCCTAAGCCTAAGCCTAAGCCTAAGCCTAAGCCTAAGCCTAAGCCTAAGCCTAAGCCTAAGCCTAAGCCTAAGCCTAAGCCTAAGCCTAAGCCTAAGCCTAAGCCTAAGCCTAAGCCTAAGCCTAAGCCTAAGCCTAAGCCTAAGCCTAAGCCTAAGCCTAAGCCTAAGCCTAAGCCTAAGCCTAAGCCTAAGCCTAAGCCTAAGCCTAAGCCTAAGCCTAAGCCTAAGCCTAAGCCTAAGCCTAAGCCTAAGCCTAAGCCTAAGCCTAAGCCTAAGCCTAAGCCTAAGCCTAAGCCTAAGCCTAAGCCTAAGCCTAAGCCTAAGCCTAAGCCTAAGCCTAAGCCTAAGCCTAAGCCTAAGCCTAAGCCTAAGCCTAAGCCTAAGCCTAAGCCTAAGCCTAAGCCTAAGCCTAAGCCTAAGCCTAAGCCTAAGCCTAAGCCTAAGCCTAAGCCTAAGCCTAAGCCTAAGCCTAAGCCTAAGCCTAAGCCTAAGCCTAAGCCTAAGCCTAAGCCTAAGCCTAAGCCTAAGCCTAAGCCTAAGCCTAAGCCTAAGCCTAAGCCTAAGCCTAAGCCTAAGCCTAAGCCTAAGCCTAAGCCTAAGCCTAAGCCTAAGCCTAAGCCTAAGCCTAAGCCTAAGCCTAAGCCTAAGCCTAAGCCTAAGCCTAAGCCTAAGCCTAAGCCTAAGCCTAAGCCTAAGCCTAAGCCTAAGCCTAAGCCTAAGCCTAAGCCTAAGCCTAAGCCTAAGCCTAAGCCTAAGCCTAAGCCTAAGCCTAAGCCTAAGCCTAAGCCTAAGCCTAAGCCTAAGCCTAAGCCTAAGCCTAAGCCTAAGCCTAAGCCTAAGCCTAAGCCTAAGCCTAAGCCTAAGCCTAAGCCTAAGCCTAAGCCTAAGCCTAAGCCTAAGCCTAAGCCTAAGCCTAAGCCTAAGCCTAAGCCTAAGCCTAAGCCTAAGCCTAAGCCTAAGCCTAAGCCTAAGCCTAAGCCTAAGCCTAAGCCTAAGCCTAAGCCTAAGCCTAAGCCTAAGCCTAAGCCTAAGCCTAAGCCTAAGCCTAAGCCTAAGCCTAAGCCTAAGCCTAAGCCTAAGCCTAAGCCTAAGCCTAAGCCTAAGCCTAAGCCTAAGCCTAAGCCTAAGCCTAAGCCTAAGCCTAAGCCTAAGCCTAAGCCTAAGCCTAAGCCTAAGCCTAAGCCTAAGCCTAAGCCTAAGCCTAAGCCTAAGCCTAAGCCTAAGCCTAAGCCTAAGCCTAAGCCTAAGCCTAAGCCTAAGCCTAAGCCTAAGCCTAAGCCTAAGCCTAAGCCTAAGCCTAAGCCTAAGCCTAAGCCTAAGCCTAAGCCTAAGCCTAAGCCTAAGCCTAAGCCTAAGCCTAAGCCTAAGCCTAAGCCTAAGCCTAAGCCTAAGCCTAAGCCTAAGCCTAAGCCTAAGCCTAAGCCTAAGCCTAAGCCTAAGCCTAAGCCTAAGCCTAAGCCTAAGCCTAAGCCTAAGCCTAAGCCTAAGCCTAAGCCTAAGCCTAAGCCTAAGCCTAAGCCTAAGCCTAAGCCTAAGCCTAAGCCTAAGCCTAAGCCTAAGCCTAAGCCTAAGCCTAAGCCTAAGCCTAAGCCTAAGCCTAAGCCTAAGCCTAAGCCTAAGCCTAAGCCTAAGCCTAAGCCTAAGCCTAAGCCTAAGCCTAAGCCTAAGCCTAAGCCTAAGCCTAAGCCTAAGCCTAAGCCTAAGCCTAAGCCTAAGCCTAAGCCTAAGCCTAAGCCTAAGCCTAAGCCTAAGCCTAAGCCTAAGCCTAAGCCTAAGCCTAAGCCTAAGCCTAAGCCTAAGCCTAAGCCTAAGCCTAAGCCTAAGCCTAAGCCTAAGCCTAAGCCTAAGCCTAAGCCTAAGCCTAAGCCTAAGCCTAAGCCTAAGCCTAAGCCTAAGCCTAAGCCTAAGCCTAAGCCTAAGCCTAAGCCTAAGCCTAAGCCTAAGCCTAAGCCTAAGCCTAAGCCTAAGCCTAAGCCTAAGCCTAAGCCTAAGCCTAAGCCTAAGCCTAAGCCTAAGCCTAAGCCTAAGCCTAAGCCTAAGCCTAAGCCTAAGCCTAAGCCTAAGCCTAAGCCTAAGCCTAAGCCTAAGCCTAAGCCTAAGCCTAAGCCTAAGCCTAAGCCTAAGCCTAAGCCTAAGCCTAAGCCTAAGCCTAAGCCTAAGCCTAAGCCTAAGCCTAAGCCTAAGCCTAAGCCTAAGCCTAAGCCTAAGCCTAAGCCTAAGCCTAAGCCTAAGCCTAAGCCTAAGCCTAAGCCTAAGCCTAAGCCTAAGCCTAAGCCTAAGCCTAAGCCTAAGCCTAAGCCTAAGCCTAAGCCTAAGCCTAAGCCTAAGCCTAAGCCTAAGCCTAAGCCTAAGCCTAAGCCTAAGCCTAAGCCTAAGCCTAAGCCTAAGCCTAAGCCTAAGCCTAAGCCTAAGCCTAAGCCTAAGCCTAAGCCTAAGCCTAAGCCTAAGCCTAAGCCTAAGCCTAAGCCTAAGCCTAAGCCTAAGCCTAAGCCTAAGCCTAAGCCTAAGCCTAAGCCTAAGCCTAAGCCTAAGCCTAAGCCTAAGCCTAAGCCTAAGCCTAAGCCTAAGCCTAAGCCTAAGCCTAAGCCTAAGCCTAAGCCTAAGCCTAAGCCTAAGCCTAAGCCTAAGCCTAAGCCTAAGCCTAAGCCTAAGCCTAAGCCTAAGCCTAAGCCTAAGCCTAAGCCTAAGCCTAAGCCTAAGCCTAAGCCTAAGCCTAAGCCTAAGCCTAAGCCTAAGCCTAAGCCTAAGCCTAAGCCTAAGCCTAAGCCTAAGCCTAAGCCTAAGCCTAAGCCTAAGCCTAAGCCTAAGCCTAAGCCTAAGCCTAAGCCTAAGCCTAAGCCTAAGCCTAAGCCTAAGCCTAAGCCTAAGCCTAAGCCTAAGCCTAAGCCTAAGCCTAAGCCTAAGCCTAAGCCTAAGCCTAAGCCTAAGCCTAAGCCTAAGCCTAAGCCTAAGCCTAAGCCTAAGCCTAAGCCTAAGCCTAAGCCTAAGCCTAAGCCTAAGCCTAAGCCTAAGCCTAAGCCTAAGCCTAAGCCTAAGCCTAAGCCTAAGCCTAAGCCTAAGCCTAAGCCTAAGCCTAAGCCTAAGCCTAAGCCTAAGCCTAAGCCTAAGCCTAAGCCTAAGCCTAAGCCTAAGCCTAAGCCTAAGCCTAAGCCTAAGCCTAAGCCTAAGCCTAAGCCTAAGCCTAAGCCTAAGCCTAAGCCTAAGCCTAAGCCTAAGCCTAAGCCTAAGCCTAAGCCTAAGCCTAAGCCTAAGCCTAAGCCTAAGCCTAAGCCTAAGCCTAAGCCTAAGCCTAAGCCTAAGCCTAAGCCTAAGCCTAAGCCTAAGCCTAAGCCTAAGCCTAAGCCTAAGCCTAAGCCTAAGCCTAAGCCTAAGCCTAAGCCTAAGCCTAAGCCTAAGCCTAAGCCTAAGCCTAAGCCTAAGCCTAAGCCTAAGCCTAAGCCTAAGCCTAAGCCTAAGCCTAAGCCTAAGCCTAAGCCTAAGCCTAAGCCTAAGCCTAAGCCTAAGCCTAAGCCTAAGCCTAAGCCTAAGCCTAAGCCTAAGCCTAAGCCTAAGCCTAAGCCTAAGCCTAAGCCTAAGCCTAAGCCTAAGCCTAAGCCTAAGCCTAAGCCTAAGCCTAAGCCTAAGCCTAAGCCTAAGCCTAAGCCTAAGCCTAAGCCTAAGCCTAAGCCTAAGCCTAAGCCTAAGCCTAAGCCTAAGCCTAAGCCTAAGCCTAAGCCTAAGCCTAAGCCTAAGCCTAAGCCTAAGCCTAAGCCTAAGCCTAAGCCTAAGCCTAAGCCTAAGCCTAAGCCTAAGCCTAAGCCTAAGCCTAAGCCTAAGCCTAAGCCTAAGCCTAAGCCTAAGCCTAAGCCTAAGCCTAAGCCTAAGCCTAAGCCTAAGCCTAAGCCTAAGCCTAAGCCTAAGCCTAAGCCTAAGCCTAAGCCTAAGCCTAAGCCTAAGCCTAAGCCTAAGCCTAAGCCTAAGCCTAAGCCTAAGCCTAAGCCTAAGCCTAAGCCTAAGCCTAAGCCTAAGCCTAAGCCTAAGCCTAAGCCTAAGCCTAAGCCTAAGCCTAAGCCTAAGCCTAAGCCTAAGCCTAAGCCTAAGCCTAAGCCTAAGCCTAAGCCTAAGCCTAAGCCTAAGCCTAAGCCTAAGCCTAAGCCTAAGCCTAAGCCTAAGCCTAAGCCTAAGCCTAAGCCTAAGCCTAAGCCTAAGCCTAAGCCTAAGCCTAAGCCTAAGCCTAAGCCTAAGCCTAAGCCTAAGCCTAAGCCTAAGCCTAAGCCTAAGCCTAAGCCTAAGCCTAAGCCTAAGCCTAAGCCTAAGCCTAAGCCTAAGCCTAAGCCTAAGCCTAAGCCTAAGCCTAAGCCTAAGCCTAAGCCTAAGCCTAAGCCTAAGCCTAAGCCTAAGCCTAAGCCTAAGCCTAAGCCTAAGCCTAAGCCTAAGCCTAAGCCTAAGCCTAAGCCTAAGCCTAAGCCTAAGCCTAAGCCTAAGCCTAAGCCTAAGCCTAAGCCTAAGCCTAAGCCTAAGCCTAAGCCTAAGCCTAAGCCTAAGCCTAAGCCTAAGCCTAAGCCTAAGCCTAAGCCTAAGCCTAAGCCTAAGCCTAAGCCTAAGCCTAAGCCTAAGCCTAAGCCTAAGCCTAAGCCTAAGCCTAAGCCTAAGCCTAAGCCTAAGCCTAAGCCTAAGCCTAAGCCTAAGCCTAAGCCTAAGCCTAAGCCTAAGCCTAAGCCTAAGCCTAAGCCTAAGCCTAAGCCTAAGCCTAAGCCTAAGCCTAAGCCTAAGCCTAAGCCTAAGCCTAAGCCTAAGCCTAAGCCTAAGCCTAAGCCTAAGCCTAAGCCTAAGCCTAAGCCTAAGCCTAAGCCTAAGCCTAAGCCTAAGCCTAAGCCTAAGCCTAAGCCTAAGCCTAAGCCTAAGCCTAAGCCTAAGCCTAAGCCTAAGCCTAAGCCTAAGCCTAAGCCTAAGCCTAAGCCTAAGCCTAAGCCTAAGCCTAAGCCTAAGCCTAAGCCTAAGCCTAAGCCTAAGCCTAAGCCTAAGCCTAAGCCTAAGCCTAAGCCTAAGCCTAAGCCTAAGCCTAAGCCTAAGCCTAAGCCTAAGCCTAAGCCTAAGCCTAAGCCTAAGCCTAAGCCTAAGCCTAAGCCTAAGCCTAAGCCTAAGCCTAAGCCTAAGCCTAAGCCTAAGCCTAAGCCTAAGCCTAAGCCTAAGCCTAAGCCTAAGCCTAAGCCTAAGCCTAAGCCTAAGCCTAAGCCTAAGCCTAAGCCTAAGCCTAAGCCTAAGCCTAAGCCTAAGCCTAAGCCTAAGCCTAAGCCTAAGCCTAAGCCTAAGCCTAAGCCTAAGCCTAAGCCTAAGCCTAAGCCTAAGCCTAAGCCTAAGCCTAAGCCTAAGCCTAAGCCTAAGCCTAAGCCTAAGCCTAAGCCTAAGCCTAAGCCTAAGCCTAAGCCTAAGCCTAAGCCTAAGCCTAAGCCTAAGCCTAAGCCTAAGCCTAAGCCTAAGCCTAAGCCTAAGCCTAAGCCTAAGCCTAAGCCTAAGCCTAAGCCTAAGCCTAAGCCTAAGCCTAAGCCTAAGCCTAAGCCTAAGCCTAAGCCTAAGCCTAAGCCTAAGCCTAAGCCTAAGCCTAAGCCTAAGCCTAAGCCTAAGCCTAAGCCTAAGCCTAAGCCTAAGCCTAAGCCTAAGCCTAAGCCTAAGCCTAAGCCTAAGCCTAAGCCTAAGCCTAAGCCTAAGCCTAAGCCTAAGCCTAAGCCTAAGCCTAAGCCTAAGCCTAAGCCTAAGCCTAAGCCTAAGCCTAAGCCTAAGCCTAAGCCTAAGCCTAAGCCTAAGCCTAAGCCTAAGCCTAAGCCTAAGCCTAAGCCTAAGCCTAAGCCTAAGCCTAAGCCTAAGCCTAAGCCTAAGCCTAAGCCTAAGCCTAAGCCTAAGCCTAAGCCTAAGCCTAAGCCTAAGCCTAAGCCTAAGCCTAAGCCTAAGCCTAAGCCTAAGCCTAAGCCTAAGCCTAAGCCTAAGCCTAAGCCTAAGCCTAAGCCTAAGCCTAAGCCTAAGCCTAAGCCTAAGCCTAAGCCTAAGCCTAAGCCTAAGCCTAAGCCTAAGCCTAAGCCTAAGCCTAAGCCTAAGCCTAAGCCTAAGCCTAAGCCTAAGCCTAAGCCTAAGCCTAAGCCTAAGCCTAAGCCTAAGCCTAAGCCTAAGCCTAAGCCTAAGCCTAAGCCTAAGCCTAAGCCTAAGCCTAAGCCTAAGCCTAAGCCTAAGCCTAAGCCTAAGCCTAAGCCTAAGCCTAAGCCTAAGCCTAAGCCTAAGCCTAAGCCTAAGCCTAAGCCTAAGCCTAAGCCTAAGCCTAAGCCTAAGCCTAAGCCTAAGCCTAAGCCTAAGCCTAAGCCTAAGCCTAAGCCTAAGCCTAAGCCTAAGCCTAAGCCTAAGCCTAAGCCTAAGCCTAAGCCTAAGCCTAAGCCTAAGCCTAAGCCTAAGCCTAAGCCTAAGCCTAAGCCTAAGCCTAAGCCTAAGCCTAAGCCTAAGCCTAAGCCTAAGCCTAAGCCTAAGCCTAAGCCTAAGCCTAAGCCTAAGCCTAAGCCTAAGCCTAAGCCTAAGCCTAAGCCTAAGCCTAAGCCTAAGCCTAAGCCTAAGCCTAAGCCTAAGCCTAAGCCTAAGCCTAAGCCTAAGCCTAAGCCTAAGCCTAAGCCTAAGCCTAAGCCTAAGCCTAAGCCTAAGCCTAAGCCTAAGCCTAAGCCTAAGCCTAAGCCTAAGCCTAAGCCTAAGCCTAAGCCTAAGCCTAAGCCTAAGCCTAAGCCTAAGCCTAAGCCTAAGCCTAAGCCTAAGCCTAAGCCTAAGCCTAAGCCTAAGCCTAAGCCTAAGCCTAAGCCTAAGCCTAAGCCTAAGCCTAAGCCTAAGCCTAAGCCTAAGCCTAAGCCTAAGCCTAAGCCTAAGCCTAAGCCTAAGCCTAAGCCTAAGCCTAAGCCTAAGCCTAAGCCTAAGCCTAAGCCTAAGCCTAAGCCTAAGCCTAAGCCTAAGCCTAAGCCTAAGCCTAAGCCTAAGCCTAAGCCTAAGCCTAAGCCTAAGCCTAAGCCTAAGCCTAAGCCTAAGCCTAAGCCTAAGCCTAAGCCTAAGCCTAAGCCTAAGCCTAAGCCTAAGCCTAAGCCTAAGCCTAAGCCTAAGCCTAAGCCTAAGCCTAAGCCTAAGCCTAAGCCTAAGCCTAAGCCTAAGCCTAAGCCTAAGCCTAAGCCTAAGCCTAAGCCTAAGCCTAAGCCTAAGCCTAAGCCTAAGCCTAAGCCTAAGCCTAAGCCTAAGCCTAAGCCTAAGCCTAAGCCTAAGCCTAAGCCTAAGCCTAAGCCTAAGCCTAAGCCTAAGCCTAAGCCTAAGCCTAAGCCTAAGCCTAAGCCTAAGCCTAAGCCTAAGCCTAAGCCTAAGCCTAAGCCTAAGCCTAAGCCTAAGCCTAAGCCTAAGCCTAAGCCTAAGCCTAAGCCTAAGCCTAAGCCTAAGCCTAAGCCTAAGCCTAAGCCTAAGCCTAAGCCTAAGCCTAAGCCTAAGCCTAAGCCTAAGCCTAAGCCTAAGCCTAAGCCTAAGCCTAAGCCTAAGCCTAAGCCTAAGCCTAAGCCTAAGCCTAAGCCTAAGCCTAAGCCTAAGCCTAAGCCTAAGCCTAAGCCTAAGCCTAAGCCTAAGCCTAAGCCTAAGCCTAAGCCTAAGCCTAAGCCTAAGCCTAAGCCTAAGCCTAAGCCTAAGCCTAAGCCTAAGCCTAAGCCTAAGCCTAAGCCTAAGCCTAAGCCTAAGCCTAAGCCTAAGCCTAAGCCTAAGCCTAAGCCTAAGCCTAAGCCTAAGCCTAAGCCTAAGCCTAAGCCTAAGCCTAAGCCTAAGCCTAAGCCTAAGCCTAAGCCTAAGCCTAAGCCTAAGCCTAAGCCTAAGCCTAAGCCTAAGCCTAAGCCTAAGCCTAAGCCTAAGCCTAAGCCTAAGCCTAAGCCTAAGCCTAAGCCTAAGCCTAAGCCTAAGCCTAAGCCTAAGCCTAAGCCTAAGCCTAAGCCTAAGCCTAAGCCTAAGCCTAAGCCTAAGCCTAAGCCTAAGCCTAAGCCTAAGCCTAAGCCTAAGCCTAAGCCTAAGCCTAAGCCTAAGCCTAAGCCTAAGCCTAAGCCTAAGCCTAAGCCTAAGCCTAAGCCTAAGCCTAAGCCTAAGCCTAAGCCTAAGCCTAAGCCTAAGCCTAAGCCTAAGCCTAAGCCTAAGCCTAAGCCTAAGCCTAAGCCTAAGCCTAAGCCTAAGCCTAAGCCTAAGCCTAAGCCTAAGCCTAAGCCTAAGCCTAAGCCTAAGCCTAAGCCTAAGCCTAAGCCTAAGCCTAAGCCTAAGCCTAAGCCTAAGCCTAAGCCTAAGCCTAAGCCTAAGCCTAAGCCTAAGCCTAAGCCTAAGCCTAAGCCTAAGCCTAAGCCTAAGCCTAAGCCTAAGCCTAAGCCTAAGCCTAAGCCTAAGCCTAAGCCTAAGCCTAAGCCTAAGCCTAAGCCTAAGCCTAAGCCTAAGCCTAAGCCTAAGCCTAAGCCTAAGCCTAAGCCTAAGCCTAAGCCTAAGCCTAAGCCTAAGCCTAAGCCTAAGCCTAAGCCTAAGCCTAAGCCTAAGCCTAAGCCTAAGCCTAAGCCTAAGCCTAAGCCTAAGCCTAAGCCTAAGCCTAAGCCTAAGCCTAAGCCTAAGCCTAAGCCTAAGCCTAAGCCTAAGCCTAAGCCTAAGCCTAAGCCTAAGCCTAAGCCTAAGCCTAAGCCTAAGCCTAAGCCTAAGCCTAAGCCTAAGCCTAAGCCTAAGCCTAAGCCTAAGCCTAAGCCTAAGCCTAAGCCTAAGCCTAAGCCTAAGCCTAAGCCTAAGCCTAAGCCTAAGCCTAAGCCTAAGCCTAAGCCTAAGCCTAAGCCTAAGCCTAAGCCTAAGCCTAAGCCTAAGCCTAAGCCTAAGCCTAAGCCTAAGCCTAAGCCTAAGCCTAAGCCTAAGCCTAAGCCTAAGCCTAAGCCTAAGCCTAAGCCTAAGCCTAAGCCTAAGCCTAAGCCTAAGCCTAAGCCTAAGCCTAAGCCTAAGCCTAAGCCTAAGCCTAAGCCTAAGCCTAAGCCTAAGCCTAAGCCTAAGCCTAAGCCTAAGCCTAAGCCTAAGCCTAAGCCTAAGCCTAAGCCTAAGCCTAAGCCTAAGCCTAAGCCTAAGCCTAAGCCTAAGCCTAAGCCTAAGCCTAAGCCTAAGCCTAAGCCTAAGCCTAAGCCTAAGCCTAAGCCTAAGCCTAAGCCTAAGCCTAAGCCTAAGCCTAAGCCTAAGCCTAAGCCTAAGCCTAAGCCTAAGCCTAAGCCTAAGCCTAAGCCTAAGCCTAAGCCTAAGCCTAAGCCTAAGCCTAAGCCTAAGCCTAAGCCTAAGCCTAAGCCTAAGCCTAAGCCTAAGCCTAAGCCTAAGCCTAAGCCTAAGCCTAAGCCTAAGCCTAAGCCTAAGCCTAAGCCTAAGCCTAAGCCTAAGCCTAAGCCTAAGCCTAAGCCTAAGCCTAAGCCTAAGCCTAAGCCTAAGCCTAAGCCTAAGCCTAAGCCTAAGCCTAAGCCTAAGCCTAAGCCTAAGCCTAAGCCTAAGCCTAAGCCTAAGCCTAAGCCTAAGCCTAAGCCTAAGCCTAAGCCTAAGCCTAAGCCTAAGCCTAAGCCTAAGCCTAAGCCTAAGCCTAAGCCTAAGCCTAAGCCTAAGCCTAAGCCTAAGCCTAAGCCTAAGCCTAAGCCTAAGCCTAAGCCTAAGCCTAAGCCTAAGCCTAAGCCTAAGCCTAAGCCTAAGCCTAAGCCTAAGCCTAAGCCTAAGCCTAAGCCTAAGCCTAAGCCTAAGCCTAAGCCTAAGCCTAAGCCTAAGCCTAAGCCTAAGCCTAAGCCTAAGCCTAAGCCTAAGCCTAAGCCTAAGCCTAAGCCTAAGCCTAAGCCTAAGCCTAAGCCTAAGCCTAAGCCTAAGCCTAAGCCTAAGCCTAAGCCTAAGCCTAAGCCTAAGCCTAAGCCTAAGCCTAAGCCTAAGCCTAAGCCTAAGCCTAAGCCTAAGCCTAAGCCTAAGCCTAAGCCTAAGCCTAAGCCTAAGCCTAAGCCTAAGCCTAAGCCTAAGCCTAAGCCTAAGCCTAAGCCTAAGCCTAAGCCTAAGCCTAAGCCTAAGCCTAAGCCTAAGCCTAAGCCTAAGCCTAAGCCTAAGCCTAAGCCTAAGCCTAAGCCTAAGCCTAAGCCTAAGCCTAAGCCTAAGCCTAAGCCTAAGCCTAAGCCTAAGCCTAAGCCTAAGCCTAAGCCTAAGCCTAAGCCTAAGCCTAAGCCTAAGCCTAAGCCTAAGCCTAAGCCTAAGCCTAAGCCTAAGCCTAAGCCTAAGCCTAAGCCTAAGCCTAAGCCTAAGCCTAAGCCTAAGCCTAAGCCTAAGCCTAAGCCTAAGCCTAAGCCTAAGCCTAAGCCTAAGCCTAAGCCTAAGCCTAAGCCTAAGCCTAAGCCTAAGCCTAAGCCTAAGCCTAAGCCTAAGCCTAAGCCTAAGCCTAAGCCTAAGCCTAAGCCTAAGCCTAAGCCTAAGCCTAAGCCTAAGCCTAAGCCTAAGCCTAAGCCTAAGCCTAAGCCTAAGCCTAAGCCTAAGCCTAAGCCTAAGCCTAAGCCTAAGCCTAAGCCTAAGCCTAAGCCTAAGCCTAAGCCTAAGCCTAAGCCTAAGCCTAAGCCTAAGCCTAAGCCTAAGCCTAAGCCTAAGCCTAAGCCTAAGCCTAAGCCTAAGCCTTATAAAGAACTTTTTTGTAGTATTCGATCGTATATTCAGCATGTATAACATAGCATGAAAATATTTACATTACTGTAACTCGACGAATAATGGAGTTACAACAACAGCCCATGCAGATTCTGAAAGCCCATCAAAAATGACGTATTATACTGGTTTTTCGACGCTATCATATAAACACATTTTTTGTAGTACTCGACCGTATATTCAGCATGTATAACATAGCACGGAAATATTTACATTACTGTAACTCGACGAATAATGGAGCTACAACAAAAGCCGACACAGATTCTGAAAGCTTATCAAAAATGAAGTTTTATTAGTGTTTTAAAACATGTGAGGCGAAGGACCTTCGATAAAGTATATCTGTCACTTAAATTTTTTAAATGCGTTTAAAACTTAAAAGGATACGTATTTTTTGTTTTCAGTAATATTGGCTGCACGAAAAATAGTAGCAGGTTGAGTACTTGCCTTTTAAGTATAATTAAAATGTTTTTAATCTATCTTCCCGTAAGACAGTTTTCTGTACATATTTGCAAACAATGTAAACAGTTTTTTATTAACACTTCTTTATTATTTCTTATACTTGTCAATTTCTAAATTAATCTTTTCAAGCTTCAGTTTTATTTGGTCTATTTTGTTTTTTCTTTGCATTCGGATTTCGTTACGTGTGCCAAGGGTCGTTCTTGCTTTATTTACTATGTAGTCGCGTCTTAATACAGTGAACTCGATGTTCTAAAAATAATTTATTTGAGTTGAGGTTTTACCTTTTGTGCTGTCCATATGTTTTTTTCTAAAAATTGATGTCGCTTTTGTAGCAAATGTATTTCTTGTAAATGTTCAACATATTTCTTTTCTAGGTTGTTTTCTTCTTCTAATATATTAAGTTTGCAGTTGTAGTCCGCACATAATTCCAATATTTCATTATACTTTCTTTTTGACCTATTGTAGAGTTCTTTTAAATGAATTAGTTGTGTCTCTGCGTACAGTATACGTTTATTGAACATCTCGTCATTGTTGTTTGACGTTTCTTCGTTTTTGTATTTTCTTGACATAGCTAAAAATTTTCTTATTCAGAAGTATATTTACAAGGAAAGTACCCTACCTGCACCGCTCAAAATGAGCTCAAAATTTTTATACGAATTCTTTGTACTACCAATAGTAACCATAAAAAATTTTAGCTCGCGCTTTAGAGTTTTAAGTTTATATTATTTGAGTTTCCCGCCAATTTGGCAAATTTGGCATTGTGTTTACATGCACTTTTTCGGCTTTCCAGACAAGATACGTTTACAAATTTAAAAATCTAGGTTCATTTGAATGTTTTCTACTAGTATGTCAAAGAGGAATATTAACAGTCAACAAATGACAAAGTTACAAGCTTGAAACACAATGCCAAGTTGGCGGGAAATTTAAAATGTCATTTTTTAATTTCGATTTTCTCGAGATTTCCTGGAAAGCGCGATTTAGTACTTTGCTGAAGATCTTATATTTACATGATCTTTCTTTATAAAAAGTTTGAAGTCAATCAGAGCGGAGCAGGTCGAGCACTTTCCTTGTTAGTTTGCCCCCTCCTCCCCCCCCCCTCCTCGAACACTAGGGCTACCGACATTTGGGATACCCTACATGAATTCTTATGACGAATTTATTTTTTACCTTGGCTTTTTTCGTTACGAGCTTTTTGAACCATGGTTTCTTCATTTTTTAACATATTCATTTCACTAATTACTTGGTTTTGCTGAGTGTCCGAAATAATGATCTAAATTTTCTTTTTACGTTTAAAAGGTTCGAGATTAAAAAAAATATAAATGCAAAAAAAATTACGTTTGCTTACTTTGTTTTCAATACGCTTTTTTCTATACTCCAATGCTATCTTCTTACGAACTAATTGTGTAATTGAATCTCTGACATTTTTGTAGTTTTTTTGATTGTATCTGTTGCCAAGAATGTCTGATTTCGAACGTTTTAATGCCGTTGTTTCAATGCTTGGGTCGTAAGAATTGGTAAACAGTTTATCCTAAATGACTCTTTTTATATACTATAGTTAACTTACTACTTCTTGTCGTCGATTCAGCAATTCGTTGAGTTCTTCCAATACGAACAGGTACGATTTTAATTTAAAACTGTTATAAAAAAGCAGTTTTTCCATATTTTCAAATTGAGATGAAATTGTCTGCACCTCGTTTGGAGATAAAAATGTATTTTTTTGGCTTTGGGCGTTAGAGTGTTCATGTTGTGTTTGATTACTTTGCTAAAATTGTAAAAGAAACATGTAAAAGTTTGCATGCTTACTCTTTTTAATGTTTTGTTGCATTTTTGTGATTCCTCCAATTCATGTTCTACCAACGGAATATGTCTTTGCTTTAGTTGGTTAACAACAGTCTTAATGTGAGCGTTAGTTGCAGTACGTTTGATAATCTTTTGCTAAAAACGTGTAATTTTAAATTAATTTTTTGTTTACTTTTTAAACAGTATTAAAATAAATTATTAAAAATTGAGCGTTTCAAATAAGTTTAACAAAATTTAATTTTTAACCTCTTGTTTTTCCCTTAATGCGGCAAGCCGCAAAATACGGCGTTTTAGTTCCGCACCACGTTGTGTTGCTAAATATTCCACATCGTTTTGTTTGTTTCCAATGGTGTTACTTGACAAGTCTCTAAAACAATTATTTTATATGGTAGGTAAGTATTAACTAAAAATGATTAAATTTTCTCCTTACTTTTTCCTTTTGTCAATTAGTTGCACTTTGTTTCGATTGTCATTTAAAGATTTCATCAACTTGTTGAAATGATCTTCTAGTTGCAATGTCCCAGCTTGAAATGTACTGTATTTATCTTGTAAGCGAACAAATTCCTCCTTTGTGTCATCATGTTCACTAAACGACTACTTTTTATACATTGAAATAAATGTATAAAAATATTTATAACAATTTACAATTTTAAATGCCGAGTTGTTACTCCAAGTTGTTCTAATTCGTTTTCAGCAATTTCAACGTCTCTGCGTAATCTCTCTATATACGAATCTTGTATTCGTTTGTCTTTCTCCAAGTTTTTTACATTGTGATGTGCCTTGCCTACTAACGAATTCAGCAATTTTACGTCATTTTTTTCAGGCCATGCCACACTGTCAACTTGCGTCTGTGCAAGATTTATTTGATGGTTAATTTCATCAATGTTGAAGCGCAAGTCTTTTTCTGAAAGATTTAATTATAAATTTGTGAATTTAAAATCTATCTTTTACATTTATAATAACAAAGCATTAATTCCACCGTTATGGTTAACAGTAGGTTATGTTTTATGCATTCTATACCTATCAATTTGTACTTGCCTTTTAGTAACTCATTTTTCAAATCTTCTCTAAGTTCTGTTAATACAGTATTTGCTTTAATACGCGCTGCCACATCGTTTTCAGATTTAACATTAAGCCTTCTCTTTACATCATTGTTTGTAGACACTTCTTTGTTAATTTTTTTAATTTCTTGCTTAAGGGGATGCTTTCTTGCAAGCAGTGAAGCATTGTTTCTTTTTGTTTGTTTCAATGTTTGGTCCTAAAATTTAGATAAAACATCGTACTTACTTACCGTATTTCTTATCTGTTCTTCTAATTGTAACAAAACGGTTTTCAAATGTTTCTCCAAGTCCTGTTCGTATGTACGAAGACGATTCTAAAGTTTAAATAACAAGAAAATACACTTATTTGTTAATTTTATCAAATAATGCTTTTACTAGTTAAAAAAAGCCAATTTATTAAAAAAAACTTTTTTACTGTATACTTACGGTTAAAGAATCATTTAAGTTTGCCATAAGTTATCAAAAAATGTAATTTTTTAGCGTTAGTACAGTTCCGTCAAAATGTCACAAGCTGCCGAAAATAACTAAATTCAAATAACGGTTAAAACGGCCCACAGACGTTTTATTCAAAAACTATTCGTCTTGCCGTTGTCGTAACAACACTTTCCGGTCTTTTATTTAAAACTGGAAGTCAACTTAAAAAGTTATAAAAACTACAAAATTCTTTCATAATAAAAAATATTGGTACTAAAAAATTTTGAAGAAACGCAACACATAAATCTAAAAATAAATATTTTGTTACAGATTACTTTAATTAAAACAATATTCAAATTATTTTAAATTAAAAATATTATTTTTTACAATATTAAAAAATAAGCCTTTAATTACTATAGCCAAAAGTCAATTAAAATATTGAAAATTAAATCAGTTTGCATAATTTAATTACAACCTAAGTACAGACATGAAGAACGGGTCGGGTCCAATTTTCTCAGCCCGAACAAAATTTTGCCCAGGCCTGGCCAGGCCCGAATTTTTTTACGTGGAAACGTGCCGAGCCTCGATTTTCAGGCCCGGCCTGTTCCCCATGTCTACCTAAGTACTTTAGTGTGCATTAAAATTTCCTGTTGGTAATTGACGAGCGTTCAAAAAATTTTAAGACATTCCTGTATAACGAACTCTTCTGCAACAAAATTTCCCAATTAAGAACAACATTAAGTCTGCACAGACTACATGAAAAACTCTTGTATCGAACATATTTAGCATCCTAACCGATTTGTTATAAAGTAGTTCTACTGTATTTTAATGGCATTAACTAACTTATAATGCTTTAAAATTTTGTAATAGTACGGATCTTAATAATGTTCAATTGTTGGAAACGTGTCATGTTTATTTCGAAAGTACTTGCAGCACAAAAAATGTTAGTACGTCCAGTTATTTTCGAGGCCACGGGTCTTTCCTACTGCCTCAAACAAAACACATACTGGAAGCGAAAATGCGAAATAGATGGTTCATTTCCGAAAAAAGCTTTTCGCCGTTCTGTGATTATTTGTTATACACTAATTTTACAATTGTTAGTAATTTTTATGTATAAAACTAAATTTTATTTGACCTTTCAGAGTACGACTTTTTATAAAATAAAATCGAAACAATGTGTACTATTTATATTGTTCAAACAAATTAAAAATCAATGATATTTAGGCCTTTGTTGCTGCTGGGCAAAAAGTTACTCTTGTCATGTCATCCCCGAAAATGGTTAGTTTTGATTTTTTCATTCAATTTTTGGCGTGTTTTTTGTGCCACATTTCAAAGTGTAACATTTTTACGCTTTGTCATCAGACTGGCAAAAACTTTGCAAATTTAAAACCCTAAGTAAGTTGTTAAACTTAAATTTCAATTTTTCAACTGACAGTATACGTGTGTTTGGGAATCAAGGTAATGTTAAAATTTGAAAATTTGCGTTTAAACTCAAATCTCCGTTTCTCACTTATTTACATAGTAGAAATTATTTTGTGTAATAAAAATTTTTTTAAAATGTGAATTAACGTTTATAAAATAGTAAAAACTTTACCTTATCGTTACAGAATGTTTGTACGTGTACTGTCACATACAAACAATGAGTGGAACCGCTCTAAATCAGAAAGAGAAACTCGTCGTAAACGATCTCAGACAGCACGTTACAATTCTTGTCGTCAACCGTCCGAATACCCCCGAAGGGCTTGTTTAGAAATGTCGTCCAGTGATTTAAGCAAAAAAAGAATTACAGAAGAGCACAAATTATTAACAGCTCATGAACCAAAACGCATGCCCGGAGAGTGTAGATTAACAATAGAAGTGCCTGAAGGTCCTGAAATCGAACATCGGTTACATTCATCAACTAGCATGACTAGCATTAATATGAAATTAAAACGCAAAGTGCAAAGAATAAGACGTAAGAATCGATTACTTTATTGTTTAAAAAATGAGATGTGTTCATATTCTTTAACGTAACGTTTTTGCAAGTAAATTTAAACGTAAAAATATTGCGTTGTAAAAAATATTGTATAATTTTAGACAACCAGTGCATTGGAATTGGGTTCCTATTAACTATGGGTATATTATTTAACTTTTTTGGCTTACATGGCGTCTGTTTGGTCAGCCGAGTTAAACAGTGAAGTTATTGAAGCAAAAGTTGCAAAGCATGAACAATCTTTCAATTATAAAATTAAGAAATTTGTTTCTGGCGAACCCTCAAAATATTTAATAGGTTTGTTAAATTTTGGAGGCCGAATGTTAAGCGCTATTGGTACTTTAATGTTAGTACAAGTAAGTCTTTCTTTTCAAATTGAAGTTGTAAACAGCGTATTTGTATTATATAAAAGCTTTTATTTATTGTTAGTTATCTTGTAAAAAATAATTTGAAAAACTTTCAAATTAGGTAATAATTACTGTGTGTCAACTACGCAAAGGCCGTTGTGTTAAAGCTGCAAGTGGTAATGCAGACGAATTAGTTGTAGACAATATTCCGGAGGGAACGGTTAGTGAAACAATTGGTGAATGTTTTATGGGATGTATAGTAAGTTTTAAAACTCTTAACCTTTGTTTGACATAAAAAAAATATTTTGTGACGGCGTTAAACGCTAAATCCTTTAAATCGCAATGCCAGGAAAAAATGAAAAATTAAATACTTTTCTTTATAAATTGCATTTCAGAGCTTTTGATAGTGGACGCTCAGCCTGTTGACTTCCTAGATAATGTTAACGTTAAAACAAGCTTATAATCTGGTTAAAAGTTCCAATTCATTACAAAAACTTAAAAATTGTCACTTCTTCAATTTATTTTTAATCTGCAAAAAAAAGCAATAAACCTAAAACATGAAGGCTTGAAAATAATAAATAAATTTTCTGAAGAACGCACGTACAAAAACCAAACTAAAAAATCTTTATTTAGTTTTTACAAATTAGCACTTTCATCAACATTCACACTACGCGTGTCATCCACATCGATAGATCTGTCGATTCCCAATAGTTTTTGTAGATTTAAAGGTTTCGAGCTACTTGGAGATATGTACAGTGTAGCTGATGGTCCCGACCGAGTTACTCCATCGCATTTCCTGGGCCTGCCTCTAGGTCTTCTTAAATTATTTTTTGTGCCAGCATAAATTATATCTCCTATTTCTGGTATTAACGCCACATCTTCAGTTAGTACTTCATCCAGCTCTTTCTGTTGGATAGATTTTTTTATTTTTTTCGGTGTACTTTCCAATGGTATTAACGGCAAATTAGTCCGGCTTTGTTCAACGGCACTTACAATTGTTTTATCTACCTACAATTGTAAAAGTCAAACGTTTACGCATAAAGCGTATCTATTAAAAACGTAAAAATAACAACAAGTAGTATATTTACCTCATTCAATGGTCCTTTCTTCCTCTTAGTGTTGTACTTCTTCATTGCCCATGCCACTTGCATTCTTCTTCTAAGTCCACTTTGATTTAAATCTGGGTGTTTAGTGACAAAATCATTATGAATCTTATCCCATATTTGCTTGTTTCGACCTGATGTTTCCTTGCCTTCCAAAAGTAAATGCGCATACGGAGCTACAGCCTTAAAAACTGCAATAGCAAACGGAGACTGCGACTTCGGCAACGTTACTTTTGATACGACATCCTAAAAATAGAGACAATGATTGACCAAAATTAGTTTTCTTGCTACAAAACATGTTTATAAACTTACATGGCCAAGCTTTTGATGATTTTGATTTGAACTTGACTTAGGTTTTGTACCTTGACTTAAACTAGAAAGCATTTCAGTTTTAGTAAGTCCATTTACAGAGTTCCACTCAGCTTGAAACATATTATACAATTTTTCAACACCCGTTCCAACTTCACTGCTTTTTGTATAGTCATATTTGCCTTCAGAATCGCAAACAGAAGCGTTCTGTCTGTCAGAAGGACTAGGTGTTTCATCTCCAGGACTTGATAATGACATTTTCAGCTAAAAGATTCAAAATAGTATTTAAAAATCATTTCGATAAATAAATCTTAGGAATCACGCATAAAGAAATAAAATTCATATTTGGTGTTTAGTTATTTAAAAAATAATTTTTTAAATATTATTCAACTTAAAACAACAATAATGTAAAAATTAAACTCACAACTTTTTTTTGTACGTGTAAAACTCGTGTAATTAAAAATATTAAGAAACTTGTAAAAATTAGCAAAAGTCTAAAAACAACTAAAAACACAAAATAACCTTGAAAACCGCGTATTTTATCGAAAATCGATTTATCTTCGCTAAAAATTCTCTTCATTTATTTTTTGTCGCGAATCGCGCCCTAACTTTTGTTTTCTTTATCTGCAATTCGTAAAGCAGACTTATACGACGGTTAATTGGATAATTTTGGATTTTGAATATGTTCGTAACAAATTATTTATTAATTTAAATAAATACTTTATTTTTATTTTTTTAAACGTGTTCTTTTTAAATTTTTTGAGCGGTATAAACGAACGAAATACATCGATAGCGGAAAGAAAACGCTTTAAAAGTTATCTCTTTTGTATGACTGTAATTTGTCTTGTAACAGTTCCTTTTTCACAAAACAAGAAGATTAACTATCTAAAACTTTTTTTTCCAGATACACCACCCTTTGAGGCATTATAAAGGAAATCACTTAATTTCTTAATGTTACCTAAAATCTTGATGCTTCGTAACACATTCGCAGACACATTAACAATTCGGATACTCGTATTGTGTTTGGGCCGTTTATGGTCGGCAGAGAAAAAGATTGTGTATAGATTTTGCCGTGTCCTCTTCTCTCTTTTTGGTCGAGCTGTATATGTGCCACGCTTTTTTACATGTCTCGCGGACAATTTTTCTGCTTTTTCGAAATTTTCATGGACAAGATTCGGATGTTCTATATTCCGTTTTCTTCGTTTTTCCACATACTATGCAAAAAAAAGAACAACGTCAAGAAGTGTTTGACAAGTTCCGTTATGAGGGGTTTTAGAGCTGAGAGTTTTCAACACTTTAACTATATGTGATTTTACCAAAATTCTATATTATATGCTATGATTTTCTTCATAAATATTTTTATGCAATTGTAAATTTTTTTAATTAACAAATTAACATTTATTATGGTTACACAACTTGTTGAAAAAATAATTTTTAAATAACTTTTTAAATTTTTTAAAGTATATTTCTATGGTTTTAATACTCATTACATGTTATAGTAAAATATTTTAAATTTATTAACGCGTAATTTGTGTTTTTTTATTAAACTAATATATTCCTGTAGACCACTGATTAGCAATAAATAAAATTGTTTGGAAATTTAATATGGGTTCGCAACAATCTTCTTTTGTTGTCGAAATTGCAGCTCCCAGGTATGGAAAATTTCAGGTAAGAAACTGTAAAAAATGCTTTTTATAACACATGAATTGTTGATTACAGAGTTTACCGCAAAAGGATCCTGATGACGAAAATTCACAATGGAGAATAACGGTAAACCCAGCAAGCGAGCTGGCAAACACAGACGCTTTACGTAGTTTGATAACAAAGTTATATCATATACAAAAACTTTTAAACCCATCAGACGTCAAACAAATATTAACCGCATTAAAATTTCTTGATTCTGGGCAAGAGCTGATGTTGCCTTTGCTTACAGTAATTTCTAACTCTACTGCGTACCCATCAAATCAGGTAAGTGTAATTGTAATTTTTTAAACTATTTTTATTTTCAACGCATTTGTTATCTCAACTTAATATTCAACGAAACGAATTTAAATTTTTAAGAGTTTGCTCCGTCAGTTTGGTGTTACAAAACGCATAGTAGACTTATTTACGGAACGACAATTTGAATGGTCAAAAAGTTGTAGAATTATGTTGTTGCAATGTATTGCCAATATGGCAGTAGATCACGAAAATGAAGGGTTGTTACGAAAAGCTATACCTTCAATTGTGCGACGAACGGAAAGTACTGTTGACATGGAATGTGTAGTTGCGTTACAGGTATGGGTTTGAGTTTCCTATCAAGGGATGCAGAAACTTTTCCTATAGATTTTGTAACAACATTTATATATTCTGAAAGAGCATTAATAGTGGTGTGGAAAACAGCCTTTTTTCGCTGCTAAACGAATGGCACTAATTTGCTTTAGCTTGTTATAATATTGGTTCAGTAACTTATTGTCGTGAGCGTTAAAGCCCACTACAATTTTCAATGTTTTTTAAATAAAAAAAGTAAAAATGCTTTTAGTTACCTTTACAAACACACTTTATCCCATAATCAAATTTTTCAAAATTTTTAACTTACAGGTAAAATACCCGACCTGTCCCGCTCAGAATTAGCTCAAAATTTTTATATGAATTGCTTGTCCTAACAATAGTGCCCATGAAAAATTTTAGCTCAAACTTTTGAGTTTTTAATTTAAATTATATTAATTTCTCGCAAATTTGGCATTACGTTTCAATGACTTTTTTCGACTTTCCAAAAAATCTTCGCTCACAATAAAAAAATGTGATTTATATAAAGATATTCCACTAGTATATGAAAGAAAGATTCCTAAAAGTCAAAAAATGGCAAAGTTATAAACTTGAAACACAATGTTTCAACGGGAAATTTAAAACGTAATTTTTTGATTTCGATTTTCTCGGGATTTCCTGGGAATCGCGATTTAGTAGTTTGCTGAAGATCTTATATTTACATTATCTTTCTATATAAAAAGTTTTAAGTCAATCAAAGCGGGGCAGGTCGGGCACTTTCCTTGTTAATTCTCTAGGCAAAAAGGAATTATTTCCTAAGATACGAGTTTTTTTAAAACTCTGGGTATACTCTTACAGGCGTTGACAAACTTATCATCATCAATCACTCCCGACCAAGTGATGGTTTATGTCCCAGCTATACCTCACGCATTAAACAAATTATGGGTTAAAGGTGAAGTTAATATACATTCGCTTAAACTGCTAGTTAATTTGTCGTGTTGCCCTGACCTTGTACCTTATATACTTGCATCTAAAGTAAGTTATTTTTAAATATATATATGCTTTTCAAACTTAAAAGACCTTTAAAAGACCAATTCTTATATTCAATTTTAACATTTCTTTAAGTTTACTTTTAAATGTTTTTCAGTAAGAATTACAACTAGTTGCAACTATTTCTATGAGTTAATTTTTAGACTGTGACAGGTTTGTTTACTATATTGGATGCAGATAAAACTGAAGTTTTGCTTCGGGCTATTACATGGTTACTGTGCATGAGTACGGCAGTAGAAGCATTGTCAATAATGTATGAACAAATTGCACCGCTAAATCAAGATCCATTTGGAAACGCTAATTATACGTTATATCATACCTTATATGGGTTTAAAGTAAGCAACTGAATCTTAATGTTACGAGCTCAATTTAGTTTTCTACTAATTATTTATTTTTATTTTGTAGGGTAAGCGCGAACTCTGTGATCGTTGTCGACATTTGATGGAGAACAAGCAAGCTGAAATTGCGGAGAAGTCAACAAGGCTGTTACGAACGCTTGGTAAAATACAACCAATGCGTGAATCAATGTATTCACTAGACAAGATGTTACAATAACTATTTAAAGTTTAAATTATACATTAGATTCGGCATTTGGTCAACCGGAACCAAGAATTTTTTGAACGGGGAAGTTCATTCACACCTTAAAATTAGACTTTACTTTTTTGACCTGTTAGCTATATTTTTCGTTAAACTATAAAAAATGAGTTCTTATTTTTTATTAAAATTTTTTATTCGTAATAACAAAGTACTATAAAAAAATGATACATAATATATAAAAATTGCAAATGTTTGCATTTGTTAGTTAAATAAAATTGTAAACTTGTTTCTTAACTATTTGGCAGGTTTTAAATAAAGTCTGAAAATTGAATTTGTAATAAATAATTTTGTATACAGTTCAAAAACAATTTTGTTTACTGACAGCGAAACTGTGTAAACTACAGTTCCGTCTTATTTTGCTTTCAAACTGTTGTAAATAATGACTTGGTGGGGCATTTTGAAAATAAAGATTAAATTTTCTATTAAAAAGTGTTTTTAAAAGCAGTTTTGAAAATTTCTATATAAAGCGAACAAGTAATCGTTTACAAATAGGACAAAAATGGTTAACTCGAAAACGCTTGCTGGGTTTTCGTTTGTTGTATCTGGTGTTGCCTTAATAGCTTTAGCTATTACTATTCCAAGTTTAATTAATCTAGTTGAAAATGCTAAGAAAGACGTTGACCATTCGGTATTAATGCTAAAACTTGAAACTGACAAAGTTTGGGGTGATTTGATGACTATACAAGTTCGATACACTCCACCAACAAAACCACGTGAAAACCCGTTTAACTCCATATTCAGGCAAAAACGCCAGTATGGCGGTGGCCTACCATCATGGTGCCAGTGTACTACACCAACGCTGAGTTGTCCTCCTGGTCCGGTAGGTCCGCCAGGTCCGCCTGGACAACCTGGGCAACGCGGAATTCCGGGTCAACCCGGTGAAGGAGGAAGAAATGGAGAAGCCGCACCACCATGTGCTCAACCAGTCAGAGATTGCGTTAAGTGTCCGCCTGGCCCTCCTGGTCAACCTGGAGAAAGAGGACAACCTGGGAATCCGGGACCTGATGGGCAGCCTGGTTCACCAGGAGGTGGCGGTGGAAAAGGATTACCTGGCGAATCGGGAAGACCAGGGGAATCGGGGAGACCTGGTGAACCCGGACGCAGCGGAGAACCTGGTCGTCCTGGAAGCGATGGTAGCCGATCTTCAGCAGTTCCCGGCCCTAAAGGTCCTCCTGGGCAACAAGGCTCCCCTGGTCGTACAGGAGAGAATGGTGCAGCAGGGCGGCCTGGTGAGCCCGGACGTGATGGCCAACCAGGACAACCAGGCTCTCCTGGCTTACCTGGAAATGACGGTTCGCCAGGAGTACCTGGTGCACCAGGAGTACCTGGTTCTGATGCAGCATATTGTCCCTGCCCTCGCCGTTCTGCGTACTTCGTTAACCGTACATAATTTTTCGTACCTTTAATACAATTAAACACAATTTTTCTAATAAAATTTATAAAATGAAACAAATCATATAAGTTTTACAGTATTAACAGTTCTGTTCCCATGACGCACAAATTCAAGCCTTTGTACTCGCTTATCCAATTCTTTATAGTGACGCTAAATCAATAATAAAAAACTTTTATTTAAAACTTACCATTATTACATTTGATTGTGTACTAAGTCCAAAACTTAAAGTTGTAAGCTGAAATTGAAAGATTTATTTAATTAAACAAAACTTAAGATCTGACAAAAATGTATAAGTATATTATTGTACTTGCACTCTTACTTGTTTTTTTATTTGTTCTAAACGATCGTTTACATCATGATAAGATTCATCTCTGTAACGTGCATTCATCATTTCTTCGTCAGATCGTAAAAGATTTTGAGCTTCCAGCATTTCACGGGCTAAACTGCGAAAAATATTCAACAAATTGCAAAATTTTTTAAACACTACGGTCAGTGCCGGGCGTAGATTTTTTTAGTGGAAAAGTCAAAAAATTCGTTGGCTCGCAGGCAAGCTTGGACACAGGGCATTCGACTTTCATGCCCTGTCCTACCATGCCCTTGTCCTGCAGGGCATCAGGGGGCATTTACAGGGCATTTGAATATATTTTGGCGGACGCCTCCGCCGAGCGGTCAATATTCGGCGGACGCCATAACTTGGTTAGTTTAGCAGCTAGAAACGTGTAGTTAAGCGCAGAAGTTGTTATTTGTCATAATCTACACATTAAGGCAGTAATTTATGTTTTTGAAAGCAATATTGTTATCGACCGGTCGATAATTTACAAATGTTTAATTTGTACGAAAAAAAAACAGTTTTTTCTTAGAATTGTGTTTTTTCTTAGAATTGTGCGACAAGAATATGTATAAAATATGAAATTAAGATATACTAAAAATTATCAACCGGTCGATAAAAATACTACTTTTAAAGGCATAAAAATATGTTTTTATTTGTAGCCTATGACATATAATAACTTCTGAATTAAAATACATGTTTCCAGCTACTAAAATAACCAAGTTATGGCGTCCGCCGATTATCGACCGCTCGGCAGAGGCGTCCGCCGGCGCTAGGACAAATGCGGTTTTTGGACACTTGCGGATCTTCTGTTTTTGGACACTTGCGGATTTTGGACATTTGCGGATTTTTTAAAGGGGTTTTTTTTTATTTTTTATTTAATTTAGTTTTAGTATGGTACTAAATGGTACTAAAGTTTAAATTGGCACTGTCTTGATATTTCTTAATGTTAAATAGTACTAAATTTTGAATCGGTACTGTTTTTATATTTTTGGTACTAAATGGTACTAAAAGCCCAAAAAGGTACTGTTATGTTAAAACCGTACCAATTCAAAATTTAGTACAATTTAGTACCATAATACAAATAAATTTACTAAAAAATAAAAAAAATCCTTTAAAAAATCCGCAAATGTCCAAAATCCGCAAGTGTCCAAAAACCGAAGATCCGCAAGTGTCTAAAAACCGCATTTGTCCTAGCGCCCGTCCGCCAAAACTTACCATGACAAAAACAGGGCATTTGCGGGGTAATGCAGGGCATAATGCCCTGCCCTGTTCCAAACTGTACCATGCCCTGCCCTTTAAAAAAAATTTAAAAGATGCCCTAACCATGCCCTACCATACTCTGTAACCGGGCATGGTACAGGGCACCCTGTCCTGCGTCCAAGACTGTTTTCAGTTCCTACTATGTATACTTTTGCTCAAATTTCGTTCCGAATATTGACAGGGAAAGTAAGTGTAACTTTTTCAATTTTTTAAGGAGAGGGTGGGGGTACCCCCCCCCCTCCCCCCTCCCTCTTCATCCCGCGCCTTGTGCTCAGCTCATACTATATTATTATTAAAACGTTATATTTATAATTATTTTCAATTGAAAAATAAAATGTTTCACACAAAAAACGTGACTTACTCTTAAAATCAAGCGCTTTTGCATAATCTGGAAAATCTTTAAGTAATTTCCGAAATTTCTCAACCGGTAAGACATATACTTCGCTAAAACCAACTGATATTAAGGTCGTGCTTCGGCGATCTTCATGACGGTGTTCTGGTTGGTATATCATGTTGAGCTCTCCAAAAACATCACCTTTTTTTAATTTTCGTATGATTTCGTTTTTTGATATTTCTATGAGAAATCCAGTTTCAACTATAAAAACCTCCTGAAAAGACGTTTATTTTTGTATTATATTAGACTTACACGACAAATATCCCCTGTGGTACATAAACAATCGTTTGGGCCGTAGAGTTGTGTATGGAAATGCATTATAAGTTCTTGTAAAAATACGTCTGTGGAATCCTAAATTTTTTTTCAAAACATCGTTTATGTTGATTTTTGTATTGTTTTTGTGCAATTGCCAATTAAAACAATGCTTTTTTGAAACTTACTGTAAACAATGCCATGTTCCGTAAATATTTTGAAAGCACTTGTGTTTGAATTTCATGTTGTAGCGCTGTTGTTAATAATGAATCCCGAGTCTAAAAATAAGTCTTTGAATGTCAGCTAACATACCGGATCATCAAACACCCATTGCTCTCCAATAGTAAAATCAAAATATCCAAACACTTTCTTCTGTACACTTTCTTCTACCCTTCGATTCTGCATATAAATTTTGGCAAGATCTTGGTTGCTTTTCAACTCTCGGTTAACACGATTAGCATTCTTGACAATTTCTGCAACCGATCCCATAATGGCACCAAAAATTAATATACCAATTACGGTATTGACCACTTCGTACATGTTTTCGGTATTGTTGTCAGGTTCTGGTTGTTCGCCGAGAGTTGTGATAGTCATTGATGACCAGTAAAAACTTAGAACGTATTTTTTTACTAAGCTTGTGAACGTTAAAGTATATTTTCTAAAAAAGGTGTATAATTTAAAATTTTACCTGTTTTTTACTAATATTTTTTATTCAAAAAATAAGCAAGAAATCTTACCAAAGTTTTACAAAAGAAGCTTTACAAAATTTTACCTAATTTTAAGATAGTCTGTTGTATTTTCGATACTTAATATTTTGTTTTCCAAATCGCATTGCAAAGACCATGGCATATCATTACATTCAGAGACCACAGGATCCATAATTTTTGTAAATGCAAAAGGCCAGTTGTTAGTTTCCGAATCATCAACTTCAAAATATAAGCTTAAAGCAAAGTATCCGCATGCATTCCAGTGAAAGATAAATACAATAGGTATAATGACCTTAGCCATTACAATAACGTTAGGCCAATTAGTATGCATCTGTACCCGGTTTAAAAAATAGTATACACGATATGTTTTAGCAAGAGTAAAGATTCGTATCATGTGCAGGTAACGATATTTTTGTATTACTGCATCAGTTGGCAACACAGATACAATATCAAGAATAAAGTCAGCGCTGAAATTTAGCACATTTTTAGAAAATACTTTAAAAAATTAATTTTAACCTCACGATTGCCCCTTGCTGTAAGACATTCAAAACTAACTTACCTCTTGATATACTGTTTTGCAATTATTTTAATGTTGCGTTCTATTAATCCGTCTACATATGTAGCTAAAAAAGTAATATAATGTATTTTAAGATAATTATCTATACAAAAAAACGTACAAACAAAGCAACGTGCTGGTATATCCACCAAAAAAATAATGTCTGCAATAATGTTAAAACTCATCCATAGGTTGTAATGGTAAGTAAACACGTCATCAAATGCCGGAAACGGAATAGAAAACAAATTGTACATGTTGACAAAAAAAATTACTATGTCCCAGTAAAATACACACAAACTTTGTTCATCAAAAGCTATATTGAAGTTGCTGAAAGAAAACGTCAAAATATTTATTATGTGTAAAACTAGAAAATTAAGTGTAGCTCAAATAAAGGCGTAAAAACTTTACTTTATTTATTTTATTTACAAGGCATAAATTCAAAAAAAATTTTTGCACAAAGCTTCTGTAGAAGGCCACCCCCACCGCTCGGCATTTTGTACCAATATACTGCTAATCGTTCTTGCTTATAAATTATATTCACAATTTTACGTTTTTCATGAAATTTTACGCGGAAAAAAGTGGGAAAGAGAGCCGGCGTAAAAATGAAAACCCTCGCTCAGTTGTGATCAAAGATACTTTCGAGTCTGTCGTAAAACAGGAAAGCATTGCTTATCGAAAAAAATTACTTTTTAAATAATAGACTACCTTTCACTTTTTTTGTTTATTAGTAAACTTACTAGTTTTGGCACATAGTGAAAATGGAGTTATGGCTAGTTGTACATATAATTGAAGAGCAAAAAATTTTAAGATATGTGGGAAAGAAATTAGCTGCCAACAATCTCGAAAAAAAGTTACTGTAACCCAAACGTTTTCCTGATATTTAAATTATGACACTGCAAGGATTTTAAAAACTAGGTACACTAGTTGATGAATAATCTTTAAAATGTCTATTTGCAAATTTTTACGCTATTCGGACTACTAATTAACGAGTTATGAGAAGATTACTGTAACGTGTAAAATTTATAATAAATCGTTGTATCTTCCCACTACTATATCTAAGTCAAAATTTGCACAGTAACGTTTTTTGTTGTGCTCTTTCAACTGTTATATTTACTTTTTTAATTTAAATGCTCAGGTGTTCAAAATTGCAAACTATGAAAAAATCTTTGAGTTACTGTAACTTTTTTTTTCGAGATTGTTGGCAGCTAATGTTTTTACCACATGTCTTAGAATTTTATAATCTTTAATTTGGTAGATACCGCTAGTCGTAGCTTGATTTTCACTATGTGCTGAAGCCTAGTTAATAAATATAAAAGTTCGTTCAAAAATCATATGGTTCAGGGGGGGGTTACAAAAAATTCAAGCTAGTTTAAAAATTTTCATTTGTTGTACGGATGTAGTAGCCAAATAAAAGAATATAAACACAAAAATTTAGAAAAAAACGGGTTATTGCAGGATTACTTTTGAGTTTTGAAAAGCTTTGAACAAAAGTTTTTATTTAAAAGACCTCCTCACAAAACGTTGGCGTTCTGTGTCAAAAATTAAGAAGTTTGCGTATTTTCTCGCAAAACCGAGTTCCAAATGGGTAAATGATGCTGTAAGAATACAATATCTCAGTATAGTAAAGCGTTGATATACTAATCACCTTGAACATTGCGTTTTGTGGCATAGCATGCGGTGCGGTGGGCGAACACTCCCTCAGACCATATGTACAAGCTGGCCATACACCAGTACAAACATTGGTGCCATCTGTTGTCAAACGTTTTTGCAGAAGTTTTTTTTCTCAGAAATTTTCATTTTTGTAAATGTATTATTTTTTTATCTTTTAATTTGTTTCAGTGCTTTTTGGGTGTTATAGGAAAAAAGTTGTTAACATCTAGAATTATTGTTGCATAGAAAAAACAAAGCAATTCTGACACTTAATACAAAAGTTACAAAAAAATCGTAAATTCGATCGTAATCCAACAGTAACCCGACTTTTTAAAAATTTAAACATTTTTACAATTCTTTACTCAAGTACTACATCAATGGAAGTTTTTCAACAAGTTCGAATTATCCCAGTGTTTTTCTGGGCGAACCTTATTTAACTTAAATATAGAAAGCGCTTACAACTATTATTACATACCTGTTTTGTGATAATAGTTCTCCATTACTCTGACCTGTTGTATCAATATCACTCAACTGTCGTTGAAATGTCGTATTTCCATTTTCGCCGTTAAAAATATTTTTCAACATCTGAAATTTTATATTATCTTAAAATTACGTTTGTTTTAAAAAAATCTTTGTGCTTATTTCCCTTACTCCAACCACAAAACCGCGTTTCCATAGTCGTTGTGGAGCTGAATTAGACGGTATTACGACTTCTGGTATCTGTTGAATAGTGGAACCGCTTTCTACAGTAGATGCATTTGAATTCATGACAGTTCACCATATAATACTTCGAAAATAAACAAAATGAACATACTCCTCTTCACAGTGAAGTGAGTACATTTTGGGACAAAATTGCGCTTATATCATAGTAATTTAACTGCAATTATAAAGTTATTACAACATAAGTACATTCTTTTGTATTTTTTATCCTCCTAAAATAATAAACTTGTACATATAAAGCTATAAAACGCAACTATTTTACACAACAAAACGAATTATAAAGTTATTAACACATAACTGCATTAAAAGTTCAGGACACTTCCACCAGAAAACGCCAGATAACGACGTCATGCAGTATTTTTTAATGTTAAAACGAAGCCAAAAAATCCTGTTTGAAAAAATAAAGTATTATTTCTTCAAAACTGGCCCTAATTCTTTTTATAGAAAACGACAAAATTATAATGCAAAGGAAAATTTTAAGTGTACATATATAATAAGGATTGCTTTAAAAAATAGGTGGCATAAATTTTTGTAATTTTCAGTTAATTATCAAATTTTGTGTACATAACCAATAATCTTAAAGTACAATAATACAGTTCAGAACCATGAATATTGCGCCGCATATAGCATAAATCGTAAGATATTTAAAAATTGCAAAAAAATTACGTCTCATTATTTTTTATTGACGTTTTTCATTGCAATGGAAACTTTTATCCCTTCAAATTTAAACTAAAACTTTATTTAAAAAAGAAAAGTAGAAAGCTACCTTTGAAAAGACAAGAATGAAAGCCAGGAGCATGCTAAATCCTTTTAAAAAACATCCTATTTACTTTTTATGGCACATTTAAAAAATTAAGTTTTTATGAAAAAATACTTTCAAAATAATGCAAAATTATATAATTTACTAAAAAATTATATTTTAATAACGAATTAATGACCTTTTCAAAAATATTATTTAATATTTAAATTTTTTTAAGAATTCTAACAATGACAAAAAAATAGCATACGTTTTTGAGATGCTTTTAGACTGCTTTAACAGACATATGTATACTATTCTTTAATATTTAAACGATAGATTTAATTGGGACTAATTGAAGTTGTCAATCTAAAAACCATTTTTTATTTCTTAAATATGCAAGAACTATTGTGTATCACCTGTTAAGATAAACACAGTTCTCCGTTTCTGGTCTTGCTGAAAAATTAAATGCTGTACGTAAAGGTAAAGCTATTGAAATTTCAATTGTAACAGTTTATAAAGCTTTCCTTTTAGTCTCTATTATTTTAAAATACTTTTAAAATATAAAATATTATTTTTTTGTTTAATAATGTAAGGTCTCTGATTAGAAAGATCCTATCAAAGTATGGTTTTGCCAAAAGCTTTAGTTGATATTATTTTAATATAATATAAATAGTTTTAAAAAATAAAATTTGTTCACTTTTGATTTTACATTATACACGGTAAGTAGGCCAATATATTTTTTTGTATTTATTGGCTAAATTTATGTTTTTACTAAAAGATATGTTTTTCTGGTGGTGAGATAAAGAGAGACATCAATAAGGAATAGGTCAGCCGAGTGGAATGGGTCACCTCTGAATAGGTCACTTTATTAAATTTGCCACATAAAAAAAAGTAATTTACCTGAGGTAGGTATAGCGGTAGAGGTAGAGGTATAGCGGTAGAGGTAGAGGTATAGAGGTAGGGGTAGAGGTATAGCGGTAGGGGTAAAGGCATAGCGGTAGGGGTAGAGGTATAGCGGTGGGGTAGGGGTAGAGGTATAGCGGTGGGGGTAGGGGTAGAGGTATAGCGGTAAGGGGTAGGGGTAGAGGTATAGCGGTAGGTACCCTGTAAAAAAAGAAATTGATAAAGTTTACTATAGTTATGTTTAGTTTTGCAGTAATTCTTAATTTTTGATTTACAATAAGTTATAACGCAAGGGCATTTTGCGGCCGTTTTTCATTGTTTACAAACTAATATTCCATCGTATAACTTGTTTCCGCTAGCCGCAGAATAATTTTTTCGCAGTTTGCTTTCCTTTTTTCTTGTTATTTTTTTTTGCGGAATTTTTTTGGCGTGTAATTTTATTGAAGCTTGTCTAAATTATGTTTTTAGTGTAAGTTTTTATTGGCTAGCATTGACTCAACGCCGATTAAGAATTAGGAAGTTTAGCTAATTGGTGAATGATATGGGTTGCATTAACAGTACAGATCAACATGCTAAAGCAAGGTCTAGAGCCATTGATGAGCAAGTAAGTGTTTTATTCCTTAAACTTTATATATGGACTTATGACTTGTAACATGTTGAATATTAGTGTATATACTGTTTGCTAATTTTTTATTTGATAAAAAGCTTTTAATATGGAAGTATACTTTTTTTCATTTGTTAGCTGCGTGCTGATCACGAAAAAGCGCAACGCGAGGTTAAACTTCTTTTGCTTGGTGCTGGAGAGTCGGGAAAATCAACCATAGTAAAACAGATGAAAATTATTCATGAAACGGGGTACTCGGACGAAGAAAGAAAAGCATATCGCCCAGTTGTTTACTCTAACACGATTCAATCTTTAATGGCGATTCTGAGAGCTATGACACCGTTAAAAATTCAGTTTGGACAAGTTCAACGTTCGGATGATTGTAGACAATTCTTCTTATATGCGCAATCAATGGACGAAGGAGAACTACCTCCAGAAATGGCAACAATTATGAAGCGGTTGTGGGCTGATGAAGGCGTTCAGTATTGTTTAGCTAGAAGCAGAGAGTTTCAATTAAATGACTCCGCTGCCTATTATTTGAATTCATTAGACCGAATTTCACAATCAGGTTATATACCCACCCAAGATGATGTGTTACGTACAAGAGTCAAGACTACAGGAATAGTGGAAACACATTTTACTTACAAAGACTTGCATTTCAAGTAAGTGTTTATTAATGTTTAAATATATATTTGTCGTATATTGTACTATCTTCAATAAATGGCTTCAGTAAAATTGTTTAATATTTAGTATATTCATAATTAAATTTTAATTATAGGATGTTTGACGTAGGTGGTCAGCGCTCTGAGCGCAAAAAATGGATTCACTGTTTTGAAGGTGTCACTGCAACAATATTTTGTGTAGCTCTATCTGAGTATGACATGGTTTTAGCAGAGGATGATGAAATGGTACGTTGTTATTTGTTTAATTTTCATATTTTGGTTTTTAGAATCGAATGATTGAATCGATGAAGTTGTTTGACAGTATATGCAACAATAAGTGGTTTACAGAAACGTCTATTATTTTATTTTTGAATAAAAAGGATTTGTTCGAGGAGAAGATTAAAAAATCACCGTTAACATTATGTTACCCTGAATATCAAGGTGAGGTATTTTTTAAAAGTTCTTAATTTAGTATTTTTTACAATTTTTTAAATATAATATTATTTAAGGTTCTAACACATATGAGGAAGCTGCAGCTTACATTCAACAGCAATTTGAATCTTTAAATAAAAGGAAGGATGGCCAGAAGGAAATCTATGCTCATTTCACTTGTGCCACGGACACTAACAATATTCGATTTGTTTTTGATGCTGTTACTGACATTATTATAAAAGAGAATTTAAGACAGTGTGGACTGTTTTAGAGCGTCTTAGGTATAGGTATACGATTTATTTGTTAATTAATCACGCTGTAAATCTGCCCTACGTTTCTAACTGGCGGTATTTTTGGTTACGTATTTCTTATTGTAAAAAATCTCCTTTATGGTCACAAATTAGATTTTTCAATCTTTTGAGCACGTACATTGTATACACATAATTGTTGAATTACTTATTTATTTATTACTTGTATTATGTTAAGTTTAATTGCGTTAATCATTTTTCAGCTCACTTTAGTAATTCTTAAAGCATAATTTTTTGGAATTTTATACAACGTTGACATATGATGTTTAATAAACGTAACAACGCAGTTCATTTGCTTTATGATATATTTTGGTGATGGTATTTTATTATAAGTCCGGAAATGTTAAAAAATTGTTTTATGTAAAAACTAAGAATGGAAAGAAATAACGCGGTAAAATGTCACTATTATCACTGCCAATTATAAATATAAATAACTCACAGTTTATAAATTGGTAACCTTGACACAAATATAAGGTAAAAGATCAATGTAATTTATCAACGTTTCTAAAAGATGACGAGATTCACGGAACGGGGTGGCACATCGTGTTTTTAAGGCGTTTACATCAAACAATTAAAATGTTTATTAACGGCTTTTACAACTTTCAAAATATTTTTTGTTGAAAGACATACATTTTTGCAATATTTAACTATTTTCGTTTAATTATTTGTATAAAATTAATTTTTTTAGAACAATGCGTTTTTTTAAAGTTATGTTATTTTTACTGCTACAGTTAAGTTTTTTACCATGTCGTTCTTTACAACAATTGGAACAAATGTGTGTTTACAATTTTGGCGGCCGGGTAATTAGGCCATCCGATCTTGAGTATGACACTATACTAGAAGGAAAAACTATATGCGTTTCGGACACTTCTGGTTGTCGTGCTATACAAGAGGGCATAACCGAAAATTCAGATGAATACACTGTGCATTATAGCGATGTTAATGCTTTGCTTGAAAGTCAAAAATTACAACTAAAGAATGTCACCGTGAACGATAAAAGATGTGTAGTTAGTACGTTTGCAACGACAAAACGTTTTAAAGCAACAAATAACTGTTTTTAAAGTTAACTTTAATATTAAGCTTTTTTAGTTCACCGTCCAAAATCTCTGACGTTAGGAACTGATGTTTATGCGTACAATTTCCTCAACAGCAAAAATTTAACGTATGATGCAGTTGAACCTAACAACGATGACATACCGTTTGTTTACCGCAACATTAAGTTTTTAGTTCCACTTTACGAATATTTTAATTTCAACCGAAGCGCTTATTACGTTGATAGTATACCGCCAATTGACGAAAATGACATATTTATTAGATTTTTGGGATATATTGTTTCACCATACAAACTAGACGAATTTAAAAGTGAATGTCCGTATCTTGAGCCGTTGTTTGTACGGCTAGGAGTTAACGGTCAAAATTATTATGGAACAGCAAACAAAGCGTTAGAACCTTTGGTTGTAAAAGACCACCTTCCAAATGGAATATTGGGGTATATCAGCGACGTTTACGCATATTGCGAAAGTAACTTGGTGCTGTCTCAATACAGAAAATTGACCTATTCTAGTGCACAATCAATTACTATTGGTGATGATAGACTTGATAAATGCGATGTATTTTTTTATTTTAAAATTGTTAATCAGTTTTTTATTTCTAACTTTAAAATGACAAGAATTTTATATGAAAGGATTTATTTTTTGTAGTCGAAAGAATACGACCATAAACTATACTTTAAATTTTTTATGTTTGATCAAAAATAATAATTAATGTTATTAATAGAAACAAAAAAGTATTTTCGTAGTTTAAAACATATATTTTAGAATGTTGAGCATTATATGGGATACGGATTTGCTTCGCCAAAAAGTTGGGATGTAAAATATACATTAACAGCTGAACTTAATTATCAATCATTGAATTATGAACACATCAGACGTATAGTTGTACCGTTGTATGATAATAATGAAAATGCCGTCGAATCGTGTAGTAAGTTCAGACTTACATTGCTAAATAACTCAAATTTTAATACATTTTTACTCAATAGTTGTCTTTCCTGCTGACTTTAAAGCATTTATTATACTACATTTCGAAGTACTAATTGTAATTCTAGCTCGTAGAGGAAACCTTTTGACTAAAGAAGATGGTGAGGTACTTTCGAAAATTTGTCCAACTTTAACACCACTATTCTATGGATACGATACAACTACACATGTATATACCTATAATACAGAGACATTCGGATTAATTGATTTTGATTGTATAGGATATTGTTCAAGAGTTTATGGTGATTGTTTTGCAACATCAGCATTGCACGTTAAAAATAAGGGTACAGGTATGTGTAACGTACGACAGTTAATTCATAACTAGGCGCAAAAATTTTCAACTTTTTGAATTAAATCATTAAACGTATTATAAAAACTGACTAGTTTTAGTGCTGGAAAACTTTGGCATTGGCAGAAGTTCTGTGGACCCGCTCTTATGTTACGTCTGGTGAAATGTAGCGATTTAAATAAACAACAACTTAAAATTAGGCCTAATTCGAGCTCGTTGCAAACGATATAATATTTTAAGTTTATCTTGTTAAATATAATATTTGTCTTAAAAAATAATGTTTTGTTCTATTTTTTCTAATTCGAAGCTATTATAATTCCAGATGTTAATGCTAATTCTTTTCCTATGTCTGAAGGTTACATATTCAGCAACACTGGTTATGCCTATGCCAAACACATACATAAAATATGCCGAAAGCAATGCTGTGCCATATTTTCAAGAAAATTATTTAATTGAACTTTTAGAATTTAAGGTATTTGGTCAACCAAACGGATTCTTTGTAGGAGTTAACCCTCCAACACAATTAAACATCAGGTTTTCAAGTAAGACTTAACCACAATTCAATAAATTTTTTAGTTTCAAAATCTCTACAAAAATTTCAGAATTAATATCGTTGATAGTCAGCGCAAGTAGCTTTGAAACTATTCGAAATCACGTATATGCTAAGCACAATCCGACCGATCTCTTGCCATTGTACACTACAGAGAATAACGGTAAAAACAAACAATAAGTAGTATTTTGTTATTTTTAGATGTCGGCGTACTATCAGCAAACAAATCAGAAGGGAATTTATCTTACTTATTAGGATACTGTAGTCCTAAATTGGGGTACTTTGGGGCGACGGTGCCACTGTTTGGAGAATTCAATGGTCCGTTGACAATAAATACAGATGGCGGTCGCGATAACAATTGTAATAACATACAAAAACCATTGTGTTATGGATGGGCAAAGTCTTCTAGATACCATGTTGCAGTAGGATATTACTTTGCGTTCAATTTTATTCTAATTTAATTGATTTTAGGACTTATTAAAAACAAATGAGACATTAGAAACACTGACTTACAGTAAGCTAACTAAAAATCTCATTCCTTTAATGCCTCCAAATCCGGACAATGTCAAGACATGTGGTAAGTAAAAAATGAACTAAATTTACGACATTGAGAGAAAAATTTTCTAAAGGCTTAACCTACGAAGACGATTTTAACTAGGCTTATAAAAAATTTCTAAATATAAAAATATTGAAATGAGTAAATTAAGACTAAATATAATACTTCTAAGCCTTTGCATGCTCAACTTTAGTCTTTCAGTCATCTTGATATTGTTTTTATTTTTTGCGTTAAGATGAGTAACATCCAGCCTTGGTAACAACAGCTTTTTAGTGCTTCAAAATTCCTCGCTTGATGGTAGACATGGGGAACGAGCCTACCGTCGGGCCGGGCCTGGAAATCGCGAAAAAAAATCCGGCCCGTTTCCACGCAAAAAGGCCCGGGCGCGTTACCCTTGTCTGTTTGACGGGAGTCAACACTAATTACCGCTGTTTTTAGCTCAATTAGGGAACGTCTTGAACCAAGTAGACGTGAATATGAGCATTTCAAACCTATGCGATTCTTTGACGCCATTGTACAGTTTGAGAAACAAAAAGTGGTGTACGTTAATCATTTTTTACTTATTATAGCTATGAATGATGAAACATAAAAAATAAATATTTAGGGTTTCGAACGTTTACCGTACAACCAGATCCAGTAATCCACAATGTTTTCCAAAACAAAACGCAAAACATAGTTGGTTATTGCGCTAAGGTAAAAGGAGACTGCTACGCTAACGCTGCCCTATATATAGTAAACCAAAATGAAAGTAAGATTTGAAAATACAATAACGTAAAATTAAAATTTTTTTTGACTATTACTAATAAATTTCATTACAGAAACTGAAAGATTTGAAATCTCAAAGAACCCTAATGGAAAGCTGTTATGTTATGTTTGGTAAAAATATATCAAAAATCAACAATAACTTGTTTACAACTTTATTCGATCCACAAATTAAAAAATATACCCAAAATATTGCGTTAGAAGGCCATAATATATTACAAAAAATAATTAATAAATTTTAATTTATCACAATTGAAAGAAGTACAATTTTAAGACGCCATTATAGCTTCAAGAACAAAAGTTGGCTACCCTTACGTAACACCGCTTTATTGTTTATCCGGTTTTGTTTTTAAGTTGGTTAGAAAGCCAGTCTAAACCCTCGTACAATCCATCTCCAGTAGTCGCACAAGTTGCTTGAATATACCAATTACGGTTTCGTAAATTGTGAAGCCCCAGTTTATCCGTAATCTCGGCTGCAGACATTGCGTTTGGCAAATCCTAAACCATAATGTAAGCATATTAAGTGTACTAATTTAAGATTGAAAGAAAATTCATTCTCAAAGTAGATAATTAAAAACGCTAGTTTTCTCTATACAAACAAAAATTGAAAATTTCAAGTTTTTTTTATTTTACGCGTAATTATAAACACGGACGTCCGTTATCTACCCCCTTCACCAGAGTGGATGGCCAAGCGCGTAGAATCCTTTCACCTACCTGCTTATTAGCAAAAATCAATAATACAGCATCCCTGAGCTCGTCTTCGTTTAACATTCTAGCCAACTCATCTTTAGCTTCCTCAACACGCTCTCTGTCATTACTGTCCACAACAAATATCAGTCCTAAATTAAATATTTATTTCTTAAAGATTATTTACAGTCAATAAAAATATTTTTTTAATTTCTGTGATTTGAATTTTTAACAACATTTCTATTTATTTGGAAGCAAATTATTCATTTGGTTTACTATATAACGCAATAGATATCTAAATATTAAAGTAAGAAATATAAAAAAGTACCTTGAGTATTTTGAAAATAGTATCTCCATAGCGGCCGAATTTTGTCCTGTCCACCAACATCCCACACGGTAAAAGAAATATTTTTGTATTCAACAGTTTCAACGTTAAATCCTATTGTAGGGATAGTTGTCACAATCTCTCCCAACTTCAATTTGTAGAGAATCGTTGTTTTACCAGCAGCATCAAGTCCGACCATCAAGATTCTAACTGCTTTGTTTCCAAAAAGCCGACCAAGCAAACTTGAGATAGTTAAACCCATTTTACAACCTTAAAGTTAAACTTAAAAATTAATTCAAATAGAAAATACTGAACGCGGTAGATTGCGACGATTGTGATCAACAATATATAAATTAAATAACTTATAAATGAGCAACACAGAATCTTCTTAAAACCCCAAATACGTGTAAAACGTGTTATAAGCGACGCTTAAAGTGGAAAGCCAACATATTTTCCCCCTATGTTTTCGTTGCAAAACCAAAAAAATACTTACACAATTTCCTTTAAATCTTCATTTCGTTCAAAACGTGGGTACGAAAAAAAGAACTACTCCTAACGTATTGAAAAAAATACAACAATTATTTTTTAAAATTTCTTTGTATTAATTACACTTTTGATATATAAATGTATATATAATCAAAATTAAATTGTGAAAAGAAGCAAAACTAAATAATTTAAAGCAATGTCCAATTACTAATCAAAAATTTTTAATTCTCAAATATAACAAATAAACAAAAATCAACACAGTCATTTCATAAAGAATTGATTACTCCGAAAGGGTCAACCTAATAAATTTGTAATACCCTTTATTTTCACCAACGCTTTTTGTCTTCAAATAATATCTCGACGTTAAACAACTTTTCCTTTCTAGTTTATTCTACAAATCCATTGATAAATCTCAATAACGTAAAATCATAACTCTTTCGTGTATTTCTGAAGGAAGAAGAACGGTAGGGGGTTATTTGATTTCAAATATAACAAAAAATACCTTTTTCTGCGTTTGGCGTTTAATATTTACCTTTGATAGTAGCTTAAATAGCGTTTTGAGAAGTCGCAGAATATGTCTATCATCAACATAAATGATAGTTTGGGAGAAGAGCACAACGAATTAACACAATCTGAACTGCCAAACGGTCATGTTGAGGAACGAGTACAGGTTGATCGTCGAAAATTGGAAAACATGATTTTAGGTGTGGAGGAAAACGTACCAAACGCTGAAGATTATTTTGAACAAGTAGGATTTCTATGAGTTGAATTTTGTTTTAAACCCATTTCGTGAAGTGTTAGTTTAATTATAAATTTTATTTAGGTTTCCGCACAATCTGGAACAAAGATTCAATGGCCTTCTAGGTTAAAAATTGGTGCGAAAACAAAAAAAGATCCATTTATTAAAATAATTGGACCCGTTGAAAATGTCAAAAATGCAAAGAAGATTATAAACTCATTACTAAAAATTAAGGTAAGGTTACTTAAAAACGTATGTCATCAATATTCTTATCAATGGTAATAACTTTTAGAAACATCGCATTACATTGAAGATAGAAATACCGCACGCTGAACACTCTCACGTTATTGGCAGACGAGGAAAAAATACTCAAGAAATTATGCAAAAGACCCATTGTCATATTCATTTTCCTGATTCTAACAAACACTCGGATGCTGAAAAGAATAACCAAGTATCGATTGCTGGGTCTACTTTACAAACTGAAAATTCAAGGAGTATGTTGCGAGTAAGTTGATATAAGGGGTCCTCCGCAGGCTTGGACGTAGGGCAGGGCCCTGCCCGGCCCGGCCCTAGGGCCCGATCGGGCAGGGCATTTACAGGGCCTTTGTAATTTAAGTTTATAAAGTTAATAACAAGTGAAATAAACTGCTTTATATCTACCCGACCTTACTCCCACCTATTTTAGCCCTACCCGGCCTCACCTTTGACCCTTTTAGACCTTCCCGGCCTCACCCTTGACTTTTTTAGCCCTACCGAACCTTACTTCTGACTTTTTAGCTTTAGCCAATTCTACCTCTGGTCTATTTAGCCTTACCCGACCCTACACCTTACTTTTTTTACCTTACCCTACTATACCATACCCATCCTACATAACATTCCATACCGTACCATACCATGCCCTATGCTACCTACTATACCATACCCATCTTACCAAACAAAGCATACAAAGCCCAACAGTACCCTATCATACCATAACCTATCCTATCTATCATAACAAACCCTACAATACCCTATAATATTATAACATGCCACACTCTACCATACCCTACCATACGATACTATAACTGACTATATTATACCATTTACCTTGCTTTATTTACCTTCTCTAACCTACCCATAGATAGTACACAGTAGTGTTGTATAAGATAGGATAAGGAGATATGATACAGTATCGCCCTACGTCCAAGCCTGATCCTCCGTCAGCCGAGAAATTAAAAGAGGCTGACTAGTTATGCATTCTTTGGAAATATTGCAATTTACGAAACTTTTCCACGAAAAATTCCTACTCATCCAGGGCAATGTACTATGATATAAAGACTTTTAGAAAATATCTCCTGTTATTATCACGATAGTAGCGGAAATTACCAAGCCTCAAGTAGCGTCTGTTGAAGCTCAAAGGAAAGCGTTGGCCCAACCTGATATTACGGTAACAATCCAACAGACTTCAACTAATGTCTTTCAATGGAATATAAAAGCTTCCGGTCACAATAAAGCGGGAATTCTTAAAATGATTGAAAAAATACAAAAAATCAACGACTTGAAAAGTGAAGACTGTCAATGTAAATCTGTCTTTGAACTGCGCCCAGTATTGCTTTCTGCGTGTTACGGTCTATTTAAATTAAGCACAGTTCGATGGATTGCAGCGCACACCAATACTCAAATGCAATTCTCAGCCCAAGATCCTTTTATTGTTATTCTTGGCGAACCTTCCGCAATTTTACACGCCCGAGAATACTTAACTGGACTTTTACCTGTTACCTTATTGTTCGACAGGCAAAACGATGGTAACATAAACATGGATCGAGGATTTACAAGAAGACTCGAAGAAGAGTTCTCCGTAAAAATAATCGAAAAAGAAAAAACAGGAAGCTCTGGTGCTGAAAGTGTAAGTTTCAAAACTTAGTATTTAACATAAAAAATTTAAAGTTAAAAAAGTCGATATTTGATGCAAAAAATTTAGTTATTTTTGATACGTACTCATGAAGCCAATTTGACGTCTGCTTACCGTACGCGCCTGTTAATTTTAAACGAACCTTCTGAATTTATACCAAACGAATACGAATTTATGAAAGATTTGCAGCTGTAAGTCTATAAATAGAAAATTTTGCATAGTTAAGTAACAAGTCTATAAACTTATTGATTTAGCTTGATAAAGCAATCGGAAAGTGTGCTTATTAAACCACGAAACCATATGTCAGCCCCGATATTTTCACAGTCAGTCAACGTCAGCTTGGTAATTGTTTTGTATTATAATATGCTACGTTATTCTTTAATTTAGAAATCAAGAAGCACTTATAATTATGATTGAGTAATCAAAATTTTGGCCGAGATAAATTTGTTACAGTACATAATAAAAATATAGTATTTTACATTAAGAATATTAGACGGATAAAGTAGCATTACGTCTTTATTTTTGATCATCGGTACTTAACTTAGCATATGAATAAGCCTACACATGTATTACAAATTGACAATTTAAAGATGCAAGAACCACCAGATTCGCCAGATCCAAAAGAGTCACCTATCGCTCACTCCTTACTAAGCGGAGTACGAAGTTTCAATTCTACGTAAGGCAATTTTAATTGTAACTTATAATAACATTTAAGATTTTTTAAATTTTAAGTAATAACGGTTGTTTTTCTAAACTATCACCATATTTGTTTTCCACATAGCTGTGCTAATAACCTCGGATCACATTTTTAAGTAAAATTTTGTAACAACCCGTATAATTTAAAATTCACTGCAGAAATGCTAGAGAAAGCTTTACATTCTGCAATCAGAAAAACGTTTTTGATAGAAACGTCAATGAAGAAACAACGCAAAACTTATGGAACGGAACATCGTGCAGCTTTAGCTCATCGTTACCGGCTAGAATTTTACAAGCAGATCTTCAGGAAATTTGGGATACAGACGAAAGAAATGGTGAGTACGCAAAGTGTGAAAGTACTTTTTTGCAAAAATTATTTATTCTTAATTTGAAAATTATAATATGTACAGAAAATCCTGCATAACGACACCTTTAAATCCCCATAGAGACGCCTCTGGTTTCATTGTAACTGCAATACAATATTGTAACATTAATAGAACAGTTTTTTCATTAAATTTAATGATGTAAAGTAAAGTAAAAAAGCAGATAGTCTAAATTTGTTAGTTCAATTTTTTACCTATATAGTAAACCGGCATTACGTTGCAAACTTTTTTCAGATAATTTGAATTCTAAAGACGTTAGCTACAACCAGTCAAATTCAAATCAAAATCAGCTAGCATCGGTGCTGGAAGAAGACGAGCCGTCTGATTACAATGTTTACAACAATTCAAATCTTTCGGCACGCATGGGAGCAAATCAAACTGATCGTATTGGAATACCTCCCGGCTTTAACCAATCATTAGGATTTGGACAGTCTGCCAACACATTCATTAACTCTACCAATTCGTCCTTAGGATCGGACATGAACTGGGATATTCGAAGCCATACAGAGCCACAGACCGTGCTGTCACAACTAGGATGTAGTGAATACTTGAAACAGTTTAAAGAACAAGAGGTAAAACTTATATAAATTGGTATAAAATATGGCTAATTTTTGCCCTTTTTCTTTATCAAAAGCCATGACTTTTATCATTTTGATTATATTAGATTTTAACAATATTTCGTCCAATCCAAAGGTCGATGAGAAACCTTTAAAAAAGTCCAAAGGCTATGAGAAAACCTTTAATTTCTGAATATATAATGTAAAATAATTTAGATTGACATGCAAGCATTTTTACTCTTAGATGAAACTAATCTAAAAGACATTGGTGTCGTAACAATGGGTGCCCGAAAAAAAATTTACAATGCTATTTTAAGTAGGTTTTAGATTTTTCACAAATTTTTGTAAAAAAACTTAATTATTCTTTGGTCATTAGAACTTTTTTTCAGAATTGCGTGACTCTGCTGAACGACAAGGCTACGTTATATGATTGATGATTTAAATGGCAATATAAATTAACAGTAAAAATTAATTAAAACAATTTTATTGAAATTAAAAAGATTTATACATAACAATACATACAATTTGAAATTTACAATGACATCGTCAAGATTGTCTTGAGTTTGACCAACCTCTTATTCTGTGCTTGTTGCGTAAGCGTTATCACAAAACGTCACAAATCAAGCACGTTTAAAAAAGGCGTAAAGTGATACCGCGCAGATTTAAAAAAGGTATATATTTTGGGGGAATTTAAGGTTTCTAAACATTAAAGGATGATTTTCAACAATTCTATTACGTATAAAATGTACACAAATTAAATGATAGTATCATTATACGATCAATTCCAAAATTAAAGTTTTTTTTAACAAATAGAAAACTTTTTTTTCATCCATGGACTCAGTTTCCGAAAGCGGGCTGGCTAGCATAAACAAGGTACAAAAAACCGTCTTGTTCCTGTTCCATTTGATAAATTTGTTGAACTGTCATTGAATTGCTGACAATAGACTTTTCATTCATCAAAAGAAAGAAAGCTTGGTCTGGGTGCAAATGAAGACGACGGCGTACAATTTGCATCAACTCGGCAACTGTTATATGTCCTGGAACCAAATATTTGGACTTGTCCAACAAAGGCAAACTCTTCTCTCCTTCAAACCTTTCAATAATAATTGGGACCTTGTCTGGCTGTTGTCTGAATATTTCTTCAACCATTCGCTTGCGTTCGTCTGAAAAATTACATTTTAGAGAAACAAATATTAATAATAATATGATTTTATTTAATTTATCTAAATAGTAAAAATAAACTTAAAAACCTTACTCAAACTTTTTCGTTCTTTGAAAGATGGAACAAATCCGTTTCCTGACATTTTAAGTTCACGTATTTGCGATGTAACACCTAAAAAACAAAGGTTATTGACTTTTATATTATATTGGCATAAAACAAAAATTTAACGCGAAAATATTAACCCATATTTATAACAGAAAGTAAATATATAAAGCAACAAAAAACTACGCATTAATAACAACCTATCTCTACCTTCACATACAACCATATGACCCGCCTTGAGTCCTTCACATGACACTACGAATACTCTTTTCTCCAATTTTTTCTAGAGTCGGGATAATCTTGACCCTAAAACAGCTGATGTGTTATGTGTTTCTTAACGCTTTGAAGGAGAAAAGCGCAGTCTGCATTCTCACAATACGCTTCGTGGAACTCTGCGCCCACATTTACGACAGATCTTGAGTTTTAGCGACGTAATTGAGACCTTGTAGTTGCATTAAAACGATTGATTGAAGGTTTTACGTTAAATTTATAATGCCGTATGTTAATTCCGGTAAGTCTATTCTGTAAATTTAAATTCTATTTATTGATTTTTAAGTTATGCTATGAAACTTTAAAATATTGATTTTAATTTCAGAAGGTGAAGTTGTAAACAATGAGCCAGCTCTTAAATCCGTATATAAATTTTTCTTTGAGCTTTACATTGGAGTTATGTTATTGTGAGTTATTTTTGTTTTGTTATTTTTTAGTGACTGTTTTATAATGTGTTACAATTTAGTTTTCGAACATTATTTGGACCATTATTAGGAACGACAGTTTCTGATCCAGACGAGCAAGATCGATTTAGAAGCTCCATGGGCCGAAGAAATGGAGGCGGCGGAGGAGGAGGCGGATGGCCTGGACGACCAGGTGGTAGGTTTATAACCGTGAAAGTAATTGATTGTGAACGTGTTTTTTTAGTTAAATTTTTTTTGACTTTCGATAAGGTACATATTTAAGGCGGTGGTCGTCGTCCTATCGGTCGCCTTAACAATACAACAACAAATATTCCATCCTGCGCTTCTGGTGGATGTTGCGGAGGTTAACAAATATAGCTATTCAATAAACTTTTATTTTAAAGTCGATTATAAATAATTTAATGTCTTTGCAAAAAAATTTTAATGGATATCAGTAAATTATGTAGTTAAGTACTTAATCACTTTATAAATGTTGCGGTTTATGTCGTCAAGTCATTTTGCAGTGGTAATTTACAAAGACTAAACACACTGCCATTCCTCCTACCGCTAAAGGTAGTATAACCAGTAAGACGATTAGATTACTACCTTGGTACCATCCACGAGAGTTTGATCCACTTTTTGTGTATTCTCGCTGAAATAATTTATTAACTTTAGTAGTTCAAATTAACCTACTGCATTGTATAGATATAAAAGAGGGGGAAGCGATTCGGATCAATATAGGGTTGTATGCTTATAAAACGTACCCCTTTTGCACCTGCGCCGTAGCGCGACATTTCGTAGTCGTTATCGCGATGCTGATCCATGTTTGATCGCAGGTGAGCGAAGGTGTTACATAATGGTGCGTCGCAAGCACAAACTTCGGTCCATCGATCAAAATCTTTTGCACAGTCGACTGGCCTGTCTTTTTCGTCCCAGCCGCAAAGTTGGTCTAACCTTCCGTTTCCTCCTAAAAATTTAAAAAGGTTGGTTTTTTCATTAACCTTTATTATATATACAATTATTTTTATAAAGTAAAAATAAGATTTCTACGCACTTTTAGGCACGGTATTGATTTTTAAATCACAATTGTTTAATCAATAAGTGCACAATTTGAACAAACATACCATCATTACTTATTCCTATAAGGCACCACTTTCCGGTACATACTAATGAACCGGGACATGTTAGTTTATCACAGAAACATTTTATTTCATCTAAAAAAAAGTTTTGTTAGTGGCATTCAGCAATAAAAATTTGGTAATTATGTAGTTATTAATTACCTGAACTGCTTTGAACATAGCTGAAGTTAAGCAATGCGATCAACGTCATTAATTTTATATTGTGAATAAACGACATAAAATACGCTCCATTCCACATTTAGTAACAAAAAATTAATGTCGTAACATGCAAGAAACGATACAAAAAATGAGCGTGGGTCGGCAGGCTGTCTGTCCTCAATCACAATTATATTTGAAAATTCAATTCATAGTTGTATCCAGCTAGGAGCTTTTGTCGACTAAAATGAATAAGATTTAATTTTTTTTTATTTTTCAATGTTTTTTTGGGGTAAAATAATACGAAGTTACAGGTTTCACCCCTAGTATTATAAGACCCATTAATATTAGTATATTTTAAATTTACATAATGCAAGTTTATACCTCATTAATTAATAATGTAGGAAACGGGTGGCTTCTCACGTAATGCATTACAAATTTTAATTAAATTTAATTCAATGCCTTTTCGAAAAATAGTAAGAAAATAAATATTTCCAACTATTATAAACTATGTAACGAAGATTATTAACTTTAAAAATTTCTATATTGACATAAACTATCAATAATACTAAGTATAACACAAATATACTAAAAAACAGTTTAAGCTGTGTTATAATTATTCTAGCTATTAATATAAACTCATTTTAGTACAAAATTTTTTACATTGCTATGATCTGTTAAAAATTGCCGGGTCTATCAGGTTGACTTTAAAATATCTTCACACTTTGACCTAGGAAACAAGTAAAACTAGAAGAAACAGCTGTTTGATTAGCTTTTCAAAAGTCAGAGTTCGAAATTGTATAATAAATATGGCAATCAGTTAACATTAATATGTATGAATTACTAATGAGCTGTCAAGTTAAATTTTGGTTGCAAGTTTTAAATCTTCCATAACTTATAACAAAAGCGGTTTTTTGACAACGCATTTATTTTTAATGGTACATATGTTAAAAAACCGGATTGTGAGGTTTTGTGGACTTCATTTATGGCTGGGGACTTATACTTCAAATTTTTTTCTTCAAAAATATTTTTTTCTCAGTGAAAATTAAAAAATGGCGCAGAAAAATACAGAATCCTGCGCCATTTGAAAAAAATATCGTTTGAAAGAGAGAGAGTCTTTTCTCTAGTGTCTTTCGTTTTATTGTGCTCTCTTTTAAAACGGCGCAGAATTTTGTATTTTCCTGCGCCATTTTTTGGTTTTCACTGAGAAAAAAAAATATTTTTGAGAAAAAAAAATTTAAAGTATAAGTCTCCAGCCATATTTGTAAGTTTATTATTGTTTGAAAAGACTCAGCACTACTATAAACGATTATTTATTTTTTAAGTGAATTCAGTTTATTATTTAAGCTAATTTAATATTACCGTACCCTGTTTGGATAAATGTAAAAAAGTAACTTACAAATGTCATATTGTGTTATAATAGGTAAAAAGGTTTCAAGCTTGTACCATAGAACAGACCGTCTTAACTCTGGAGATTTTAGGTTCGGACAACCTCAGACACGGCTAAAAAATACACTTTATACGATTTACGCACGTAGAGACTAGTTTTTTTAATACATCAAAACAACAACATGTTATTCGTAGGTAAATTCTCTCGCTTATTGCACTCAAAAAGTTTTGAACAAAAAATAATTTTACTAAAACTGACTTGAAAAACGTCTGAAAAATCGGCCATATTTGGCAAGGTTGAAAACAGATGAACCAAAATAAAAGACAGAATTGAAAAAACCGTTCCCTTGAGGGTCTGTGCCTTGGCTCTTTGACTTCTGTTTTGCATGAAAAAGCCAGGAAAATAAATTTTAATATTGCCGTTTATACGACATCGTGTAGGGTATTTAAAAAGATGATTTGATCTTTCATAATGAAAACGTTTTTACAACTGATGAAAAAAAATGAATTAACCTCAATGCGATATAAAATATTTTCATCAAAAAACGGGAAACAAGCCTCTAAATAAAACACAAATTTCGGAACTGTGGCCCAACCGCGGCGTGTTAATATCTGTTGGCATATAAACAAAGACATTCCAATTTAAATGTCCAAAGTTTTGTTTCAGGACCTTTTGAGATGGATAATCACGTCTCTATGGCCCTCCGAAAAAGCCTCCAAAAGAGGGCATTGTCGCTTTTTTTTAACAAAGACTTGTTAAACAAACCAGAAACGGCTTTTTAAAATGTCGGAAAAGCGGCCGGAAACGTTTCAGCTTTTGGTTCCACGACTGAACTTTCATATTTATGCATCGTAGGTAAATAATAATTTTAATGCGGCAGAATAAAATTAAGAAGCGTAGACCGACAAAAAAAAATTGTTTAAAAAAAGATTACTTTTTATAGGTATACAACCAAAAACCACAAATTATATACATCAAATTTGCCTATTTAAACAATAACCTTCAGTTTTATTTATAGGCTTTTAAATCCTACCAATAAAAGTTTAAATTAATTGCATATGACATAAACATATACTACACACATAACACGACTGTGCACACAAAACACGACTGTATCGTGACGCCCATCTATTACACATTTTTCTGTAAAGTTTTAATTTGTGGTTTATACTTTGAATTTGTTCATCACCAAACAAATGGTTAATTCTTATCAACAAGGTATTATAAAAGCAGAACGGTTTGACCATCTTTAGTCAATTCCGTTTTTCTTTTTGTGCTGCTCATCATAACTCAAAAATTTTTTTGTTTTAAGTAAAAATTATAATAATAACAGTGGAAAAAAACTTATGTATTATCATTTTATTACCAGGTTATTTTGTATAATGTCGTAAATTGTTTTTAGGTACAACTATGTTTTTGCAGCTGACTTTACTGCTTTTTATTGCACTATTTTATAACTATTACTGGAAAAGAAGAAATTTGCCTCCAGGTCCAGCTCCTTTACCTGTAGTTGGAAACATTTTAACATTGTCACAACAAAATCGTTGGGAGACCAAGTTCATTGAGTGGAACCAAAAATACGGTTCTATTTTTACATATTGGCTCGGAGAATTGCCAATTGTAGCAATATGCGATTACGACGACATGCAAACCTACTTTGTTAAAAACGCTGATATATTTTCGGATCGTTACGTAGTGGAACGAACGATGGATTTGGTGAGAGGTGGCCATTACGGTGTTATAATGGGCAATGGTGGCCCATGGAGAGAACATAGACGATTTGCTTTAAAAGTTTTGCGCGATTTTGGACTTGGCAAAAATAAAATGGAAGAACGTGTATGCTTTTGGTTATTTCTAGGTTTATGTACATGCAGCTGAATAGGTTTTTCTGAAAAATTTATTGTGAATAACATAAAAATCAAGCACTACTTTACCTGAAAAAGTTTCATCAGGTTATTATTAACCAATGAAAGTAGGAAAATGTACATGTTAATTTTTAAACAAATATAAATAAAAAGACAATTTTTGATTTCAAACGAATCAGAAAATTTCAGATTTTGTCAGAGCTTCAGCATCTGTTAGAAAGTGTTAATAAAGAAGTTCATAATGATGAAATCGATTTTTTCAAATATTCTGATATAGCCGTAGGTTCGATCATCAACAGCATTATAAGTGGTTATCGTTTTACAACTGTAAGTGTACAAGTATTACAAAACTTTTTTTTAATTTTTACTAATTGGCTTTACTTTATTAGTTTAGAGGACTATAGTTGTTAAAATAGCGGTAAAATAACATTTTCTAATAATGTACTGTTTAAAACAAATTTAATTTTATGTGGATTACAATAGCAGATATGAAAAAACCCTTTTTAGGGATTTGAAGACGAATTTTATAAAATGAAGCATTTGACTACAGAGGCAATTAAGAGTTTTACAAGTGCTCAAGTCAACCTTGTATTTAACAACCCGTGGATGTTAAACGTACCTATAATAAATCGTTATCCAAATTATGCTTCTCGTGTCATGAAAGAGTTATTTGCTTTTTTGGACTATCAAATCAACAAACACATTAAAGAAAACGATTATACTCATGATATTGAACCGTCAGATTACATCGACGCATTTTTGTCAGAACGTGAACGTCAAATCAGAACTGAAGGAAATGAAGGAAACTTTACAATGAATCAGCTTCGTAATGTGTGCATGGATTTGTGGATTGCAGGTCAAGAAACGACTTCTTCTACCATTACCTGGATTATTGCATATATTATAAATCACCCCGAAGTTCAGGAAAAGCTGCAAAAAGAGCTTGACACAGTAATTGGCAGCAAACGTATTATTAAAAACTCTGACAGGCCTAATCTACCTTACACCAATGCTGTAATAATGGTAAGTACATGCAATGATTAACAAATTATAAAATTAAAAGCAATTAGAAAAAAATATTAATATTTTTTTATGTTTTAAAGTTGCTATGTAAATTTAGGAGTGTCAACGATGTTGTAACCTGCTAAGTCAGAATATTCCTCGGTGTGCAACTGAAGACGTAGAAATAAGTGGTTACAAATTCAGGAAAAATACTATTTTTGTTCCGCAAATATCAGTTTTATTGCAGAACCCAAGTGTAGGTTTGATTACACATACTCTCTTTACGTTACAGAGTTTTTTCTTTATGTATTTATACTAATAACGCAGTCCTTCAAAAATTTGACCGTTTTAAAGACGATTTTATTTAAGAGTTTATAGATTCTAATTTGAAGAATTGCAAAAAATGTTTTAGCTTTTCCCTATTCCCGAGAAATTCAATCCAGATCGTTTCATAAACGCAGAAGGAAAATTGAGACAAGTGGAGGAACTGATTCCGTTTTCACTAGGAAAACGAATTTGTTTGGGCGAAGGAATGGCTCGCATGGAGCTTTTTATATTTACAGCAAATCTGTTCAATCAATACGAATTCAGCTCTGGTAAAGTACCACCATCATTGCAGAAAATGAATGGCGCTTCTACAATGACTATACCTTATAATTGTAAAGTGCAAATAAGGCATAGTCACGCATAAACTATTATTCGTTAAATTGATATTATTTTTTGATTAATAATATAATAAAAAAATTAGATGTTAAATATTTATTTTTACATAAAGGTTGCGTAGTTCCAATTTGTACATTACTTTTCATTTAGACTTTGATTATTTAAGAAAAACGTTTTTCCAACCCGATGATAACGGGTTCAGCAGGTCTTAATAACACAGATACCACTTGTAGATTCATAGCGCTCGCTTTGACAACTCTAAAAGTTTTTAAAATTTCGACCATGTTTATTTTGAATTCGACTTCAGCAAGTAAAGATCCCACACAATTACGGGGACCGGCACCAAATGGCATCCACTCACTTGTCGAAACCGGATGACTACGGTATAGAAATCTGCAAATTACAATTTATTTAAAAGAAGTTAAATTTTCGTTTGATATAAGTATAATATTTAGTTTTTCAAGTTATATATTTAATTTTTTTTGTAACAAAGAAATATTTTTAAAACAAACTTTTACGTTGCTTCGATTTTGATTTACCTTTCAGGTATAAATTCGTCAGCATTTTCCCATACAGATTCTTGTCCACAAACTAAGTGAGTAGGTGCAATAACAGTAGTGCCTTTTGGGACTGTAATTCCAATTGATTCGAGTTTAACGTCTTCGCTTGCAACACGGCTCGCAAAAAACATGACTGGAGTATAATACCGCAATGTTTCTTTAAAGAACGCGTCCAAGTACGGCGCTTTCATTACTGCGTCGTAAGTTGGCTCTGTATTAGTGAAAAGTTCGTCTATCTCAGACACTAATTCTTTCATGACTTCTGGATGTTTTCCAAGTAGATTTATGGCAAACGTCATACTGTTGCTAGTAGTGTCATATCCAGCCAATAAGAGAGCCAGGCAATTGCTTATTATAGTATTAATGTGAAACTGCTGACGCTAAAATAAAAATTCTTACAGTAAATATTTTTCATATTATTTCTTAAAAAACTCTTTAGTTTTTTTTATTTGCAGCATTTTTTATTGTTTTGCTTTAATGGTGATAACTTACTTTTTCGCTTACTAATTTTTCATTTTCTTTAAAAAACGTTTCGATAAGATCAATGCTGTCCAAATTTCGGAATTTAATACGGTTTTCGATTAAGCTGCGTAAATAGTCGCATATGATGTATGCTTGTCTTCCCAACTCTGTAAACCGGAAGATGCAAGCACTTAATTTTGGAAATACTAGTGACATCTTCATTCCCCATGACTTTTCTACAGAGAACTCATTGAATAGCTTTCCGCAGGCCACATAAACAGGTTGTTGGCGATTTTGAACAGAATTTAACTCTAATCCAAATGAACACTCACAAATTACATCTACAGTTAAAGCTTGAAATTCTCTGGAATAAATAATACGATTTTCATAATTAACACACCATTGGCAAGCGAAAAAGAAGAAGAAACGCTTTTAAATTTTTTTTGGTTTATGAAAAGTTTTGCAAAACACATATAGATTAGAAAAAAAAAATGTACTACAAAGTATCTGAGCATACTTAAAGACTAACCCATATGCAGTAATAAAACGCTACAAAAGTATAAAACTATAATTATAAATAAAAATTAAAAACACAAATTTTGTATTAGTTCTTGCTTAAAACGATCGTACACTTACTCATAAATATCAATTTCTAATACGTTGTCTTTACATTTTTTGTTGCTCCAAAGTTGTATCATAGATCTGGTTTTTTTAACCATTAACGGAAACATCTAAAAAGAACTCATTTAGTTACATAAAAACATAAGATGTAAAAAATTGTAAAAATCAAAAACATTAAGCACTTTTATTTAGTATCGATTAAAATTTGTACCATTTTGATGCGACTTGGACGCAGTGCTTGTTGCACTACTGTTCTGATTTCTTTCCAACCGTATTCGCGGTTTGAACAACCTGCTTTAGTCACAGAAAACACGCTTTCTTTCAAAGGGTAGGTGTTGAAAAACTCTGCCTGTAAATCATCTTTATTTAAGTATTTTTCATGCAATACTTACCGGCCTATTAGTAAATTTGCTAAATTTACTAATATAGACTTCACTAATGACCTTTGGATCCACAGTTACAATTGACAAATCTGCTCCAAGCAAAATTCTCAATGTCGTTCCGTATTTTTTTATTAAATCGTCACAAAAATGTCGCACATCTCGACTAATTGTTAAAGTTTTGAGTAAACGTCGAATTTGGAAAAAATTTCCAAAAAGCAAATTTGGTAAAGGGCCTTTAAGTCCAATTTTCTCGTATTGTTGAAGTAAACAATACCTATTCCTAAAGTACTATTTTAAATACTGTATTATTGAAAATTAACACAGCAATTTCACATATAATAGTTATATATGTAAAACAAAAAATCTATTTTAACTATTGGAAATAACAGTTCAATAAAAAGTGTTGAATTTAGTAGAGTGGAACTCCTGCTTAACAAGTCGTTTGAAAATTTTAAATATGATCGTTATAAAGAAGTTCCGGTATACAGGAATTTAAAGTTCACTTTGAGTCTTAGGATTTAAAGTTTCTCGTTATACGAGATTTTTCTTATATAAGGGTTTGCTATGCAGGAGTTTCGCCGTAGTTAGACTTACCATAACCAAGATCCAACTTTGACAATAACAAATGTTATAAAAGTTGCTAGTAAAAACGGGTTTGTAATCATAGCCATAACGTAAAATTCAAATTTTTGTCAAATTCTGAAAAATATAGCATAGTGGAAGACCGTTGCAACGTTTTGTACACAATAGTTTAATAAAAAAAATTAAAGAACAAAGAACCAAGACATTCGACTGATCAGAATTGCGTAAATGCAGTATTTGAAAAAATTCATAATAAAACCTTTATTATAACTAAAAAACTGTAACTAATAAAACAACAAAAGTGGAGAATGTTTAAAATGTCAAGTAACCCTAATAAAATAAAAAAAAATAATTTACTAAAACCAGAACATGTCATGTTTTTTTTTATTTTTTGTGAAATTAAGCAAAAAATATCCTAAAGAATCAAAAGAATTTTGTAGTTATAGTTTTACTGTAAATGTCTGGAGAATTTGCTTGTTGGTGGCTTTGAAACAATTTAAATTTCCGGATGATTCAGAACTAAGTTTAATAATCCAAAAAGATGCAAATCTACCACATAAGTTTAAAAAATATACAATTGTTGCATACACCTCTTATACACTCAACAATAAATGTAACAAATGATCCTGATCAGCGTTTTTTAACAAACTATTCATTGGTAAAATATGAATTATTAAAAAAAAGCTAAAGTTTTCGTTTTTAAATTTATGTAATGTTTTAAGTAACTAAGCCTTTTAAAAACTTGACTTATAAAGCACTATTTTTCTTAGTTTCTTTTGACCTCCTATGTTTCATAATACTTTTGTCCAGAAATTTGAGTGTGTTTTACTGTATTTAGCTTAACTCCTCCTTCTTGACTCACTTTTTTCGCAAATGGTTCAAAAAGCTATTTTTTGACACGACAGAGCTAAACTGCAACAAAATATCGTATTTGTCCCACACAGCAAAGCCAATGTAGTACTTTTATTTTTAACAAACTTTAGGGGGGTGTAAAAGTAAACACTAACTTTGACTAAACATCCGCTTTGACGTAAAATTTTCTTTTTTCTACGACTATTCATGCTACAAGTGTCTTGTTGCATCAACGGCTGTTAAGTCTAAAAACGTGCTAAAAATAAACCTTTTTTATTAGAAAAATTACATAGCTAAAAAAAATCTTAAAAAAAATTTAAGGGTAATTTTTTATACTGAGTTTTATTATGAAAGCTTTGTATACTATAATAAATAATATGGTAATGGCTTTAATGACCTTTAAATATAATCCTGCTTTTAATCTTTGTTTTTCACAATGTTTTTTTAACTTTCTTATAATTATGTTTTGTGTGCTTTAATAATTTACAAAACATTAACATTAATAGTTAAAAAAGTTTTTAAAATTCTAAATGACGTTCGTAATGATGAGGCACAAACAAAAGAAAAAAAAACAAGACGCTTGCGTAAATGTAAGAAACTGCTATATTTTTCTTTTGTGTCAAGTTGTAGGCGGCAATGCAATTCTATAACTATTATTTAACGCCGAGATGATAATTATTTAGAAATTTTTAAATTTATAAACATAAAAAGCTTGAGATTGCTTTTGAAAAACGTTTTCGTAACTTTTTAAAATTACTTTCTAAAATTATGAATTTCGTTAATCGATTAAAATCTAAAAAATTAACATCTTTTATTTTTGTAAAAAATTTTTAATTTAAAAAAGGTAATTAAAACTATATTTGCACTTTCAATTTCAAAATTGAAATATTTGTAACTTTACTCAAAGCACAAGTGTGTCTTACCGTGTTTAAAAAAGTTAATTATCGAATCCGTAAAAAGTGCATCAAACTTTCGTGCTAGGCTGCACTTACACATTGTTAGAAATGCCTTTCGTCAATATTTAAATATGTCTGTAGTTCACTACCTATAATTGTATTTTAATCCTTTATATGAAACTAAATTTTACAAAATTGATTATAAAAGCTTTACAGTATTTTTAAGTGCAAAAAAATGACCAAGTACAGCTGGATTAACACGCGTTTTACTTAGTTAGTTCCGCACAGGGCATTTACAGTATGAAGCGTCAGGTCCGTTTGTACCAGCAATTCCGGGCTAAACATAAAGTTTAAAAAATAAATAATGCACAGGTTAATTAAAACTACTAAGTTTTGAATACTAAATGAAAAAAACGTATAAAAAATGGTTAGTGACTTACTTGACCTGACCTTCCGGGCAAACCATCGTTTCCTGCATCTCCAGGTTCCCCGACCGGGCCAATAGGACCAGGAGAACCAATTTTACCTAAATTGCATAAAATTTTTAAAATTTACGTTTTAGGTTAAAGCGAATTATACCAACTTGCCAAATGTCATAAAAAGCGATATAACGTCGTACGTACCGTTTTTCCCATTAGTACCAGGTAATCCAATTTGCCCTTCAACGCCCGGCGGCCCTAGACGTCCAGGAAGCCCAATAATTCTTTTCTCATTCCATCCATCAATTCCTCGTTGACCTTTCGTTCCGCGTTCTCCAGGTAAACCTTCATCTCCAATTGAGCCTTGAGGTCCAACCGCTCCGTCAAAGCCGTCATATCCTGGTCTACCACTAGGACCAGGTGAGCCCGGTTCTCCAATATGACCGTCAGGTCCTTTTGGACCTGGTAAGCCAGACGAACATTTAATACATTCTCCGTTAAATTGATCAAAAATTTGGACATAGCCTGTTATCCCAGGTCGACCAGGTTCTCCAACAAGTCCATTGTCTATAGAAATTAATTTAGGCACACTCAAATTAAAATAACCGTTCAGTAAAATATGGTTTTTGAAAAGTCACAAAACCTCTTTTCAAAACGTTGGCATCCAGACGCAAAAAGCGTCAGAAATCAAGCAGTTTCAATAAAAATTATTTTTGTCATAAACCTGAGTTGGCCGCCCTCCATTTAAATTTACCGATTTGCTACCGGCTTGTTCGAACTTTTTGCTAAAAAAATAATATAAAATTGCCTGATTTTTGACACAGAACGCCAAGTTTTTGTGAAGAGGTTTTTTATTTCTTGTATCTTTGTTTTTAAAGTAAAACTTGTCTTATTCACGTCAAAATTACTGTAAAATAAAATAAGCCCAAACATGTTTGCAAACATACTTCCAGGTTCACCTTTTGCTCCTCTTGGCCCTGGTGCACCCCGTGGGCACCTAGTAGCCCGTTCACATGAAGAACATATTTTTTGTCTTTTGGTTCTAAACAGAATATTTTTACCAGCCAAACTCCTTCTACTTAATTTCAGTGGCAATCCCGATTGTTCAACCTCTTTTTGAATGCTATTTAACGTTTTAACACTTTCCATATTTAAAGATTTTGCACCCAAAATTTCATAATTTGATTCAGCAATCATATGATCCATTTCGTCAAACAAATAGGCCAACATGTACATAACGACACATATCACAGTAGTGGAAGTAAATGTTGTTAATAAAGCTAACTTCATCTGATTCTGAAAGAAAACTTTCAATTTTAAACAACTAAAGTAAAAAATTGTAGGCCACCAGTCAAAAATAAAATCCACAAAACTTTAGAAATAGAAACGTCGCAAATGGATTTAGGTAGTTTTTTAAACGCTTTCAATTGATTTACCTCAAAACAGGTTTTTGCGACTTACCGCCTGCTAAATTATAAAAAAAATATTTCACATAACTTACAAGTAAAGTACCTAACTTGCAACCCTAAAAACCTAATCAAAATTTTCAGATGAGTACTTTTTAGTATTAATAGTACATATAAAAAATATTAGCTTGCGGTTTTAACAGGAGAGTACCTGACCTGCCTCACTCTGATTGACTTCAAACTTTTTGTATAGAAAGATCATGTAAATATAAGATCTTCACCAAAGTACTAAATTGCGCTTTCTAAGAAATTTTGAGAAAATCGAGATCAAAAAATTAGGCTTTGAATTTCCCGCCTTGGCATTGTGTTTCAAGCTTATAACTTTGCCATTTTTTGACTTTTAAGAATTTTTCTTTGATGTACTAATAGAAGGTCTTTAAATAAACCTACATTTTTTAATTTGTAATCGTAGCTTGCCTAGAAAGTCGAAAAAAAGTGCTTGAAACACAATGCCAAATTTGCAACCGGAATAATTAAAAATTAAAACTTCAAAGCGCAAGCTAAAAATTTTTATAGGTACTATTGATAGTAAAAGAATTCATGTAAAAATTTCGAGCTGATTCTGAGCAGAACAGGTATACCTGCAGGTTGGGTACTTTCTCTGTAAGTTTTAAAAATTACATTTTTGAATTTTTCGTCAAATTGACAAGTTTGGCATAGCGTTGCAAGCACTTTTTTCATGTTCTAGATACGTTAGTCTTACAAGTTAAAAAATGTAGGCCTATTTAAAGCTTTTCTACCATAATATTAAAGAAAAATCATTATAATTTAACAAAATTAAAAAGTTATAAGCGTGCAATACAATGCCAATTTGGCGGGAAATTCGAAAAGTAATTTTTTTATTACGATTTTCATAAGACTGGCCGCAAACAGCAACATATTAATTTGCATAAGCTCTTACATGTACATGATCTTGTTTTTGAAAAAGTTTAAATAGAAGCTGAGCCTTGCAGGTCGGGTACCTTCCTTTTTAATAAAGTATTTGTTTAATAATAGCTTTTAGGAAGATTTCGAGAAAGTTATCAGAAAAAACAGTTCAAATACATCTTTTAAAAAATTTTTAATTTTCGAAAATTTCAAGGTTTAAGTAATTTGTAAGCGTAATTTTTTCATTCGAAATTGGTAAAAAACTCAATTAAATGTTAATTTAAAGATTTTGGCCGTTTGTTTGTTTTTGGTTTTTGACCGGTCATCTTTCGGGAAAAAGTGCGCAAACCTGGGGCCTTGAACCCGGACGCACCGGAAATATTCTCGAGACTTTTGAAGACGTGTTTTTCGCACCCTCTTCCGATTTTTGTAGCGTGATGGTACCGTGGGGAGATTTGGTGTAAATGTAAACAAAGTAAAATATGGATGCGTATGTTGTTTTAAAAAAACCGATTTATTAAGTACAAAGTTTTTATTCATAAGAGCTTTATGAAAAGCTGGCAACTGCCAAATATTTTTTAATTGTTGGTATATTTACGGTATTCCGTACACTTTTTCTTATTTTTAAGTGTTTTATTTTATCAATACTTTTTTATTGTACGGCCTCAGAAGTAAATCTTTTAGTATAGTGAAATTTTGCTAATAGGACTCCGTTTACAACGAAACCCCCGTTATACCGAATTTTTTTTAAATTTCCTAAAAAAAATTTTGCACTTATTCTTTTAATTCTTAAAGAAAAAAGTTTTTGATATAACCAAACCCCGATACAGCGAACGATTTTTCAATCCCCTTGCGATTCGTTATATCAGGAGTTTACTGGAGCATTGAAACTTTTTGTTTATACATTTACTTCCTTTTTCTTTAGCCTTAGACCTTCAGCTCATGAGGCGGTCACTGTGATATAAAAAAACAAGCGCGGCCGCTGTGTTTGATCAAATTCTTCTTTAGTCTCCAACGCTTTCGTTTGTCTTTGACCACTGGACCTCGATTTTGATGTATTTCAATATTTTTTTTCAGCTTTTTTTGTAGTTTTTAAATTGATTAACGACATAAGTAGTCAAAACCGTAAGACATATGTTTGCTATAAGCTAAATAGGTTTGAAGACAAGAAGTGTGATTTTAGTTCTATATTAAAAAATAAATTTGTTTTATTAAGCTTGGCAAATATGTATTTGTTTTTTTAATACTTTGACATCGCTTTCAAAATTTATAAATTAATGCAATTTTAGACGACATTAAAAAGTGAGATTATTAGTTAGAGGTGACATGATTTTATTTATAAGTCAGAATGAATAAATTTTATACATGAAACACTATATAGATAAATGCAGCGGCAATAATATATTATGTTAGTAAAATAGTATGTTAGGTTGATTTTTTTGTTAAAACTTGATTGTCTTTATTTACAGTTCGTCTTGTCGCCTTAGAACTGTGAGGTCGAGGTTTGCACAAAGCTTCGAATTTTGGGGATAATCAGTTGCGACTAGCCATTTTTCGAAATTAATTTTTATTTTTAGTATGAAATTTTGAACTTATTTTCTTACTGAAAAATTGTTGGCTTTATGATTTTAATAATGCAAAAATCTTTTTATGATTATTAATTTTATAAGTTAAATTGTATGGTTAGTAGAATGTTAATGTCAAACGTTTTTACCCCTAGTCTGCCCCCCCCGTTTCCATAAATAACGCCTTAGCGTTTTGTTCAGGGTATTTTGTATACTTTTATTTTTTGACTACTTCAAAATATCAAGTTCTTTTTTTTCTTTATAAAAAATGATTTTCAGGATCGTACAGTTCATTATCAAATTTGTACCATTTGTAGTTGAACGTACATTAGATTTGAGTGATTCATAATCTTACAAAATATTGGTTGTTGGGAGCAAAAAAACGCGAAGCCCATCCTTGTACCGTCCACTAAAACCAGTTCCGGCTATTGAGATATTTGTTTATCTTACAAACCATGAAGTCGAAAACAAAACATTTTTTAAATATTATACTGTTTTTTCTAAGTATTCATCAATTTGTTAGTGAAGAAAAATTCCTGTTTGATGAAGGTACGTTTTAATAAATTTAATTTTTTTAGTTTTTAAAATAACTTTATTTGAAAATAAGGTTTTAAATTAGCTTTTAATATGTTTTTTACGTTTAGCACTACCCGATGTCTTCCTACTGCCGCAAGATTTCGATTTGGCTGTGGAAAAACCAGGTAAAACAACATATTTTCTTGTAATTGTAAGAATACAAACAAGCAAAAAATTTTCTAAACAAAATGCTTAATTATTATATTAAAAAATTGTAAGAAATTTTATTGTGATGATTACTATAATACCTTATATTAATGCCATGTAAAATGCAAAGTTTTGTTTTTTAAAGTTAAACGATTTTACAGTTTACAAACCTAGCGTAGACGAACTCGAAGCTATGCAGAATCCCGAACTGTTTGAAGGCGACATTTTGGGTATTTCGATCTTTGACGATGTCATGCGAGATGACCCAATAACTGACGAAGATAAAATATTTAATACGCCAGTAAGTCCTTCAAAAATTCAGATTTGTGACTATCTTACGACAATTCATAATTGTAATATTAAATTATTTAAAAATTTTTAAACATAAAAATTCAACATTTTAGTTTCACAGTTCCTTAAATGTAAATACTTATTCGGACAAACTGTGGAACAAAGGTAGAATACCATACTTACTGGAGGAAGGGATGACTCAAAGGTAAATATTTATTCAGTTTAAGCTACATAGAATTTTTTATGGAATTACTATATAATCTGTTTTTGTTGTTATAAAATTGTAATAGCTAATATTTCAAGATCTTTAAAAGTTTCGCTTTGAGACACATTTTTTGTAATATACTATACCGAATTTTTATTAAATCACAATATGATTTAATAGGTTCTGTAAAACACAGAAAAATTTCTTTAGGGTTTGTCTACCTTTTCCCACAAACAAACCTCAACGATATGTTTGTGGTTACATTCGCGTTAAGTGGCCAAGTCTTCTTTAAGCCACTTTTAGTTTTTTTTTGTTTTAAAAACATTAATTTTATAGTAGATATTTTATCTTCTGTGTAATTTTTTATTTGAGAATTCTTATATATTACTTTAAGTCAACGGGCTGCGATTGCACAAGCATTTACTGAATACCGTGACAAAACGTGTATTCGTTTTGTTCCAAAAGACCCTGACGACTACGATTACATTTACATCAAACGTAATATTGCTTTTGGTTGTTCGTCGTACGTTGGCCGAGCCGGAGGGAATCAAACCGTATCGTTAGAAGTTGGAAAATGTTTTTCAAAAGGAATTATTGCTCATGAACTCATGCATGCTATAGGTTGGTATTTATTGTTTTCTGTATAAGGGGTTTTTCTGTTGTATGTTTTGATGGAGTTATTTTTTGACATAGTTTAAACTGGAGTTTAGGTTTTTTTCATGAACACTCTCGCACAGACCGTGATGAATATGTTGTCATTGATGAAAGCAATATTCGACCAGGGATGATGAGAAATTTCGAAAAAATATCCCAGAAAAATCATTGATCCTCTAGGAATGCCTTACGATTATGAGTCTATTATGCACTACCACAAGCTGGCTTTTTCTCGGAATGGCCGTGCCACCATCGTTCCTAAAAACAATACTGCGGAGATCGGACAGCGCTACAAGTTAAGTGACATTGATGCTGAGAAAATCAACAAATTGTACAAATGCCCAACGAATATTGTAGACAAAAGTGTGGAGGTTATTGAGAAACCTGATGTAAATATAAGAAAAATTACAGCTGTTGAAAATATTGTAGGCGAAATTAGTGTAAACAGGTGAGAAGAAGTGGTTAATTTGTTTTTTTATTTCAAAACTACCAAGTATATCGAACTTAATACAAAAAATTAAATGTTTACTTTGTTGCCAAAAAAAGTATTGCTGTAAGCTTTTAATAATGTAATTTTTTAGAGCAATTTCGTCTATAGTCACGGTGTCTACAAATTCGCCTACGGTTTTGTTCACACGTACAACGTCAGATAGATGGAAGCACCTCACTGATCGTTATGGCGGCCAACGCACTACTGTTGAAACAAAACCGTGGTCTACGACTGCTGACTCCATTATAGATCCATCGACAATGTCGTCGAAAGAAAGAACACGACCAATTTTTACGACAAAAAGACCCAAGTTTACTATAACAAACAAAAAATCGTTGAAAAAAGTCGAAGTATGTGTGAATCTTAACGCACATTGCGAAATGTGGGAAAGATTAGGCCACTGTGAGCACTCGACAAAGTATATGGGTCATTATTGTAGAAAAGCTTGTGGTCTATGTGTTGAAAGTGTTGAGTTGGTTAAGGAAAGTAAGTTCGACAAAAGAAAAAAATTCATAGTGAATTTTTGTTAACTAATAACATTCATGATTTTAATAACTTTCTTTAATTCTAGAACCAGGAAAAGAAGTAGAGTTAACCACAACTACAAAAATGGCCACCAAAACGCCAATAAAAACACAAACAAAACATAGGCCGTTAATAAACGAGAACATAACACAAATGCGAGGAGTTTGCATCGACAAGAACGTGTTTTGCGGTTACTGGTCGAGGATGGGCGAATGTAAAAACGAATCAAAATTTATGAGAGTATTTTGTAAAAAATCTTGTGGTTTCTGTCCATAGGCATCGTTTGGGACGGACACAAAACTATAGATTGGTATTTGTCTGTATATTTGTCTGTTCAACCGGGTACTTAATCATGTTTGTATTGTTATTAAAGTGCAAGAAATGTGATATTGTTTTAATTTTTAATTATTGGTTATTTATTTAATAAATATACGCAACTTTTCGTTGAAATTAATTTCTATAATTTCTAAACGTATAACAACGTTTTGGCGCATACTGCGCCCAAATTACTAAAAAACGAACAGTTTTTCTGAGCTAAAATTTTAATATATTTGTTAAGGTATTATACCCTGCAGCTCAGGTCAGGTCTGATGTATTATAATACTGTGTATCAGAAAGTTTATGTATTATTTATTTCCCTTTGAAACTTTTTATTGATAACTTTCTTTTAAGTTTTTTTATAAAGAAAGAAATATTTTTTTTGTTTAAAGTAAAAGAGAAGAAATGTAGAAGTTAAGGATCTTTTTATCTATTAAAAGAATTCTGTTTTGGTAAACACTGACAAATGGAGTGTTGCTGTTTTAATTGCTAAAGATGGTATTTTTATTAAAGCGGGGATGGCGTTTTAAAATTAGCTGGGTTTTATAAAAATAATTACTTCTCATATTAAATTATTTTTTACTTTGTATTACAAGGATTCAGTAGGGGTGGTTTTAATATTATTTTAAAGCGAAAATGCTTATATTTATACTTTTTACCTAGTATGAAGTGTAATATTTTTACCTAAAATCACATAAAGACATTTTTACAGAATGCATTATTCTCATCGTATTCGATTAGTACAGACTTCACAAAAATTTTTCTTGTCTCACATTCGTTTGAGACATTGGTCTAGAGCTTTTTTTCAAGTTGATGAAACGGCCGGCACTCACGGGGGGGAGATTTGGTAGCAAAGACATTGCAATCACACGGTGTTAAAGAGATATTTACATTATGCGGTGGACATATAACGCCTATTTTGGTAGGATGTGAATCCCGTGGTATTCGTGTGGTTGATACTCGACATGAAGTAACAACAGTGTTTGCCGCTGATGCGGTTTCAAGGCTACGGCAGGATATTGGGGTCGCTGCTGTCACTTCAGGACCAGGTTTTTTATTTTTTATTACTTTAAATGTTTAACCTTGGTTACATTGGGAAGATGTCTGACTTGGCTAACGTAATATAATTTTAAAATTTTGTTTTAGGCGTCACAAACACTATAACAGCTGTAAAAAATGCTCAAATGGCAGAGTCTGCACTTTTACTATTGGGTGGCGCGGCTCCGACAACCATGCAAAATTGTGGTGCCTTGCAGGACATTGATCAATTAGCCATTTTTAAACCAGTCTGTAAGCACACTGAAAGAGTAACACGTGTACAAGACATAGTGCCAAAGTTGAAGAAAGCAATTAATATTGCAAAATCTGGAGTTCCTGGTCCTGTTTTTGTGGAACTTCCAATTGATTTATTGTATCCGTACAACCAGGCGTTTAAGGATGCAGTTATTAGTCAGCCAGCTACTGCATTTCAGGTATGTTTTTCTTTTTGTTTAGTCAGAAGATTTTTTGTTTAGAAGTTGTTTAATGAGTACGTAAATATACGAATCAATTATCAATTTCACAATGGATTTGAAAATCAAGATGTATCGCCACTGCGTGTGTCTTATCCTATGGCGAATACTGACGAACTTAGCACTATGGTTGAACTGATAAGCAAATCTAAAAAGCCATTACTTCTTTTGGGCAGTCAAGCTACGTTATCACCTGTATCAGGGAAGGGTTTGCAAAAGTTGGTGAATGTAAGTTATATTATTATCATCCAGGGAAGGGCACCTCGGAGAAAATCTCACTGCTTCGTGCTCGGCCGGGAATTTTTTAAGTCGATTTTGCACTGAATTGCAGAAATTTTCTCCCACTGGGACTTTTGTTAAATGTCCCACCTTACTGCTCGTCGCTTCAACCACTATTTACAGGGTCTTGGAATTCCTTGTTATCTTGGTGGAATGTGTAGAGGACTTTTGGGTGCGTTTTCGCCCATTCAATTGCGGCAAAATCGTCGTGGGGCATTAAAGGAAGCTGATCTAGTGATTTTAGCTGGTACACCAGCTGATTTTCGTTTAGATTACGGTAAAATATTAAGTCCCAATTCAAAAGTTGTTGCGTTAAATCGGGATTTAAATCAACTGAAAAAGGTGATTTTTACGTTATACACATACTTTATTTTGTTTAAAAATAGTTTTAATTTTCGTAATATTTTTTGTGCTTGAATGATACTAGGGTAATTAAACAATATAATTAAAATGTAGAACCACGGCGTTTATTGGAACGCTGAGAAATTGGTACAAGCAGACGTTGCTTCCACTTTAAAGTCTGTGAAAGATTTGTTACAAAATCAGTTAATTCAAAAACACAACGACTGGAGCGATTGGCTTAAAACGTTGAAAGATGTAGAAGCACGTGTAGAAAACAAAAATGCACACAAAGCGGAGGAGTCTGGAGTTGGAAATGGCGTAAATCCTTTAAGATTGTTAAAAGAATTAGATAAAGTAAGATTTTTTAAATATAAATTTTGCTATTTTTCGGAAAGCATTATGCTTTTCAAAGTACAGTGAGATATTTGTATAACGAACAGGGTAAGGCACTGTGTCCAACTTTGATAACGAATCGCTAGGGGATTTAAAACTTGTTCGTTATGAAGGGGTTTCATTATACAGAGGTTTTAAATGCACTGTGTAGTGTTAGACGAGGATGCAAAAGTAGACATGACGAACGAGTCGGGCCTAAGCTTCAGGTCCGGCCCGTTCCTCATGTCTATTTAAAAGGTGTTTGTTATATGGGAGTTCCTTATACAGAGTTCCACTGTTTGATAAATTTGTGGATCTTTTAGGTTCTTCCTGAAAATGCTATTTTGGTTGCGGACGGCGGGGACTTTGTTGCTACATCTTCGTATATTGTACGACCAAGAGGACCACTTCAATGGTTAGATCCGGGACAATTTGGGACGTTGGGAGTGGGCGGCGGATTTGCTTTAGGTGCAAAGACAGTATATCCTGAAAAGCCAGTTTTTATCATTTACGGTGATGGGTCAACCGGCTATTCGTTGATGGAGTTTGACAGTTTTGCGCGGCAGAACTTACCTGTTACTGCTATTGTTGGGAACGATGCATGTTGGACACAGATTGCCCGCGCACAAGTACCACAGTTTAAAACTGATGTAGCATGTAACTTGAAGGTATTTTTAATTTTAAAAATGGACAGGTTTAGCATGTTGTTTTATAAAATTATGAAGGAAATTGAATAGGCAATAGTGGGTTTCTCGGATTTATGTGGGCGCTTCTAAACTATTATAGCAACCTATAGCATCTACTTTATAAAATAACATTTAGCTTTAAAAAATTAATAAAATTAAATTTCCGAAATTTTAGCTAACCCGCTATGAAGAAACGGTGCATTCGTTAGGCGCAGAGGGTTTTTTCATTGACAAATCAAACGAAGAAGATATGTCTGCTATTATACAAAAGGCAATTCAAATACAAAAAAGTGGTCGACCAAGCTTAGTCAACGTACACATATCAAAGACAGACTTCAGGGACAATAGTATTAGCGTGTAAAATTTTTAAATAGGCAAAAATGTGTTACAATAAACGGCGCTAATCTAAAGAAATAACCCAGTATTACTAATGAAAGCACCCAATTTTTATCCTATTTAAGGCACCCAAAAGTATTCAAATTTTGCATAATCTTGCAATTTCATTTTGTTGTTTTTCCTTTTTTGAAAACGGTCATTCATATTTTATCGACTGCGTGAGACGGTCGGGTCAGCATGGAATCTGATCGTGGTGATCATGGATCCATCGACAACCTGACAACCTAGGCCAAGATCAACCACCTTCAAAGAAGTCATCTTCTATCGAGTTTATGAAGACTTTTACTATGCTATACAGATGGATAACAGGTAAGAATTTAGTATTTATTTAAAGAATACGTTTGATTTTACCATAGTATTAATGTTATCTTAGTTATAGTAGCCCATTGTTTAGTTATAGTAGCCTACTATTTAGTTACAGTAGCCAACTATCTAATTGTAGCAGCCACTATCTAGTTACAGTAGCCCATTATTTAGTTACAGTAGCCAAAAGCCAACTAACTAGTTATAGTAGCCAACTATCTAGTTGTAGTGGCCAACTATCTAGTTACAGTAGCCAACCATTTAGTTACAGTAACCAACTATCTAGTTATAGTAGCCCATTTCTTAGTTACAGTAGCCAACCATCTAGTTATAGTGGCCAACTATCTAGTTACAGTAGCCGTGCACCTTATTATATTTTTTTCAGTTTTCGCTACAACAATCGCCATTCACGAATTGGACACTTCTACACCGCTCTTCGAAAGCGCTACGTTTCATAATGATAAAATTTGAATAAAGATTGCTGGGTGCTTTAAACCATTAGTGGGTGCCTTTATTATGTTGGGTGCTTTCTCTAGTATGGCCCCGAATATCGTATTGTTACGTCAAAAGGTTGTAGCATACACATTGTCCTAGTCTACATTTACCACCTGTGTAATGCCATTGTTGGCACGCCCGGTTACATCGCAGTGGGTCACACTTGTCGCCAGATTGGAGAATTAGCTCTGTTTTGAATAAAAGTAAATTTTTTTTAGTTTTACAAAACAATAATATTTTTTAAAACTGAAAAGACAAAGACAATTACAAAGTTTTTTTGTTGATCTCTGTAAGATGCTTAAATAACGAGTCAGGTTGTAGATTAAAACTGTTAAAAATCGCTTCTACTACTTAATACCTTATCAGCATACCTTCGGTTTTCTCGACTTTTGCTAAACTGTTCAAAACTAACAGAATAATTACACAGCATACGTAGAATGATCGCATTGTCTTTTGCTATAGATTGTAATTACAGCCGATATTTAAACTTTATAATTTCCAATTATTTTTATGTGTGTGAGAAACATGGTTGTTAAAAGCTTTAAATTACTTAAATTAAAAAGTTTTTAATATTGAAATTTAAAATTTATTATCTTTCACTTTTACTTCGGACTAATCAGAAATACATTAATATCTTAATAACGGTTTAATAGCAGATGCATTGTCCTAATCTGCATTTTCCGCCACGGTGGTTCCATTGTTGACAAGCTCGATTACATCTTAGAGAGTCACATTTGTCACCTGAAGGTGTGTCAAATCCTGTTAAATGGATTGTTAATACAAAATCGATACTTTAATTAAAATTATTTAATAACATCACAAGCATTGGGTAAAATATAAGCTACTATGTATTCCAATGAACACAATTAAATTCAAAAATTTTAAATGCCTTAAAAAAATTCACAGTAAAAATTCCAGTCATATTTTTCAAAACGACTTACAGCAGAGCTTTGATCATTTCCAGATCGTAGGAACACAATTACACAGTAAGGTAAACATTAAACAGAAGTTAGCTGGGTAATTGACTTACCTCCACGCTTTGTACGTACAAACAGCGAATTTGCCGATACTGCAGATATTAGTGCAATAAACAACAACAGATATAACAGTCGCATCTTAACAAAGGTTGTTATACTACATAAATGTATATATATATATAAATATACGATTAGTTTATATCACGTTTTCAATCTTTACACTGTCTAAAATGTATTTATTTAAAACGATGTCAAGAGAGCGAGAAAAATTAGTAAAAGAAGAAACAGCACAGTACAGGTTTATGCCTACGAAGTGACTTAATAATTATCGGAGCCTATCCTTTTATTCAAAATCATAAGACGTTTCTAAACAAATTGTCGTTTGAACATATAAAATCTCTTTGAAATTTTTGTTTAGTCAGTTATGATTGTTAGTATTTTTTAAATTTTTGATATTATCATTCAAAGCATCGCTTTTCTCTTTATGTTGAATGCTTAGAGATTGTAACAAACAAAATAAATATTAAATTTCGTTGGAAAATAACTTAAAAATCAAACATTGTTATAGGCAAATATCTACAAGAAAAATTCCCGACGTGAAAAAATTTTTAAAAATTTTGGACAGATCATTTAACGTTACGATCTTGTGAAAAATACGAGAATGCGATATACAGTAAGTATTAAGAAAATTGAGATCAAAACTTAACTTTAAATTTTCAGCCAAGTTAGCATAACATTTCAAGATTATAAGTTTGTAATGTTTAAATTTGTAGTTATTTTTCTTTTTTTTTGTTTTATGATTAAACCTGTAAAGAGGTTTTTTCGGCCCGTCTACTTTCAAATTTGCATCCATTAAAATATTAACTGTGACAACTTGTATCGTACTGCATCTGTGCCTTAAATAACCATAAAATTTAACAATTTTAAATTTTAAACTATTCAAAAATTATTCCTAAGTAAATAGCTTAACATCAGACTCATTTGGAACTCACATCGGGGATGTTCCTTGTTAAACAAACGTACCGTTAATGTAAAAAAAGCTAATCATAAATAATTCTCCAAAAAATTCAAAAAAGTCGAATGTTTTTGAAGTTGAAAAAAAGAAAAAAAAGAACATCGTTCCAAAAATCCCAATGTAAACAAAAAATAAATTTGGCGTAAATTCAACCTAGTGAATTGTGACTCATGTTGGTATTATTACTCTCGGTTCAATTCGTATATGCTACAGGAATCTTTGACCTTTTTAAGGGCAGTCAGTGCGCAAACCGGTTAGACATTTCGCATGGAAATCAACTAATACGAGTCGGGATTGGTGAGCCAGGCACGTAAAAAAAATTAATTAATTATTTTATATCTTTTTAAATCTCCAGCTAATGATCTTACAAGGAAGGTACCCGACCTGCTTTTTAATATTTTTCTTTGACCTACAAGCATCAAACCTTTAAACGCATCTAATTTTTTAAATTTGAAATGCAACTCCCTCTGTAGTATATTTTAACCAGAACGACAACTTTGCTAAAATAATTATAAAAATTTATAAGCGCAAAATAATGTTCTTTATGGGAAATAGATGGCGTAAAGGATTTCAACAATTTTTTTCTGAGAAGAGCAGGTTAGGTATTGTCCTTTTTAATGCTGTATAATAATATTATTAACAACTTTAGGAAAGTTTTACTTTCTTAAGCTTGATTTTCAAACAAACTACAGCTACATAATTAACCCCGACTGTTCATCAAACGTGTCGTGTAATGGATTTAAAACATACAGCGACCCCAAAAATTCAAAAACTGTTTTGTTTTTAAATGATACAGTAACTACTGTTTACAATTCAACGTTAATAAAAGCAAATGTTGTTACCGATAAACTTCAGGTAAGATTCAATCGTTTTTTTTGGAATTAGTTATTGGTTAGCCAGTTTAAAAGATCGGATGGGTTTTACCTTAAATTTTAGGTTTTATATTTACAATTAATCGTTTTTTTTAGTTTCGAACAGTGCCTAAGTGTTTTAACGACGCTGACCGTAGTTGGGAAATGCTAATTAAACCTCAAGTTGTTTACCCTGTAAGTTTATAATAACACATTAACGTAAGCGGGCAGTGAACAAATGACTGTACTTACGTTTTTGTTAAGGGGAGGGGGGGACGGATTTTTTAACACAAACGTTTAAAAAATGCTATTTTTAGTCCTTTAATCATGAAGTGCAAGTGAAGTTTGGACTAATTGATCGTTCAAATAAATTTCTGAAAGAGTTTAATTTTGATGGAGTATGTGGTTTAGCTCCATCAAAAAACAAACAATCTGCAATATATTCTATGCTAGCTGAATTTTCTGGTCCAGTATTACTTTTTGAGCCAAAACCAAGCAAAACAAAGTTTCAATATGCACCCAACATTTTAATTGGAACAACACATTCTAACCTGTGTTATAATGACTGGAAGTTAGTTCGTACTGATTTAGGTGACTGGTGTGCGAATATAACAAGGTAATTTTTAGGGCTTAAGCAATATGTTCTTAGTTTTCAACATAGAAAATAACAATCTAAAATAAAAAAAAAATCAGAAAAAAGTTCTAATTTAGGACTCAAATCGTCAACCACACAATACAACATCAGCTGATATGTCACTTTGACCCTTTGTCCCACACAATTAGCGTGAATGAAAAAATACAACGTAAAATTTTTGAAATTTTACATGTAAAAATTGTTTATGAAAGATTTGCAATAGAATGCAATGATGAAGTTGAACTTCCTTCGATACAACTTTCCTTCAACGACGTTCTTCTTGATTTGACTCCATCAATGTACGTTTCTGAAGTAAGTAGTTAAAGAACAACTTCTTAAAAATTATACGTTTTTAGGTTAAATACATATTTTGTGTTTTCTTAGTAAATAATTAATTTTTAGCAAGTATCGTTCAATGGCACTTCTTATTGTAACTTAAATTTTGTTACGTTGCAAACGTTCTCCAAATACGACATTATACTTGGAAGTAACATACTATCTAAATATTGTGTTTTATTTGATTATAATCATCCACAACTGGGAATTGTCAATTCAAAAAAGACGTATGATAAGGAGTTTTGGAAAATAAGAAAATAAAATCGCTCAAGGCGATAAAAAAATACTCCGTTTACTCCTTAAAACATAACTTTGTACAGCATTTTGTGTATATAACTTTTGATAAGATAAATAAAAAAAATTTTTAACAATATAAATAATTATGCATAAAGACTAATGTTACAACCAATAGAATCGCGTTTTGTATTTATGCATTAGAGAAAAATGTAACTCCAAAAAGTTTAAGAAATATTAAAAAAAAAGTGATTACTCAAATAAGTGACTGACATCCTTTGAATTAATGACACCAAAAAATCAATTTCTTAACAAAGCTTTTCTTGTGCGGGTGTGCTGGGGCATTGCTGGTTTCACTTACAATGTCATCCTCAACATGGTATGGCTTCACCCAGGCAATTTTTGGGTCGCTAACAACTACTCCAGCAACTTTTGATTTGTCTCCTAAAAATCAATAAAATAAAATGCCTCATCAAAGTAATCAAAAAATACAAAATGTATCCAACAAAGTGAATTTATGTTTATGCCCCAAAGCTTTTAAAGTTAAACGCCTTACTTTTTTCACCAGTTTCTAGGTCATTTATAGTTGCCGGTATGCCATATGAAATGTCAGACTCGCCTCTAAAGTTGACAATGGAAAAAACCTTTGAACTCGTGCAAGACGATACAGTAGACGTTGAACAGTTAGAAGAACCGTACAATGAATCAAACCCGATTGCAGCTAACGCCCAGTACTTTTTTGTTTTCTGTCTTTCATCCTTCTTTTCAGTACAGTAGTCATCATATGCATCGTCAAGATCATTGATATAATCGTCAGTTGAATTTTTCCAGCAGTACGAACCGACGTTTCTGTCATACGAAAAATCATTGTATTCAGAAAATGCAGAACTGCAAATTATTAATAAAATCTTAGGAATAATATGTAATTATGAATTTATGATTTGTAGCCTAACAATCATAAAATGTAACATATAGTAAGAATATATTTGTTCCATAGGATTTTCTCAATTGTGAATAAAAAGTTGAACCTACTTGTTTGTCCAATCGTCATCCTTAATACTAAACATTATAAATACGTTTTCAATTCCACTTTATAAACCTGAAAATTCTTTAAAATGTTAATACATTTAAAAAATCTTTAAAAAATGTTTATATCGACGTTTATATTATATAAAAAGGTGAAGCACGAAAATGCGAAATTTTGAAAAAACTATCAAAACTAATTGAAAATGATTCACTACTTGCAGTTTAATATACAAACCGTGAAAAAAAAAACTTTAAATAATATAAACTAATACATTATATTTTAAAAGCCGTTATCAATAAGAAAAAGATTTAAAATTTTACCTAGATTTTTATAATAACTTTGTTCTAATAAGATTCTTTAAATTTACAGTTGTGCAAAAAACCTTTAACCACCGCAAAAATTAAACTGCTGTTCATTAGCATATGGTGCGCAACGAAATGTCCAAAAACATTTCGTAAAACATAAAAATAGTTCTCCGAATTTTAATCACAAAAACACAAAAGACAGGAAAATAATAGAATCTATGTGCACGTGATGACAGTGCAAAGTCCGTGTAACGCAAAATCTTTTATTTTAAAAGTATTTTACAATAATTAACCGGCAGAACATTCAAGAAACCTAGTGCTAACGCTGCATGATGGACCACAGCACACAATTTTTTAAGCGAAATTTTAGTGTTATAGAAATTATCCTTTATATTATAAATTTAATTCCGCTAAATAATTTTTTTTCAAACCTTTCTTTCGATCATGCAAACCAACTCCTATTTTGTTTTTAACTGTAGTAACTTTACATATTTATAATTCCTGACACGAAAACAAATAAGCGCAAAACGTTTTGGCATTACGTCTTCGTGCCGTCTCAATTTTCAATTGATCCGAGTTTTTTAAAGGATATATCCGCGGATATTTCAGTAAATATGAATATTGAAGAATTGTGTCCTGTTGAAGTGTCAACAGTAAGAAGGCTGTCTTGTTCACGGACTTTTGAAGGGATTGGAAACAGAATGTTTGTGAATTCAATAGATTTTGACGACACAGGGTGCATGATGCTTGTTTCTGGAGAAGATGAAAACCTGGTGGTTTATGATGTGTTGGCCGGCGGAATGCAATGCATAGTCAGTTTTTTATTTATTTTAAAAGATTTTAAATTCTTTGATTTTTAGGCATTTTTATTTGTGTTTATATGTTTTTGAAAATATATTATTTTGTTTTAAGACGGTTTTATTTAAGGTACCTAGTAAGAAATATGGTTGCGCTCATGCCAAGTATCTGCACTCACAAGAACTTGCTTTGTATGCATCAACAAAAAAGGATGGTAAGTAAAGCTTTCTTGTTGGTTTAATGCTTTAGATATTATTTTCCCAAGACTGGTCGCAAACCGCGTTCTATTGTTATCTGTAATGTCTTACATTTAAATGGCATATAAAAAATTTTGAACGAACTCTGAGCCTTCCACGTTTCTTTGTTAATTGAACTAAAAAACTATATTTTAGATAGCATCAGGCTTCTTTCTTTGTATGACACTCATTACGTGCGGTACTTCCAAGGACATTCAAAGCAGTAATTTATTATTTTTTTAAATTTTAGTTTCTTGTAGTTATTTTAAGTTTTGCTTATTTAAGTTATAAGTTTAAGTTACTTCTAAAATTACTTGTTGAACGCCCAATTAATAGCTTATAACAGGATAACTGGAATCAGCGTTTCACCGGTAGATGATATGTTCATTACGTCTTCCAAAGATAAAACTTTGAGGTTTTGGGATGCAAAACAAGAAGCGTGTTGTGTATGTTTTTTATTAGTATTTTTGAATTTAGGTAACAGGTAGTAGCTAACATTCGTTATCTTAGATCACATCGTTGAAAGCAATGTTATTTTAAGTTGTTAATGAAGCATTTTTGTTGTGTGAAAGTTTCTATTTTAGGGTATAATGCAAGTAAATTCAAATGCTACAGCTGCTTTTGATCCTGAAGGTTTGGTTATCGCTGTTGCAATTGGGTCTGATCAAATCAGGATGTACGACAAACGGGCGTATGAAAATGTAGGACTTCTTTTTAGTTTGATTGTTTAAGACTAAAATTTTCGGTCAATTGGTCGGTTTAACATAAATTGCCAAATATTCAATTTAAAAGGAAGAAGTTGAAATTACAGGGCCCGTTCGTATCTTTCGACCTCGGAATTATCAAAGACACAAAGTGGACAAACATAAAATTTTCTGAGGATGGAAAGTCGATTTTAGTGATGACATCAGGAAATTATCATCGATTAGTAGACGCGTTCAATGGTGGTATTACACATTCTTTAACGGGACATTCGAACGCTAATGGATTAGTTCTGAATGCGTGTTTTTCTCCAGATTCTCAGTTTGTGTTTTGCGGTTCAGACAATGGAAAGGTCACCGTGTGGAGTCGGGAAGATGGGACTCGTGTTCATGAATTATCAACGGATCCGAATGATCCTATCTTGCACTGTGTTTATAATCCGGTGTATCACGTGCTGGCCACAGCCGGTTCCAATACTGTAAGTTTTCGATGAAACTCAAATTTGTAATTATTAGGTTGTTAAAATAATTTTGTGTCCCTAACCAAAAAAAAGTTTGTTTTGAGGGGCACACAATTATTTGAACGACATGATATATTGATAAATTTTAGAGGAACCCCTAATTTTGAAGCAATTTATTTTAGAAATTGTGGACTCTTTCATAAACAATTCGTTAGCGTACTTACGAAAAACTCAGGGATTATTCGTTGTTAATAAAATTGTATAACTAATTTATAATTCTGTTGTATTATATTGTTATAACTTTTTTGATGTAATAAATCGAGCTGTAATTATTGATATGTTATCAGTACGTGCAAATAAAATTTTTCTTATTTGGTTATAGAATTGTAAACAATTTATGAGTTTCCTTCAATAAAGACCATAAACAGTATATATTTATATTGTTGGTCTTCAAAAAATTTTATCAACATGGGCTTGTCCTGATAGTCCGTTTAAGAAATCATTTTTGCGACCATAAACATGTTTACAAAGTTTTTATTGTTTTTAGTTTCATAATTTTCGTCTTTTATATCGTAACTTATCGCACAATGGAAAACACGTTATTTTAATTATTAAAAGGGGGGGGGGACCCCCTTAATCTGCCAAAAGTGTAAGAATCTACTTCTTATTAATATATAATTTTGATTTAATTCAGCATACCGACACCAATATTTTATCAACCAATATTTTTGTGATTCATTGCATCTATTAAACACCCTTCTTCAATGTTTCCTCCACGATTTTTGTTAGTGTTCTTACACAATTTTTACAGCAAGCAATGTATGAAACAAATGGGCTGATACATTGGTGATAAAAACGTTGTTCAAATGAGAACACATTTGCACAAAAAGGTGAAGATAACTAAGAATATTACAGTCACAACATTACACTGGGAGGTTTTAATAATACCGGAGACAAAATATTTGTTCGATGACCTTTTGCTTATCAATATCATCTTTAAAGTTATTAATAAAGCCCACAGAACTGTTTACAAACGTCTAGAATGCATCTAATTTTAGGAACTCTGCGAAGCTCCTGCTTTACGAAAAACTCAGTTTACGGCAGTTAGTATTAACGCATTAATTAAAGTAATATAATTTAAAATCCTATTATGAAAAATCGAAAGATCAAAAATGTCTACTATTTTAAAGTTAAAATTGTAAGTGTCTAGATTCAAACATAGGCCAGTGTAAAAATTTGTATTTTTGAAAAAGAAACTTTAAAATAACCGCCAATGGTGCCATTTTGGCTTTGTGTTCCGTGTTTTTTCGGGCCATCTTTTTCGCTGTGTTTTGCTGATTTATGAAAAGGGAAAAATGTTCATTTATTTTTCGAACGTTTTTGTATCATCAGGAGGTAAATTCCGTTATATCTAAATTTTAATAAGGATGATATTTTTTTATTCAATCGTAAGTGTTTTTTTTCTTGTTGTTAAAATTTTAGATGTTTGGAGAAAAACCAACAATTATAAATCTGTTCTACAAAGCATTTTTTCGGAATGAATTATGTTAGAAGTGAAGCGGCCACGGTTTTTTTTGTGTTCTACACAGTTTGTGATTTAAATCTTATAAAGAATCATTTGAAGTGTTTTATTTGAGCAAAAGTTCGTTCTTTTAAATTTGTTATGCAGTTTAAAGTGTAGTTAATTTAGTTTGTATCGTAGAGTTTAATTTATGTTTTAAAGGTTTACATTTTGTTTATATTCATGGTTTGGGGGTTTTATTACCGAAAGAAGGATGAAGTCATTAGGTATTATCTATTTTAAATGTATTTTTTATAGCGGTGCCTTTTATTATTCTTAAAGGTATTTTATAGTTAAAGGTTTTTTATTAGAAAACACTTACATAATGTCACTGTTAATTACTGTTTTTTTTTTCTTTACTGCACAACAATTTTTCTTAGACGCGTTTAGTGTTTCTAGCCTCACTATAGTCTCGTGAACTGTTGTGGTTATCGTTGATTGTGAGTAGAAACCCCGCCTCTTTGGTTTTTGTTTTTGATTTTACTCTTAAAGTTGCGGGTCTTGCTTGAGTGGCCATTTTTGAGAGTTTTTAGTCGTATAGTTATGAAAAGTGAATGGTTTTTAGTTGACACTTTTTTTAGGTGAAACACATTTTTTATCATAAGATATTCATTTTTTTTATTTTGCGAGTACTGCATTGCTTATATTTTTTATTAAATGTTTCTCTTTATTTTTTACTAACTTTACAATCAATTAATTTTTAGTGTAGTTATCTTATTAATCAGGAAAGATGGCCTCAGACAAGGTTTCAAAATTGGCCGATTGCGCTAACCGTCTTCGTGTGACTTCTATTGAGATCACCGCCGCCGCCAAGTCTGGACATCCAACATCCTCGGTTTCGGCTGCCGAACTCGTTGCTACTCTCTTCTTCGATGAGATGAAATATGATGTAGCCAAGCCGAAGGACGTAAATGCCGATAGATTCGTTTTGTCCAAAGGTCACGCTTGTCCAATTTTGTATGCGGCTTGGCAAGAAGCCGGTTTAATTCCCCGCGAAGACAACCTGAAGCTAAGACACATTGACTCAGATTTGGAAGGACACCCTACTCCTGTAAGTTTAGATTTACAGAACCGAGGATTACAAAAAAATAGTACGGTTCTATATACTTTCTTGTCTGTATAGTTTTTTTTAAAATTTATTAAAAGTTGATAGGTTGATTTTTCAGCGTTTGAACTTTATTGATGTTGCTACCGGATCATTGGGACAGGGCTTATCCATGGCGACTGGTATGGCATACACTGGTAAATACTTGGACAAAGCATCTTACAGGACTTACTGTTTGTTGGGTGATGGTGAAACAGCTGAAGGAGCGGTATGGGAAGCTGCTGGTGGGTTTCAAAAATACTTTTTACTTGTTTTTGCAACTGCGGACTTATATTTTACACTAATATAATAGTATTTAACTTGCAATTTTAATTACATAGTTTGCATATATCAAACTTTATGTAAAGTTTCGTGTTAAATAGAACAATTTTTTAGCTTTCGCTAGCCACAACAAATTGGACAACTTGGTGGCTATCGTAGACATCAACAGGTTGGGACAATCTCAACCTACTCAATTGGCTCACGATCTCGCGGCTTACGCTCGCCGTTTCGAAGCGTTTGGATGGAAAGCCATCAAGGTTGACGGACACAACGTTGAACAAATTTTGAAGGCTTTTGCTGAAGCTCGCCAAGTCAAAGATCAACCAGTAGTTGTGTTGGCTCAAACTTACAAGGGGCGCGGAATTGAGGGAGTTGAAGATTTAGAAGGATTTCACGGAAAGCCTGTGTCAGCTGAAAAGGCTGACGCTATTAAGTCGAAGCTGACTTCAAAGGATCCCCTTAAGTGGGACGTCCCAAAGCCTAATTATGATGCCCCTACTGTTGACTTGAAATTGGGACAAAACAAGGTATGTTGGTTTTTTGGTACATTTATGCTTTTAAAATTCTTTATAATTATTAATATTAAAAAGTAGTAATTTATAATGCCCAAAATATTTTATAGGTAGGTACACCAAACTACAAACTTGGAGATAAGGTTGCTACTCGTGCTGCCTACGGTACAGCTCTGGTGAAGTTGGCCGAGCAAAACTCGAGAGTGATCAGTTTGGACGGCGATATGAGAAATTCTACATTCTCCGAACAATTGTGGAAGAAGATTCCTCAACAGTACATTGAGTGCTTTATTGCCGAGCAACAGATGGTTGGTGCTGCTATCGGTCTTTCTTGCAGAGATCGTGCTATTCCATTTGCTAGGTAATTCTGTTTAACATTTAAAACGTTTTTATTTCAATTTTTGCTACTTTTTGTCAGTTTTTAAAAATTATAATGTAATATTGTGAGTTAGCCAGTTTCTAAAATATATTTTTCAGCACTTTTGCCGCTTTCTTGACTCGTGCTGCCGACCAGATTCGTATGGGTGCCGTATGTTTTGCTAACGTAAAGTTTGTCGGATCTCACTGTGGTATTTCTATTGGTGAGGATGGACCTTCTCAAATGGCACTTGAAGACATTGCTTTGTTCCGCGCCGTTCCGGGATCTGTTGTGCTTTACCCATCCGACGCTGTTTCCACGGAATACGCAACTGAGCTGGCTGCCAACCACCGTGGAATTGTCTTTATCAGAACTGGACGCCCGGCGCTTCCAGTGATTTACAACAACGACGAGAAGTTCGAAATTGGACAATCCAAGGTTGTAAAGAAGTCAGACCAAGACAAGGTCTTGATTGTTGCTGGTGGAGTGACTTTGAACGAAGCTTTGAAGGCTGCCGAACAATTGGCTAAGGATGGAGTTAACGCTGCGGTTTTGGATATCTTCTGTGTTCAGCCAATTGACAGAAAGACCTTGTTAGAACAAGCCAAGCGTGTTGGAGGCAAAGTCTTGACTGTCGAAGATCACTACCAGCCAGGCGGTATTGGCGAAGCGGTAAGTATTCACATAAAAAACGAGCTTTATTTTTAAAATTAGGTATACTATCAAACTATTTGCAGTTTAGAATTTTTAATGTTTACAAATATTAGGCGTTAATACTAGTTTGTACAATACATTTTTTCAGGTATCTGCTGCTCTTGCTGATGAAACAGATATTGTTATTCGCCGCCTGTTTGTAAAAGAAGTCCCACGCTCCGGTGCTCCAGATGCTCTTTTGGATCGTTTTGGAATCTCGAGCAAACACATTGTTGCCGAAGCTAAAAAGTTCTAATTTCTAGCTTTTCACTTTTGTACCCAGATTTATTTTGTATTAGGTAGCACATTAATAAAAGTTTAATTTTAATTTGTGGTATATGTGGTGTATAGTTGTGATTTAACATTTTTACACTAATTTTAGAAAAATACATCTTTAGTTGATTTACATTGCCTTTTCTAAGATTAAGAGCACATAAAGAAATTTTTTTTTATTTATTATTTACATTTATTATTTACGTTTCTTATCAACGATAGTAATATCGGTACGGGTAATAGATTGCCCAGTTAAGACCACAGTATCCGCACGTTCGTGCACATTCTTCGCGCATTATTGTGACATAGTTCGGATGCTGACACAAACCTACGTTTTTCGAACAATCTGATTTACCATTTACTGATTTGTCATCACATAATGCGCTTGATCCTAAAACTCAATAAGTTAAATTAATATGAACTTGATATAAACGTTTTAATATTTATTACAGTGGTCTCTCAATATAGGGAAACATCTGTAAAGAAAACACCTCTTATAGTAAGCACAAAATATTACCGTAATAATTTTTTGCGTGGTAAAAATGACTAAATATACTTATAGTTATGTATACATTATATGTATAGTTAGTATATCGCAAATACTGATAGTATTGTTCACGTTATTTCTTACCGCTTTGAACAACTGGTTGAATCCTACTATAACCACAATACCCGCACGTGGCCTTACACTGTTCCATCATGAGCTGTTTGTACGAAACGTCGTTGCACAAATGCTTGTTTTCCTGACAATTCGATACTCCATATATGTCAGTCAAATCCGAACAAAATTGTTCCGAATTTTGGTTGATGTTTTGCATAGGAGTTGTGTAGTTTTTCTGAACGCACTCCGTGAGCAATGTTCCGTTATCAAACTGACTTTGGATAAGCTTAACTAACGTTAAAAACAACACTGCGGGATCTCCTGTGTTACGAGTTTCCATACAAAGGTTGCAACTTTGCCGACAAACTTCATACATAACATTACCGTATTGCATATCAGTGCATAGATTTAAAGTTTTAGGACAAAGACGGGGTAAAGAGTCAGCGCAATCTGTTGTTTAATACAAGGTTAGTGAAACTTTCATACATCATTTTATACAAAAAATAAATTTTTTAAAACAAAAAAAGCAAAATTTGTGTATAATAGAAAGCAAAAACATCAAAACTCACTTTGAGATTCAATTTTTCTTATAAAAAACAAAAAGTAGCAAAAATTGATTAAAAGCTTCCGCATTTTTAAAATCCTGAATTACAAATTGTTTTAGATGCAGCGTTTTATTTATATACTTAAAACCATGTGTCTTGTATTTTAAATTTTTTCATATTTTCATTGTCTTGCATATTTATTTAAACTAAATATAATTTTTCATTGTGAAAGGATCGTAGAAACAACCTTCATGTCCATTGAATGTTTGTTCAGAAGTAGCGGTCAAATCAAAAATTTTAGTCTACAGAAAAGCACATGTAAGTATAAAATTTTTGCTGAAAAATAACAAGTCACGTTAATTTTTAAAATTACTTTCAAATGTGTATTTCCCAATGCCCTGAATAAAAACGTCAAAGTTGTACTTAATTGTTTGGCTACTTGTGTACTTTAGATGTATTCAAAGCATTATAGGCTAGACTGCTCAATTGCACTGCCCTTTTATCATGCACATCAAAGTCATAACCTCACATGCCACACAAGTTAGAAACACGGCTAACACTATAACATACAGGTCAGAGGTCAGTGACGTTTCCTCCTTCATTTATGGCGCCACGTGCTCATATCAGCAAAAACTGTCGTTGACATCGCCGCCTTTGGTTTGTAATTTTTAAGTGTTCAATAGTGTTCACTAATGATACAGCAACGTTTAAAAAATTGCAAGCATTTTTGAAATCTTCGTAAAACATAATACACTTGTTACAGGTGAAAAATACAAGAATCTAACAATTAGAATAAAAAAGAAAATTGTTGTAACTACAGCTTATAAAAGCACAGATCACCATGCTATCGCCACGTAAGTATAGTGTAAGAGACATAATCATCCAATTCATACAATTTTCGAAGACTTTACAATTGAGAACCAAAATGCCTTGTTTTTAACAACCTAGGCTTAAATCTTATCTTTGTAATCAAATGTCAACACAGAAGGTATTTCATCATACGAATAGATTTTTTAAAAGTTGCGATAATAAAATAGGTCCTTCTCATTAACACAAATATTAGTAATTTTTTATCATAACCGTCCTTGGTCATTAGTTTCACGTATCGTGCACCATACGGTTCACAACACCTTGTCACTGTCCGGGAATGTAAAATTATGGATATTTATAATATATAGAAAAAAAATTTGACCAAAAAAATGTTATAATTTCTCCTCCCTCCACTTCCATGCCAAACATACTCGTCTGACAATAACCTTTATGCTTGATAATTACTAAAAATTTTTATCGCCTAAAGATTATCCCAAATTTATAGTAGTTTGAACCATATTTTTTCACATATTAAAGAATTTTTATATTTTCATTTTAAAAATTTGTTTTAGGCGAATGGTGTTGACTCGAGAATCAAAAAAATTATTGTCTACATCATCGTAATACTGCTACAATCTGATACGTAAGCAAAACGTCTTATTATTTTAATATATATTTATATCTGAAGGTAATTTTCCTTTGAGCAGGGAAAAACTATCGTGATAGTAATTTTTACTTGAAACATTTTTTATCACGTTGAATTCGTTTAGAGTGCAAATTTTCAAAAATGCTTCGAACTTCACGCTTGGTGAATGTGCCACATCAAAAAATCAAACTGCGACGTTATGCCGTCACCTACGTTGGAAAACAACCGCCAGTACTGGGAATACGTAGAGAAACAATAAATGCATGGGAACGAAGAGCTCCATTAGCACCAAGTCATGTACAAAAATTGACACGTCAAGGTGTCAAAGTTCTGATCCAACCAAGTAATCGAAGAGCATATCCATTGATTGTAAGTATTAATACAAGTATAATCTTGAAAAAAGTTACGCTCTACAAATTTTTCTTAAATTTTCAGGACTACATGACAGCTGGCGCACAAGTTCAAGAAGATTTATCTCCAGCACAATTAATCATGTCTGTAAAGCAAGTTCCGGTAGAACAACTACTACCCAACAAAACATATGCTTTCTTTTCGCATACAATCAAAGCTCAACCTGACAATATGGAGATGTTGGACACAATATTGCATCGGAAGATACGACTCATTGACTACGAGAAGATTACGGATGAAAATGGTAAACGATTGGTAATGTTTGGGAAGTGGGCAGGATATGCTGGATTCATCGACGTTTTGCACGGCTTGGGACTACGCTTATTGGCATTGGGACATCATACGCCGTTCTTGCATATTGCATTAGCTCACAATTACAGCGACTCACACATGGCTATTAATGCAATTCGCGATGCTGGATACGAAATCGCGTTAAATCGGTTGCCACGGTAAATTATCAAGTCATTTTTAAATATAAGTTATAGTTTCAAAGATAAAGTTATGATTTAAAATAAAAAAAATGTGCTGTCTGCGGACATCTCTGGACAACATTGTTAAATTCTTTTCACGTTATAAACTTTTGGTAATTGCAGATCTCTTGGACCTTTGATTTTTGTATTTACTGGGACTGGAAATGTGTCGCAAGGCGCTCAAGAACTTTTTAAACACCTACCACATGAGTTTGTTGACCCTTCTACTTTGCCACAGGTAACCGTTTTTCCATAGTGTCCTAAAAAGCTTAATTTTCTCGTAAAATACGGATTAATAATTTCCAAATGATCAATTTAGGTTGCCAAAAAAGGTCAAATGAACAAAGTTTATGGATGTGTTGTTTCTCGCAGCGACTATTTGATGCGAAAAGAAGGCGGAATTTTTGATGTAGATGAGTTTACCGCACATCCAGACCGATATGTCTCAAAATTTGCCTCAGAAGTAAGTTTAAAAAAAAACTTGTTTAATAAATTCTAGAATTCTAAGTTTGATGTTGTTATTTAAAACTAGTTTAAGTTGAACAAGGTTTAAAAGTTTAAAATCTCACAAGGAAGGTACCCGACCTGCCCCGCTCTGATTGACTTCAAACTTTTTATAAAGCAAGATCATGTAAATATAAGATCTTCAGCAAAGTATTCCAGGAAATCTCGAGAAAATCGAGATCAAAAAATTACGTTTTGAAATTCCCGCCAAATTGGCATTGTGTTTCAAGCTTGTAACTTTGCCATTTTTTGAACTTTGTGAGTTTTTCTTTAATATACTAGTAGAACATCTTTAAATAAACCTACATTTTTAAAATTGTAAGTGAAGCTTGTCTGCAAAGTCGAAAAAAGTGCTTGAAACACAATGCCAAAGTGGCCAAATTGGCGGGAAACCAAACTAATTCAAATTTAAAACTCAAAAGCGTAGTCTAAAATTTTTTATAGGTACTATTGGTAGTACAAAGAATTCATATTAAAATTTTGAGCTGATTCTGAGCGGGACAGGTAGAGTACTTTCCTTGTCAGACAGTTGTTATTGGTACTTACAGATAGCCCCGTACGCTTCTCTTATTATCCATGGTATTTATTGGGACGTTAATACCCCACGATTAATTACTATTCCTGATGCCAAACATCTATTGACACCAACGGCTAACGCTGCACTTGACGTACCTGGCTGTCCATCACTGCCCCATCGACTTATCGCCATCTGTGACATATCGGCAGATCCCGGAGGTTCCATCGAATTTATGACTGAATGCACCACAATCGACAAACCATTTATGATCTATGACGCCGACTTTAACATGGCGTACGACTCCTTCGATACACCGTCCGGTTGTTTGGTCTGTTCTATTGATAATATGCCAGCTCAGATGCCATTAGAAGCAACAGAAGCCTTTGGAAATCTTTTATATCCGTATATCTTTGATTTGGTGAGTTTTAAGATTTGTGTAACCTTTTTTTAAATATATATATATATATATTAGAAATTTAATATAATTTAAACATTTTTAGTTGAATTGTGCAACTGATCAACCTTTTGAGCGTTTGGAATGTCGTCCTGATGTTAAGAACGCTATTATCACGGATAACGGAGAACTCACACCAAACTACAAGTACATTGACACTCTTCGAGCTGAACAAACGTAAGTTGATATATATTTCGTTGAATAGTTTTATCTATACTTTTATTAGTATTTGGTTACGATTTTCATTTTATGTAACAAGCGGCGCCTTGTTGGTGTGTTTTACCAAATTAATGCGTTTTATGTTTTTTTAGTTTGAAATATTTATTACTTAAAGGTTTCAACTTTAATACATTGATTTAGTATATTATATCATAAATCATAAGTATTTTCACAATAAAAGTTTATTTAATAATTTAATTTTTAGAATTCGTTCGTCTCACAAAGCCAAGGCAATGGCTGGAAGAGAAGATGCAAAAAGAGTGTTGCTATTAGGTGCTGGTATGGTATCTGATCCACTGGCTCATTACTATAGTCAACAACAAAAGGTATTACTGACTGTTGCGGCGGATTCGGCAAAAGATGGTAAACGTTTGGCCACATTGGGAGATAACATTCAATCTCAAGTTGTGGACGTTAATAAGGAACCGGAGTTGATTGATAGTCTTGTTGAACAAAACGACTTGGTTATATCACTGTTACCTTATGTCTGTCATGCTGGTATTGCAAAAATGTGTATTAAACACAAAAGGAACATGGTTACCAGCTCATATATTTCTCCGGAGTTGCAGGCTTTGGATCAGGAGTATGCGTTAAATAGAGTTTTCTGTTGTCTTGTAGAAGTTTAGTTATAGAGGTGGTATCAGTTTATGACTTTAGTTTGCGTAATTTTGTAACATTTTTTGGTTGTATGTAAAATATCTTTAATTATTTCAGAGCCAAAGATGCGAACATTACGGTAATGAATGAAAGTGGGCTTGATCCAGGAATTGACCACATGTTGGCTATGGAGTGTTTCGATCGTGTTCATGAAATGGGCGGTAAAATCAAGTCGTTCGTCAGCTTTTGTGGTGGACTTCCAGCTCCAGAAGCGTCTGATAATCCGCTGCGGTACAAGTTTAGCTGGTCTCCGAAAGGAATGTTGTTGGCTTTGATGAATCCGGCTAGATACTTGATGAAAGGACGAGTTGTGGATGTTCCTGGAAATGGCGGGGTTATTGATGACTTGTATCCGATTGATTTTATGCCTGGATTTTCGTTGGTCGGATACGCTAACAGAGACTCGACGAAGTACCTGGAAATTTATGGAATTGAGGATGAGTGCAAGACCTTGCTAAGGGGCACTTTGAGATACGAGGTATGTATTTGTTTTTTAATACTCTAATATAAATAGTTTTATGTTTTTATATTAAAAGAATTTTTTAGGGTTTTGTTGAAGCAATCCGTGCATTGAAGAAAGTTGGCTTGCTATCTATCCAAAAACACGATGTTTTTAATCCAATGCAAGGTCCTGACTTGACTTGGCAACAAATTATGGCCGTCCTTTTTAACCAACAACCGGACATTTTCCCGGACCAATTGCGAAAGATTGTCGCTGATCGACTGGGAGACAAAAAAGAGTACAAAGCATTGGAAGAGTTGGGACTGTTCAGTGATAATGCACCGGAGAGAAACTTGAACCCTCTGGATACATTGGTGCCTCATTTGGCGAAGGCTTTAGCTTATAAAGAAGGAGAAAGAGATCTGGTCATATTGAACCATGACATCGAAGCTCAGTTGCCTGCAGGATCTACGGTTAGTTGTTCAAAAATAACACGAGCTTAAGTTTTGCTTTTTTGGATTTCTACAAGTTAAAAAAAGTTAAAAGTTTGAAAAGGAAAGGTTTACCATACTGTTTAGAAAAAAAAGATTGTATTTTTTAGGAACGTCACAGAATTAGCTTGGTAGCCTACGGCGATCCTCATGGTTACTCAGCAATGGCTAGAACTGTAGGATACACTACGGCGATCGTATCTCATATGTTGCTAAACGGCGAAATTCAACGTAAAGGAATGATTCGCCCGATTACGAAAGAGATTTATCGACCGGCTTTGAAAAGACTTCAAGATTTTGGAATTCGAGCAACGACCAAAGTGACACACGGATAATTATTGTACATTTTTTAGCTGATGTATTGTAAATTATTTTGTCGTACAACATAAATATTATATACGTTTCATTTAAAAAATTTGTACTTAGTGTTAAGGTTTTATAGGCTTACCTGCTCCTCTAAGAATCAGCACAAAATTTTCGCAAACTTGTCATTGTTTACAAGAACTTTTTCAACTCTTCTGACAAGCTACGCTTAGGATCATATAAGTTCATTTAAAGATTTTTATAAAACAAGTATATCAAAGAAAAATTACTAAAAATCACAAAATGGCAAATTTATAAACCTGAAACACAATGCCAATTTTGTGGAAATTTCTAGTTAGTTAAAAATATGTCAACGTATTTCAATGAATTTAATTATTTATTAACTTAATTATGAAAAATTGCACAAAAATGTTAAATTTAATCAATTCAATCTACCCGCTTACTAATGATTTGTATCCATACCAATCTATTTACAAATATATACCTGATTCTATCCAGCATACAAGAGAGTGTACCACATTTTCGTTAAATACAACGTTTTATAATAGGTTAAAATGATAAATTATAAGACAGTATAATGATTCTAAATTATTAACTCCAAAATGTCGTTATTGAAGTATACGAATAAAACATTTACGTTACGAAAAGATACAATTAAGATATATATGTACATTTTACGATTTTTAATTTGTGTTACAAATAGACTTACAAGACTTGAATAATCTTAATAATATTAATATTATTAAACCCCCGTCAAATCCACAATAAATGGCTTATTTTGATCGTCCGAACTGTTGGTGTCGGTACTGCTGGTCAATGGAGTTTTTTCCATATTTTTTCCTTCCTTTACTTCATTAATGTTCATTGTGTAACTCTTTGACACAACGTTTGACTTTTTTGGTCTTGGCGGGACTACAAACTCTGCTAGTTTATACGCTTTCTGTCTTGGTGGTCGTTTTGGGACGGTTTTGTTAGTTTTACATTCGGCCGTGTCTTCGTCCATTTTCTTCAGTAGTCTAGTCAGCTTCTCCATCGATATGTCTTTTTGTGGTGGATTTGTATTATTTTGCCGTCTATCGTTTGCATTGAAAGCTGTTGTTTTATTTTTGTTGTCGGAGTCACATTTATTTTTTGATTTTATCGTGGTCTTAGATCCAGGTGACACATCATTCCAAGTTAATGACACTACACTTTTTGAGGGGTTTTTTTGTGTGTTGTTAGCGGTGGTCAGATTATTCAAGCTATCCTGGTGCTGGCTTTTGCAGTTGCTGTAACTATTTCTTCGATTCCTGATTACAGGTTCGTCTTCACTTAAGTATTCCAGCTTGGGGAAACGCGTGTTGTCATTGTGACCTTCCTCAATAAAACCACTACTTTCGCCACTGCTTAACAATGGATGTATGTTACCATTTTCTATATCAATATCGTTATCGTAGTATCTGCTGGCACTGTCTTCGTAATTGTAACTACGGATTTGTGGGTATGCGTTCTTAGGGCAATTTCTGCCGTCGCTTAACTTTTTCAACGGCATCTCAAAGTCTTCGTCGTCGTCTAAGTCGAGAATCATTGGCGGGTCAGGGGTAGGTTCTCCGTAAATTGTACCATTAGCTAGCAGGTGCATATTAGGTAGGTTTTTCGGCATTACCGAGTCGACAATCGTAAGTTTTCTGTGAGGTTCCGTCTTTTTTGGGAGCTGACCCTTTTCAATGACATTATTCCCTTTTTTCAAGGCATGACTTTTTTCCGATGCGTCGTCGTAGCACCTAGGCGTGGAGCTCAACATTGCTTCTCGTTCTTCGTCCGAACAGTCGTGACTTCTGGCACTATGATGGGAGTTTGCAGTGTGAAGTTGCTCGAGTGCTTTTATATCACCAGAAAAACCGGGGAAATACCCTAACGCATTCTTACGTTTTGCAACTTTGTGTAGACTTGATGAGCTTTTGTTTTCCTTTAATTCGTCTAAACAGTTTTTTATTGTGTGCGAATTGTCATCTGATAAGTTCTCGTTAATTGGAGTCAACTCATCCGACCGATAAAGTGGATGTAATGGTGGAGTGTTGTTGCTGGTTATGTCAAACAAACTTAAGTCAAATGACTGGTTAGGCTCACCGTTCATCTTCTACAAATGGTAAAATTAGCAGTTGAACAGTGCTATGGTAAGTATTTAGTTTTATTAATCTATCATATAAAACAAAGTTTTTTAAACGTGCATTTCACTTACATTTTGTTGTTGATATAATTGTAAGCTTTCGTACTGCCTCCATAACGGTTCCATCTTGTCCATTTCGGGAGCTGACGATGAGCGTTTACGTGGAGGTTTGTCTTTTACTTCGCGTATTTCGCGAGATCCGCTTTTAGAACCCGCAGTAGCTAGACTATCATTAGTACTTTGGCTCGTTTTCTTCCTTTGCTCCAAAAAGTCTTCATCTATGGTTTCTGGTCGTTTTTTCCCGGCCCGGCTCTTCCTAATGTTACCTGATTTAAGTTGGTCAAATTCAAAGCTGCTATTCAAAAGGCCAATGTTTTCCTCATTGCTTTCGAAAACTTTTCCTAAACGAATCCTGGTCGGTGAGGGCGGTCGGTTGGTTCGAAGCGCACGTTTCACCTCGGCTGCCATAGTCGTAGTGGGCGGAATGAACGACTGAGATTGAGTTGGCAATGGTCCATATTTTTCGGGATGTTGAGTGACTTTTGCAAACATGCGCTTAAGGATCCCTCCACCTTCTGTGTTAAGAACTTGTTGGCTTTCGTTAAGCAGAGACAAACGAGATATATCTTCAGCATCCATTGCTGAAAAAGTGTTTTTTAAATTTAAAAAAAACATTATTTAAAATTATAATGTTTCTAAACAAATATATTTTACAATTTCTGCTTTAAACTCTTGTTACTCAATTTTGCTTTTAAGCTTTGTAAAAAAAGGTTAAAGAACCTACTGAAACCTCTTGTCATTGGTTTGGCTGGAGCTTTTCGAATTTTCAGATCATGAGCCCGGTCGGCGAAAATACTAGACGGGAAATATTCCAGTTTGTCTTGTTCCATTTGTAGCTTGTCTATGTCGGTTTGTGGGAATACGCGATCCGACGCTATACTTAACCAGTACGTCCGCATTTGTCCTTTTCCCTTTACTTCAACCAAACCTCGTTCTTCTAGGTGAAACTCGGACAGCCCGCTGATTATGTTTGCTGTATTTTGGCTAATATGAATGCGGTGGGCTAAAATTGTAAATTTTAAAAGTTGACAATTAATTTTAATAATTTTAAAATTATTAAAAAGTTATTGTTAAAACCTACGAAGGCCATTGCTTTCCATCCGGCTAGCGACATTCACGGCATCTCCAAATAGACAATACCGTGGCATGGTTTTTCCAACAACTCCAGCAACGCAAGGTCCGGAATGGATTCCAATACGTACTCGCAGCTTTTCTTCAGGCATATGTGGTATTTTAAACGCATGTGATGCATCCAATAAGTGAAGAGCCATCATACATACCTAAATTTGGTTTTGTAGTTTTAGAAATATATAAACCTGAAAAAATTTTTATTGGTTTAAAAACCTTTCTCTGTCTTATTTTACTGCGAACATACGCTTGTCAAATACTTACTTCATAACCATGCGTTAAGGCATCTTTAAACTGAGGTACGCCAGACACGACCATATAAGCATCACCAATTGTCTCAACTTTGTAGACGTCGTACTGTTTTATTACCGAGTCAAACAATGTGTATAGGTTATTCAACAAACTGACAACTTGCATGGGTGTTGAACTTCCACTGATATTGGTAAATCCGACAATGTCCGAGAAGTAAATTGTAACCAAATCGAAGGATTGCGGCTTCACTTCTCCTCCATACATTAACTGAGCGGCGACCGACGGTGGTAACATGCGTTGAAGAAGGTTTTCAGTACGACACTTCTCTCTGTTCAACTGTGCCGTTCTTTCTTCTACTAGATTTTCCAAATCTGTCTGATATTTCTCCATCATCAACATCATATGGTCGACAATGTTGCGTTTATGAATACCCGCCGACATTGGTTTAAGTTTTTGTCTAATAGCATGTCTAAAGTCTGGTCGTACCATTGGTGCTTCTTCCCAACACATTGATATCGTAGTTTTTACATAGTCTTGGCATTCGGTGTTTTTCAAGTCTGGTCGGTGCACAACATAGCCGTCAGAAGTTTCTTTCGGCCGCAAAATTCTGTCGACAATAGCTTTTATTTCGTCGGTGGTGCCATTTGTACAACTATATACTTCGTATGGTCCTTTACGAGTTATGATTTCGTGTAAAATCACGCCGAACGAGTACACATCACTTTTTTTGCGTAGGTTTAGCTGGGTTGTTAGAGTCTAATGTTTTTTAAAAGTTCAGGAGCCATCCAGAGACGGCTCTCCCATTTGGCTTCTTCGCTGACCGCAGCCACTCCGTTGCGTAGTTCATGGAGTCCAAAGTCCGCCACTTGCAAAGCCCAGCGGTTCGTTATCAAACAGTTACTTGACTTTAAGTTGCCGTGGACTCGCACTTCCGACTCGTGAATATATATCATGCCTTTGATCAGATCTTCGACGAAAGAAGTTACAAATATATGATCTAGCTTAATGTCTTTGTTCTTGAGCATGTCCAATAATGAATTTTTTTGACAAAACTCTCGGACGACGAGGATTTTATTTTGTGAAGGTTGCAGAATAATGCCTTTGAACGAATTGACGTTATCATGCCGTAGTTGTACCATAGCCTTCATTTCAATACGTGTGTCACGTGAAGGTTCCTTCATTTTTCTATTGTAATTCAATTCTTTGACGGCCACAGCTACATTTTTGTATAAAGCAACAAAACGAAGAGAATTAAAACGTTTGTCTGTCACGTTGTTATCCTTTGGACTGTAATTGCGATATGAAATAAAAACTTTTAATTACTGTATAAAAAGGAAAAAAACGTCACTTTCTTGTTCTATTTTTGAGAAACACATTAATAATGATTTTCAGTATATTCAAAATAAGATAATTCTAAAAAATGTAAGTTTTTCCATCTTTTAAATTAGTAAAAACAATTTTCAAAAACATACGTTAACAAGCTTTGGCGGCTTCCAGCATCATACAAGTATAACGAATTTGCTGAAGTGTTGGTGTGAACAATCTTATCTATTTCACGTTCTTCAATCCTCCATATGTTAGATATTTTGTCTTCAAACGTTTTCCGATGGTAAGCCCAGGCCGCCGAAATGACTAGTATAAACAAAAATATACCAGCAGCAATGTACAAAGCTAATCTAATACGGTATTCCCTTTCATCGCGACATTTGGCACCATCAAACCCGCAATCTGGTTCGTCTTTAGGAGGTGATCCAGACGGCCATAAAACGGGCCGATGAAACCGAAGCTTAGGTAATTCACTGGCATCTCCATTTGCTATGAAGTCAGCAGTGACGTCAAGCCCGGCAGACAATGGGTAGTAATCCAGGCTAGTAGCGTCATTATACGGCTCTAGAGGTTGTAGAGAAAGTAAAGTGAAGTTTCCTTCGGCATCACCGTTTTTGTTTATACGCATGTCAAAGCCTTGTACACCTAAAATGTTAACATAAAGTGAGTGGAAAAAATAGTAATAACTATCTTAGCTTAAAAATTAAAACTGTATCTATATAACTTTTTGGCGCTTAGAAACTTACTTCTATAGATTTTACCCAGTATACGACGAGTAATTTTGTCTCCATGTCCAATAGCTTCTTCTGCACTAACGTTGGCCGACTTGATGTACTCAGTAGCCGCACTCGCATACAACATTACCGCATCGTAAAGATAACAAGCAACACGATTCGGTTTTATAGTCATGTTTTGTACGTTTGTGTGTGTTCCATACAACTTCAGATACTGGTTGTTTTCACGCCAAAAGTTTTTGTATTCTTCAGATTGTAGCGCAACAGGTGTCGGTATTATGGCCAACACAGATTTTGAAAAATTGGCCATCTTTCGGGATGTCGAGTTCTGGGCAAAACTTTCGATCAAGTTTGCCATAGTATCTGAAATAAATACTATTTATACGTCTTTTTTAAGGTTTTGTTTCAAATTTTACTTTTATAGATTTAAACAACGAATACAATGTAAGATAACCTAATTTTTTAAATAATAAAAACTGAATTAACCTCTAAAAAAGTGATTAGTATTTGCATGATAAGCGTTTAGCCAGTTGTAGTCTGGGTCCAAATATACTGCAGCATAGTTTCCATCTTGCATTAGACCTGTATCGCCCATTTCGATGACTATTTGGCGAAACATGTACGGATCGCCGAAAACGATATAGACTGAAACAAATGAAAAATTTAATATATGTAATGCCACTTAAGAAATACGAATAAAACAAAAAAAATTCCAATAATTACTTCGTGTGTTGTCCTTAGTTTCTAAAATAGTGTCACGGATACGGTCTTTTTTGTTCTGCTGAATCTGATCAAACGGGTACGGCATTACAGTAACATTTTGAATTTGATACTTATTTTCATTCGAATCTTCAAGTCCAATCCTTTCATTTTCTTCGTCAATTGCATTTCTGATGGACTGTAGCAATTCGTCTGTGTTCGGACGTCCTTCGTAGACTACTGTAAATTTATGCCACTGATAATGCTTCATCAATGCCATAAACGCTTTGGTGATCTCGGTCTCGGCTGGGACAGTACGGGCAAATGTCGGAAACCTAAAAATATCTTTATTACGTTTGTAAAAAAGTTTTGCAGAACAATAATTAAATTTTTTGAGAGGAAAATACGGTGTAAGTTACAGTTTAATAAAATCTTTAAGTCTCTGCCAATATTAAAGTTTTGATTTATGATTTTTTATTCCTTAGTTTACATGTATGAAAATGCAAGTCTTAATTTAAGCAAATAAATTAATTCCCAATTTCCGGAAAATATTTGAACAAATCCATAGTTTAAAGCCCTAATTACCGTATCATCCTATGACACTACTTCGTTGCCATAGCATAATACACAGCAGAATATTTACGTAGGTTTATTCCAAGAACTATATTTTGTAAGTAAATTTTGCATACTTTTAATTATTAAATTTATACGTCATTATGACACTTCTTTTAATCATTGTGTACACAAACGTGTACTAGCTTATACTTACTTCTTTTTGTTAGAAAGATGTTGGTCTTTGCACTTGTAGCTTAAAATCGGAATGTTTTGTGCGGCTGCCATAGCGGCTTCCACTCTGCAGTTCATTTCCGGCCCTATAAAAACTTTGGCACCTTGACTCCAATGCTCCATAAATATTCGGGTACCTAAAAAAATTATTCAATAATTTCTCTAATGCATTTGTGTTTGTCATAAAAAGCAAGTCGAATTTTTAAAAAAAGAGTATTACTTTTTCTAACTTTTAATTACTGTAATTTTAACTTTATCTAAACAGTATTAAAATTTTAATTTTCTAAAGGTTTAACGATTTGTAAATATGTTAAGAAAACTCACTTTTCTTCTCACTTCCGCAAGTGTTTTCAAACATTGGTTGTATATGAAACCCTGGCAATAAGTTCGGATTATTGTTGATCTCATTGACAGCAACGTTTACCGCTCCGGATATTAAACCACCTTCGAAGTCTTTTTGAAAACATTCCGCTTCCTGTAGGATATTGACATCCGCACCGATTTCATTCGAATTTACGGCCGACACCATGGCCAGGCGTTGAAAAAAATTTTTGTCGATCTTTGGCACAGCCGCCATGTAGCTCAGTTTAAGTAAGGTTGTGTTTGGAGGTAACGGCTCAAGCGTACTCTGCGTTGTCGCCCGGCGCTCTTCCTCAATACTTTCTTTGCTAGCGTTGAGATACAGTAGCACATCCTCGTAAGAATACGTATCTTTGTTAAAAGATGACGATTTAATTCCCTTTTTGGGTACTAAAAAAGTTTGTTTATAAAACACTTTAATAGTTTATACATTAAATTTAAATAAAAAACCTTTCTTGATTAAAAAACTAGCGTAAAATATAATAAATAATATTTGGCAGAAATAAAACTCACTTTTAAAAAAATTTTGTTCAGCACTATCGACTGTAACACATATCAAAAAAATATGTACAAGAATTAAGAAATACTTAAAACAACCCAGTGTAAATGATATTCCCGTAGTTTTCATGTGATTATTATTCCTTCGCCAGCTTAGCGCCATTTTTGTCAACGTGCGCTGACATTCCATTATATTGACAGTCCTTACATGCGGAATAATTTATTTGAGTTTACGCATTTATCTGTAAATATCAATATTTAAAAAATAATTCTAAAGGTATCTTAAAACTTTTTCTTCAATAAGTTCTATTCCATGACCGCAAAAAAAAACAAAAAGTACAGAAAAGGTTATGAAAAATAGTCTTAAAAAGAGTAACAAAACCTTTAGAAATAAAAAAATATTTCCAAACATGTAAGTGTACAAAAAATACCACCTATTGTGACACGATAAACCATTAATCAATGTATAACCGCTCAGGAATCTTAAACTTTTCCAAAAAAATTACAATGGGCTTTTAGTAATAGACAACTTACAATAGTTATTTATGCATCAAAAGAAAACCAAAAAATTTCTGTCCATATTAATAAAACTTTTTAAAGTTATTTATTTTAGTATTATTTTAAAAATTGTCGTATAAAACAAAAAACATTATCTGTGTTGTAAAGCTTGCACTATTGATAAGGCTTGAAAATACGGTATTGATTGACGTTATGGTGTATTCTGTTATCAAAATTTTTGAAAAACGTAGTAAAAAATTCTGGGTTTTACCGTAACGTAAATTTGACATAGCCAGGAAGTTCCTATTAACTATAAAGAGATATTTTCTAAAAAACTCACGGTTGAATCCACACTAAATGGCCGTTTTCTTAATTTTCCTAACAACAATACAAAATTATTAATTTTCTTTTGCACTTGTATATATAAGCTTATATATAAATTTAGCAACAAGTTATCATGCAAAAACGAAGGTTTTGTTTGATCCCTATAGGTTTTTTTGCGAACGCTTAGAGAGCCCAGGATGTTAGGCTATTGAATTTCAGTGAAAGGCTTTGCGTAGCAACTAAAACATTTTCCGACTCAAAATTGTTTAGGATATTCGAAAAAAGACACCAAATATGCAAACATTTTTCTGCAATTATTCTAGTATATATTTCGTTTTCTAACTTTTATTTTAATATTATAAAATTTTTGGAGCTTGTACTATTTAACTTGAGCCTATCTGACCTTTTCTTCCCCTTCACTCTCCTTTTTCCTCTGAAACCAAAACCCCCTGCCGACTTTCCTTATTAACCAGTAAAATAATTTTTTAGTAAGAACAGCTATAATAATAGCATGCAAACGCATTACTCTGCATTAAAAAAGTGACAAAAATGTGATAAGACGTCGCCGTGATCCTTTCGACTTTTTAAACCCGTCACTTTCTGACAGAAAATTCTTTTGCTCTCCAAATGCCCTTTCGACCAGTCAGACGGATGGTGTTGCATATGTTTTCCAAGTTCAAAAATAAACATTTTATAGTGAACAGGTTTTGAGTCACAAAATTTAATGTTAAAAAAGCATTAAAACATGTGAAAACCAATTACTAGAATAAAATATCGAAACATAAAAAATATCTGAATGCGTGAAAAAATATAATGACAATTTGTACATATAAACTATGCTTTTACAGTAATATGAAAAAAAAATAAAAATTCTGTTTTTTGATTATGCTACGGCGAATTTATTATTAAGATTCCTTCCACACGCCATAATTCAGTTAAACTAAATAGAGAAAAGACCGCGTTTCAAACTTAAGGTCGGACACCTTTTTAGAAGTATATTTATCAGAAAGATATAGAAGTAAACGGCAAATATAGTTCCTTTAAAAATATAAATAGTTATACTGCCTCTTAAGAGACAAATCTTCTCGACCTCCTCTCCGGAAAAAATCGCCTAACCGGGCCTAACCTTAAAACGTAAATTTCAAAACTAAAGAAGAGAAAATGAATAGTAAAATTAAAAGAAAAGTTCACTTTCGTTTTTGTTAGAAACAAAATGCGATGCTTATGACTAATATGGGAAACTCATAAGAAACATAATAATAACAAAAAAAAGCGTAACAAAACTAAGTTTTTTTTAGTTTTTCGATATCAAAAACTCCCCAAAAACTCGTTGTCCTTTTAAAAACTCTCTATTAGTGTGTACGTGGATTCGAGTTTTATAATGGCCATAAAAATTCCGCAAAAAAAGACCAAAGACACAGCCAAGATTATTTGCGTTTTGCAGCATAAAAGGCAATTAATTCCAACAAATTTAAGAGATTAAAATTTTGTGGATTTGTTTGGAGATTTGTCATATGGCGCAGATGATACGGTATGTAAATTACTGAGTTAGTATGCTTATAGTATCTACTTTTGGAAGTTGAAAAAATGCAGATAAAAAAGTTTGTAGTACTTCCCTCGGAGTTAAAGGTGTAGGAAATCTGACAACTTTTATAACAGTAAATTTCTACCAAAGTAAAAAATAAAAGTCATTTGAATAACACTTTTACCTATTATATTTGTTTACCAATTACCCCGGCTAACTTTGTACATTTTTTTGTTTTGATACAAATAGGTTAATTAAAGAAATATAATTGTAAAATTGGTATTTACGTCAACAGTAGGATATAATAAAGAAGCAAATGGCAAAGTGACAAATAGCAAACACGGAATACGTAATGTGTATAAAAGGCACCGTCTTATATATATTTTTGGTTGGTATTGTCACAAACACGATTACGGTTCGCACTTTTTTCCATCTTGTAGTCCACTTTAAAAAAACTAAAAAAAAATTAAAAAATCTTTTCTCCTCTCCCCAGCTTAGATCATAGCGATTTGTCCTGTAGCAGTGTAAGATTTTCATGCATGTCAGTCATAAACTGACTACAAATTTACTGCATTCATCTTACGACAGATTGTAAACAAAAAATAAAACTCGTGACATAAATACAAATGTAAATTTACAGTCCAAGCGGCTGAAAGCCTCAGGTGTAAAATTAAAATAATTCGTAAACAACCAAGACTTTCACAAGAGCCCTTAAAGGAATTATATTGCAAAAAATGAGAAAGAATCTAAAAATTGTAAACTTTTTCCAAATTTAAATTTTTTTTTGTTATTTTGTTTTAGCCCAAAAAACGGTATCTTTTAATTTATATTTTATATACCGTAAAATGTAGAAAATAAATTATTTCATCAAAGAAACCGTTACTAGTGTTCAGTCGTAAAACGGAATAAATTTTACATAAGAAGCATCAAAATAATTATATTGCAAATTGTAAAATTGTCATCTAAAACTTACTAACCAAATTATGCACAAGTATAAACGAAGCCGGCTTTAAAGAAGAGGTAAAAAAGCTCCAAAAAGGGGGATTTGGGCCCTGCGGCGAAATATTTTCACACTCTCGACTTCTCTCGTTTTTGCGCACGGCATGCCCTCAGGAGTCCTGTATGCCTTCTAATTTCTTGAAAAAAAGAGGAAGAAATAAATTCACACTCATTACATACACATGCATAAATGAACAAACCTATCGACTAGTAGAAAGTAGGACGCAAAAACTAGTTGAAAGTTCGTCAAATTCAATATTTAAAAAAAATAAAAAATGTGCACCTTGTACAAGAGTTGTGGTTTTCTAATATAGGATCAATAATAATATATAACGTTTTATTTAAAAAATACTGAATTGTATATTATTAGTTTGTTACAGTAAAACAAGTATTAAAGCAGGGCTCAGTACTATATCTTCAACCCATTTTTCTCACATTTAAATTTTACACGCTTCGCTGGCCATCCTAATTTTACAGCTATATATCTTTTTTACCATGGTTACGAAAACAAGTATACCAAGGTTTATATGACATGTTTGTTTTGTGCAGTAATTAATTAAAAGCGCTTAACAGTAATTCTAAGAGCGTAATTGGTACTTAATTGTCTTTGATACCATAGAATTGCTCTTATAACATTAAAGATAACATAAAGACGTGTCAATATTTATTAAAGGAATTAACATTGCTTATATGTGTTCTACAACTTTTCAAAAATTTAAAATTGTCGTATTAAAGACAGTGCAAAACAAAAGTTTATATTAAAACTAGCCGTTGCTTAAAAACCGATAAAACAGGAAAAAAATGTAGCTGTACGTTCAAAACGAGTTCAAAAAGGTTTTTTAGTATAGCATGTTCGGTTTGTCGTTTTTTGTTTCTTCTTGCAAAAGAAAAAGGTATCGAAAAAAAATTGTTTTTTTTTTAGTTTTTGAATAAAGCCGACATAATAGTAAGCAACAAAGAGGTAAACATAACTAACAGTAAAATTATGTTTAAAAAACGATCACACTGTCTTAAATTAATAATATTTAAATTTATATTAATTGCTGCAAGAAAATTTCAACTACAACACGTTTGGTTCAGAGGAAAAATTGAGACACTTTTTTCTAATTTGCAACTTAAATTTTAAGCATTTAAACAACTTTTCTAATAAATAAATACTTTATGAGCATTGAGAGCAACAATGAAGTCTAATCGGTATAGTAAACAATATCAATGTTTACTGCAACAAGAAACAATAAAGCGCAAAGAGTTATGTAAAGTATACTTTCTAGGAAGTTTAAACTGTTTTGCGTTTTTGCTCAAATATTTTAAACTATTTTTATAAAATTAGCTTCTCATATTTATTAAATAAGATGTCATAATGAAATTACATAGTAAATCACTGTAAAATTACATTTAGTCAAATTTTTATTTTTTTAAAAGTATTTTATTTTGAATTAAAAAATACGAAGCTTTTATAATATTATGCAAATCTTTTTTCTCTATCATCTGGTTCATGCTTTGCAGACTTATTCAACAAATTATTGTACGAGCACATGTATTTTTATATAAACGAAAATATAACGTTTTATAAAGCTAAAAAATTGCTGCACGTACTTTAAAACCGTTTGTTGTATTTTTTAAAAAGATAACTCAACTTTTGATAAATGAGACAGTCTTAAAAAGGTGTAAAAATCTTTACTTTAAAAAGCTTTTTTTTGTATTTTTAACGTTTTGTAAAAAAATTTTAGTGCTAAAACATATATTTGTACGCTTAAGCCTTTTAAAATTGTCTCTTAAAAGCTTAATCTTTACAATTAGTTTTTAAGCCTGATCAGCACATTGTTTTTAGGTTGTTTTACGTTTTGTAATATAGTAAAAAAGAAGCGTTTTATCATTGAATTTTTGCCACTTGTCTATGTAATCCTTGTTCTCTCTATCAGTAATTCAAGAAAACAAGGAATTGTTAGTGATAAGAATACAAGAAAAATAATTAATATCTGTCACATTGCAGCGTATAGTTATTATGTTGAATTTCCCGTACAGTTTATCATAATGTTGGCAAGAAGAGCTTTTAAGTTTGTAGAAAAAATCAACTTAAAAAGTTTACCGTCTAAACAACAGTAGCCGTAAGTTATGAGTAATATTTTTTATACATTAAAGTTTAGCAGAAAATTTTCCTGTAAATAATTCTTTTTTATTTTACAATGATTAGAAAATTTTACAAAACTTATGTTTATAGTTTGTTTAAGCTTTCAAAATTTTGAACATAACGTTATTCACTGTTCAATAAATTTACCATTTAATAACTTTGCTCTCGCACCGATATTTTCAATTTTTCTTTGACATAGCGCGACGAGACAATGTTTTAAAAAACAATTAAAGTTAGGGGCGGGATTTATCGGGTTTGATATATGAATTTATAAAAAAGTGCAAACTTTATGTAAACTTTGGGCAATTGTGTATACGACTATGTAGATCTATGCAGATCTTTGGCTTTTTAAGTTTATGTTTGAAAAAAGTACTTAAAAATTTTATGTAAGTGTATATTTTGCTACGACTTTCTGAATTAAAACCTTTTTTTTTGTTTTTTTATAAGAAAACCAAATATATTTATTTGCAACGATTGCCATACATTGTTAATTTTTTATGATATAAATATAAACAAACTTGTAATTTTGATGATTTATGTTAAATTTTAAATACACAAATTTTGATAATAATTTCTTAGACAATTTTATTACTTTAATCCTTACATTGTAATTACTAAAATGTTTCATTATATTAATTTAAGCTGTATTTACGTGAAAGAAATGTTTATATTAGTTGGCAGTGCTAAACGTTTCGACCCGTTTTTTATCTGATATGTCCCGAATTTGACCTCAAATATGTATGCGAAAAAATCAAGGGCAGACGGATACGTTAAAGATATGTAGGTCCTCGTCATGGTAAGAGCGGCTGGTTATCATTGACAAAGAGTTCTTTACGCGATTTTAGAATGTGTTTGCTCTTGAAAGGAAAAGGAACTTTCCATTATGAAATAGCACAGTTACGTGGTTTGCAAATGCAATGCACTAGATTTGCACATGCGAGATGAAATTTGAATTTTTACTAAAACGCATATTTTATGACTTTTGAGCTTGTTGGTTTTTGATAACTTATTAGTTTTTGATTTGTACATAATTTTTTATCTTCTTTTTGTCTTTTTGTCGTACAAAACATTCGTATAGTTTTGGTCGTTTTTGTTATTTAATGCACCAGTGAAATAAACAGTTAAGTGTATTTAAAGAAATACACAGACTAGTCGATTTTTAGTTTGTGTATTTGATTTCTAAACGGAAAAAAGTTTTTATAACCTTACATGTATTCATATAATTTTCACAAACTTTTTGTTGTATTAATTAAGTTATATTTCTTTTTAAAAGATATTTGAAAATTTTTGAGACATATTAGTTAACCTTTAGTTTTATCACACGTTCTGGAATTTACAATCGCTTGGGGTTTATGTTTTACATCCTAATTGGCGCGTGACTGTGCCGTATGACTAACGTTGTCTACATCCTATGACTAACACTGGCTACACCGTATGACTAAAATTTTATTTATTGTGCAAATGAACTAAATCTTTGATCGATGTAACAAATAAGAACAATTTTTTAAACTACTATGTAAACGAAAAGGAAGTAATTAATTATTTCCAATCTTTTACTACTTCAATACATGTAATCACAGCGGTTTAAAATGATTTTTAGCAGCAAAATGGTGAAATTTAAATGAATATTAATGCTTAGTGATGTATATAATAATAATTTTTTATTAACTTTTCCTATTATTTTCAAATTTTGTTTGTAAACTTTACAAATTAACAACAAAATAAGCGTTGAGCTCGGCGGAACTTACATTCATCTATATTTTTGATATGGATGAATGATACATTAAAGATAGCTTAAAAACAATCAAATTTATGTAAGGCTTGTTATATTTACAATTTTTAAAACAACTACCTTTTTATTGTATAGCCATTGTTATTGTTAAAACAGCCCTTTCTTGTCAATTTCGAATGGATTTAATGCGCATAGTTGTTTATCCGTTCGATTATTGCTATTGAACAACTGTAAATTTTTACCTTGTTTGGAACTTATTATAACAATATTATTAAGTTTATATGTCTATGAAATTGTTATCGTTATTATGCTTTATAACTGTGTCTTTACGTAAGAAATTTTTCAAAAGTTTAGTAATATTTATAAATTTTAGATCAGCTTTAACACAAAACAAAAATGAAGGAATCTCTTCGAAATTTTATTGCTTTTTGGATTTTTGGTTTATGCAATAACTTTGCATATGTGATTATGTTGAGTGCAGCAGAAGACATAATGTCCAAACAAGAAGGTCACAGTAAAACACCAATTTCGAACAGTACTTTAGATTCAAAAACTTGTATAGAAACTATTACAACTCGTGAATGCAAAACGGCTACATTAGGAGCTGTACTGCTGGCTGATGTTGTGCCTAGTTTGATTGCAAAGATGACACTACCATTCTTTATGCATCGGCTGCCTCATGGGTAAGAAAAGTTAAAATTTTTAAAATTAATCGTGGTCAGGCTGAACGTTTTATATTATTAATTAACATCAATATTAGTATAATACAGATTTTTTAATTTGCTTTTAAAAATAATCATTAAATTTTTTATTTTAGTGTGCGACATTTAATGGTTTGTGTTTTACAAGCGGCCAGCTATATTATAGTTGCTTCATCAAACAGTATAGCAATGAGTTTGTTTGGAGTAGTATGTGCAGCTTTGGGTTCAGGTATTGGCGAAAACGCGTACCTGTCTCTTACAGCTCATTACAGCGGGTATGTTTTTTCGTCGTTGTATTCGAAAAGTTGAGCTTCTTAACTGTAGTATACGTTTAGAAACGCAATTTCTGCATGGTCGTCTGGTACTGGTGGTGCTGGTATATTCGGTTCTTTAGCGTATGCTGGTCTTACCGAGCCGCACCTGCTTGGATTGTCGCCTAGGACGACTTTATTAGTTATGTTGATTATTCCAGTTTTGTTTTACATAACGTAAGTTTTATATTATCGTCAAGGCTTTTAATAAATATCAAAAAATATCGACCAAACCCTATAAATCGACCATTTTCGGTCCAAAATATCGTATCAAAATCGATTTTTAGGATATATTTTGATAAATATTGTTTTCGTTGCGGGACATTTTTTTTCGGAAATATCAATGTGGCTCGAAAAAAACTGTCTATTTGAATCGTAATAAAGTTAGTGTTATTGTAGTTTAATCAACTTATAAAATTCTTTTTAGCAACTACACGGTACTTGTACCATCGCCAACAATCTACCGTGCAAACATCTCACGCCCACAAACGTGGATTATACCTTCAGTTTCCAAGAAACATATAATTACTACGACTGATGAAAAAGATGCTATTGGTAGACATGCTTGGGCTTCAAGCGCTGAAAGTATTGCAGTAAAAGAGAACGATTTGCATCAATCAAATACTACGGCAACGTTGACTACACAACAAAGACTGAGACTTGTTTTGCCGTTACTTAAGTACATGATTCCAATTTCTGTCGTATATTTTGCAGAGTACTTGATTAATCAAGGTTTGGTAAGTTTTTTTTTATTTTGTTCTTGTATTATGTAATACAAACTACTTATCAAGTTTATCTTCTTTCTACAACTCCCTAACTAACTTTGACTTACCGTATCTTTTTCTGTTACTTTACCCGCACCTAACCAATTAAACATTTTAATTAATGTAAGATCATTTACGTTACTGACATAAAATTGCTACAGTATTATTTAAGTAAGCTTAAGCCTAAGCTTAAACCTTAAGCTGAAACATAAAAATAATTAAAAAAATTTTTTTTATTTTAAAATTGGGTAAACAAATATAAAATCTAAAATTTTAGACACAATTCTTGGTGTTCGACTGCGCTAATAGCTTTTCGTTTTCCCCACACAGCCAATATCGTTGGTACCAAGTGGTATATCAACTCGGTGTGTTTATATCGCGCTCTTCAATCAACTTTATTGAACTTCCTTTTTGGGGCTTATTGTTGTTGCCAGTCTTACAATTGGCAAATACAACTTTCTTCTTGTTTGAATCTATTTATTACTTTATCCCACATATTGCAATTGCATTCGGAGTGATTTTGTTTGAGGGATTCTTTGGAGGTGCTAGTTACGTCAACACGTTCCATCGGATTCACAAAGATGTAAGTTTTTTTTACTATAAGTATACCTTTATGATTAATTCATTAACCATAGAACACTTTAAATTTTTTTTCAGGCCGAACCTCGTGTTCGTGAATACAGTTTGGCCGTCGCGTCACTTGCCGATGCCGTTGGAATTGTTATTGCTGGCTTTACGACAATACCGGTTCATAATTTCGTTTGTAATTTGAACTCCTAATATTTTACTATTAAGAGTTACCATCTTGGCAACGTTTATCTAATAGACATTTCTTTGGGTTGACAGTATATAACTTATGATTATATTGCTACATTATTTTCATTTTCTATTAATGTTTAAAACTTCGTCTTCATTTTGCATTACTGTTATATTATACCCTGTAAATTTTTATATTATACCTTGTAAATCTTCAAGTTTTAGTCATTTTGTGTGCAATATTATTTTGGCTTTTCGTACAACGTGCGACAGTATTACAAAGCATTTCTAATGCCTAACTATATTTTTATCGTTTAATAAACTCATTTGATCTCATTGACAGTTGATTTTGAAGAAAAATAAAAATAATAAAAATCAAAATTTCACTAAAATTTGAAAATAATTTTTAAACTACTTCTTCATCATTATTTTTTGATTTTGTATGTATGATCGGCAGCTCTGAGTTTGGATAAAATGGCTGACATAAATGCTGTACGAAACTTTATTGCATTTTGGTATGATTTTTTATATATATAATAGTACTTGTAATACTATAATGCACACAGAAGCTTAGTTGTGTATATATTTGAAAGCTAAACTTATAATAATATTAACTTGCCAAAAATGTTTTTTAAAACTTTAGGATATTTGGACTGTGCAACAACTTTGCGTATGTAATTATGCTAAGCGCTGCTGATGACATTATGTCTCAACAAGAACATGAAAATGTTAAATCAAGTTCAAATAGCACGCTTGATTCTGTAAAATGTGTAGAAAAAATTACCAGCCATGAATGTACGACGGCAACGTTAGGAGCGGTATTGTTGGCGGATATTATTCCGTGTTTGGTTGCAAAGTTGGTCTTGCCATTCTTTATGCATCGTCTTCCTCATGGGTAATGTAGTTTATTTTATCGAGATTCAATTTGATTTATAATTTTTAGACTTGCTATTACATAAATTCTGTTATCTTAGAGCTCGACATTTGTTGGTATGTATTCTTCAAGCGCTGAGCTACATAATGGTGGCAACTTCCGGAAGTATTCCAATGAGTTTATTCGGCGTAGTGTTTGCTTCCCTTAGCTCCGGAATTGGTGAAAACGCGTATCTAGCCTTATCAGCACATTATAGCGGGTAAGTTATGTCTTGACTTCTAGTGTGGGGGGAGGGGGGAGGCTTCCGAGGATGGGGTTGAAAAAAATACCCTGTGTCTCCGGCTAAGAAAAAAACACAAAACAGACGACGACTGAAACACAAAATAAAATTTTTTTACTCTGTCATGTTTAGAAACTCAATATCTGCATGGTCGTCTGGTACTGGAGGTGCAGGTATATTTGGAGCGTTGGGGTATGCTCTACTTACAGAGCCTCACCTGCTCGAACTGACTCCAAGAACAACGTTATTAGTCATGCTGATTATTCCAATATTGTTTTACATAACGTGAGTTTGATAAATGCGTATTCTACGGTATAAATATATACATTTTTTAAATATTGTGTATATATTACTTTTCTTAACGTAATCAAATAAATATTTAAACTGCTTGCTATAAGCTAAAAACTAAAAAATTTTTCAGTAACTACACAATACTGGTGCAATCGCCTACTATTTATCGTGCTACTGTTTTTCGGCCAAACACTTGGATTGTCCCTGCAACGAACAAAAACACTGAAAACGATATAGAGGACGACAAAGAAACGTCAGAAATAAAGGCAGATGATATTTCTATTACAGGAACGTATGAAGAAGAATCGAATACACTCAAGTCAAACCCTACTGCTACAATAAGTATGCAAGAAAGATTATGGCTTTTGATACCTTTGCTTAAATATATGATCCCAATGGCTCTCGTTTACTATGCCGAGTATCTGATAAATCAAGGCCTGGTAAGTTAATAACTGTGATAGCAATACTTTTCTATCCTATCATACTCTATCCTCCATTTTTTCACAAATCAAGGACAGAGTATGATACGATAGATATAGTTAGTTATTGCAACCTGTTTAAAGCCGTGATGTTTTAGACTCAATTCATAGTGTTCGATTGTTCTCATGGCTTTTCGTTATCGCCACAAAGCCAGTATCGTTGGTACCAAGTGTTATACCAGTTGGGAGTATTCATTTCAAGATCTTCCGTTGACTTTATTGAGCTTCCAATGTGGGCATTACTTTTGTTACCTGTGTTACAATTCGCAAATACTGCATTTTTCTTCGTAGAGGCATTAATTTACTATATACCACATATTGCGGTGGCTCTTGCAGTAATATTGTATGAAGGGTTTATTGGTGGCGCTAGCTATGTAAACACTTTTCATCGCATACACAAAGATGTAAGTCTGTTTGTAAATGTAATAACAATACCATTTGTTAACAGTAATAATGAGAAATCAATTTCAAATATTTTGTTATTTTTCAGGCCTATGATAAATTTAAAAAATTAAATTTTGAAAGAAAGTAACATTAAACTAATTAAAACGGATGTTTTCAGGCTGAACCTCGAGTCCGTGAATACAGCTTGGCCGTTGCGTCCTTGGCCGATGCCGTTGGAATCGTCGCCGCCGGATTTACAACCATTCCTGTTCATAACTTTGTTTGTAGTTTAAATCACTAAAAATTGCTGTATCTCTTGAACAAAATTTTAATATTTGGTCGAGGTATTTTCCTAGGGGTGAGAAACGAGTCGGTCCTAAAAGTTAGGCCGAAAAACAATTTTATAAAAAATTTTTTTTAATTTTAAATTTTTTTAAAACGCGCCAGGCCAGGCCGGGCCTAAATTTTTGTGATCGGACCGAGCTTGTTTAATAACGCAAAAGAAAACAATTTTTTTCCACTGTGGGGTCTTCTTCAATGCGGGTCTTGTTCGACGCAAGGTCTTGTTCGATACTAACGCAAAAAGTTTTGAGACATTAAAGTTCACTCCAATTGATATTATCTACGTTTCGTTTTGTGAAACAAGCAGCTCTTTTTAAAATGTCTGTGGAAAAGGTGGAACGTTCTGAGTTTCCAAAAATTCTCAAAGAGCTTTTATTAAACCCAGACTACCTATTTGTGACCGCAGGACTAAAATTTCACTTGGACAACATCCTTGAACTTGAGCTAAGCTTCCATCTTTGGCGATTGAAAGACGGAGACAGAGTTGTTTACTGTTATGTAAAACGTAATGAGCACAAGTGAGTTTGTGTAAAAATATTTAAATTTAGTTTTTACAAAAATTTATAATTAAAAAACAATTCTAGATCTCTTATACATATGGAAAGTAATTGTTATGAGTATGGTTTTTGTCAAAAAATAGCTGATTCTTTTGGAGAAACCTTATTTGAATTTGTGAATAAAGCGGATTATGTTTTTGCCTTTGCAATTTTACAGCCTTTGTGTGGTTTGGTAAGTTGCTGTGGTAAAAAATACACATTTTTACTACGAGCTTATTAGAATAACACGAATTAAAAATATTTACAGCTAGAAGAAAAATTTTTGGAAATGGGACTGAAAAAATCTCATCCATTCCTGACTATGTCAGATGAAGACAACGTTTACTATATAAAAGAATCTAGTCGAAAAATGTTAGAAGAAAAGTTACTTGAAATACCTAAGGGCTATAAATGGAGCACATTGAAACCTGCGGATGCGGCTGAAATTTTATCTGACCAAGTTTACGGTAAAATCACTTCGCCAAAACCTTACGAGTAAGTAGACAAGGTTTGTGTAATGTATATAGATTTTTTATTGATAAAAGGTATAAATAACATAAAGGCTTAGAAAAAAAATATTATCTGTATATATAACAGAAAATATAACAAGTAAATTTGTAGGCGAACTTTGTCTCTTTTGCCTTCAGTAGCAGTGTATACTGAGGCAAATGAGTTAGCATCGTACGAGTTTTTGGACGTATCAGGAATGATAACGTCACAATATACAAGACCAATACATCGACATCAAGGAATTGGTTCTGCCGTCGAATGGAAACTTTGTCAAGAAGCTTGGAAGAAGTAAGCTAGTTAGTTTTAAAAGCTCAGGGAAATAATGTGTTTAAAGTAACCAAATATGCATAAAAATATCTTTACTACATGTATATAAAAATTATTAGTCAATTATTTGTGAAATATAATAAGTAAAAAACCTTTTACAGAACGAATCTAATACCATTCAAAGCCGTATCGAAGAACCGTAAACGGGTTATAAAATTGTCCGACAATTCTCCGTTATGGACACAACGTCACGACGAAAATGGCATCCCAACAACAGGAAAATTCTTTATGTACTGCAAGAAAGAAATGCCCAAAATTGAGTTTTACGAAAATTAATAAATTTGGTTACTACTTAAAATTAAAAACATTTGTTTTGTTAATAAAGGTACAAATTTTCAAAATTTTAAGCCCTCGAGCGATTTGTTGTACAGAAGTCGCGCTGTATAAAATAATTTTTTTTGTATTTAATTTTTTACAGTAAGGCTTTGTTTTCAAACTATACTCTATACAGTAACTAAACGTCCACGCGACATAGCATGCACACTTTACTTTTTAAAAACATAAGTATTGAAGATTGGGTTGCGTGCAGTTTAAATTAATTATTTTCGAACATGTGATTACTTCCATTGGCTACCTTGTTGGTACTTTCGTTATCATAAACTATTTTCAACGTAAAATATACTTATCTGTTTTACGATTTTTATGAATTGAAGGAAATTACGTTAATTAAAATAATTTTTTAAAATTTTTATGTTTTATTTTTAAAAGTTTTTATTATTTATAAGTTAGCACTAATGTTTAGTACCCATAATAAGAGAAAAACTATGAGCTAGTATTACTTAATTTAGTTTTGTTTCAAAATAATAAATGTGGTGCTGTGAAAAAGTACAACTAATTAGTTTTATGAGCCTTTTAGTTATTTATTAATTACAGAAAAATGCCGTTACGATCGTTGAATTTCCCATTCCTTAATCGTAATAACCAACAAAACAACAACAATCCAAACCAGTCTTGTTCGTCTAACGCGGTAAGTAAAATATTTAGAGGTAGGATGTGTTACAATAATTAATAACGTATGGTTAAGTACTAGAAAGATGGTAGGAAGCGCGGAGGGGGGGAGGGGGGGATAGGGGGAGGGGGTGATTTGTGTGAAATAAGGTTCTGGGTAAAAAAATGTACGGTTACATTATTAAGCTGCTTAGTCTTTCTTTCTTTTCACATTAAACGCTAATGAGATTTGCAGTAAATAAATTTGAGTGTGCCGTGTCTTAAAATGCGGTTGTTAACTCTATATTCTAAGCATTATATGGTTGAAAAAAGTACGCGTTTGATTCGCGTACAGTTATATATTTTTACAACCTTAGTTTAAGTAGCAATACGTTTATAAGAACAGTATGTTTAGATGGGTGGCACGGAAAGCAAAGGAAAATCAGGGAAAGTGGGTATTGACCAGATGGCTGGTGCTAATGACAAAAATCACAAACTTTACAATTTGGTCGATATGCATGGTGGAGGAGAAATGATACCATGGATGCGGTACGCCATGAACAGCGGAGATTTTTCCCTTATTGATGGTTACATGGAAACAAAAGTTAAAGTACGTTTTTTGGAATATATGTACTTGAGATGAAGTTATAAAAAGTGTTATGCTTACTTGTCTAATAACTATACATTTCTAGGATATGATGTACAACGGTGGTAAGGGAAAGCTAGAAAGTGTAGCAGAATTGGTGAAACGACGAAATAAAGAACGGAATGAAAGGCTTGGTGCATTTAGTCGCAAAAAAGGCAAAGGAAAAAGTGGACCAAATATATTGGACGATTTTAATCAAGAACAAAACCAAGGAGATCTTAAAAAAGGTACGAAGAAATTAAAATTTTAGTTATTCAAAAAATAATTTAAAACACACTTTTTGTAAGGCTCGAGCAGGGCTTGACCCCCTGTCGACACCAAAATTTTTTTTGCTTCAAATTGCTTCAAACCTTCACCAATGGGTATTAAGGTACTCATAAATCGTTTAAACAGAAAATTTTTTTTCAAAGATACAGTAGTCAGGTGTACTGTAACTTCACTACAATTTTTATATCTCTGGAACGAATAACGCTAGAACGATGCGGTTTTTACTATAATGTAGAGCATACAAAATAATGTTAATTTGTAGTTTACACCAAGTTTCTATTCTTCTTGGAAGTTATTTTAAAAAATGAAAATGTAGCAAAAGTTACAGTAATCCAATCATACCTCAAAACTGAAGCACCTATGTAGTTCTTTTTTATTAGAGATTCTAAAACTGCATTTTTTTGCGGTTCTAACGCACCTAAAAACGTTTCAAAAAAGTGTTGTTCTGGGGTGCAAAAGTGCATTTGAAGTTTGCACATTGCAATTTTTTTTTTCAAAAATTAAAAAAAAAATTTTTTGACGTTGCAAAAATGTAGAGCATAAAAAACAACGTTACTTTGTACATTACACCAAATTTCTATCTTGTCTACAAACATTGCATTTGAAGTTGGCACATTGAAAAACTTTTTTTTTAAAAAATTCAAAAAAATTATTTCGACTTTGCAAAAATGTAAGACATAAAAAATAACGTTACTTTGTACGTTACACCAAATTTCTATTTTGTCTACAAATATTTAAAAATTTTAGTTTTCATAAAAGTTACAGTAACTGGAAATATTTCAAAATAAAAGCACTTTGTTCGCTTATTTTTATTTGTTATTATTAAACTGAATTTTTGTGCGGTTCGAGTGCACATAAACACGATGCACAAAAGTGTCGAAATGGGGTGCAAAAGTGCATTTGAAGTTGGCACACTGCAAAAAATTTTTTTCAAAAACAATAAATTATTCCCAAAACCCTTGAAAACTATAATTTGCTAATTTTCTACATTTTTGCAAAATCGAAAAAATTTTTTTTAATTTTAAAAAAAAATTTTTCAATGTGCCAACTTCAAATGCAATGTTTGTAGACAAGATAGAAATTTGGTGTAATGTACAAAGTAACGTTGTTTTTTATGCTCTACATTTTTGCAACGTCAAAAAAATTTTTTTTTAATTTTTAAAAAAAAAATTGCAATGTGCAAACTTCAAATGCACTTTTGCACCCCAGAACAACACTTTTTTGAAACGTTTTTAGGTGCGTTAGAACCGCAAAAAAATGCAGTTTTAGAATCACCAATAAAAAAGAACTACATAGGTGCTTCAGTTTTGAGGTATGATTGGATTACTGTAACTTTTGCTACATTTTCATTTTTTAAAATAACTTCCAAGAAGAATAGAAACTTGGTGTAAACTACAAATTAACATTATTTTGTATGCTCTACATTATAGTAAAAACCGCATCGTTCTAGCGTTATTCGTTCCAGAGATATAAAAATTGTAGTGAAGTTACAGTACACCTGACTACTGTATCTTTGAAAAAAAATTTTCTGTTTAAACGATTTATGAGTACCTTAATACCCATTGGTGAAGGTTTGAAGCAATTTGAAGCAAAAAAAATTTTGGTGTCGACAGGGGTGCTCGACCCTTACAAAAAGGGTGTTTTAAGGCATCGTTAAGTATTTATACCATTCGTTTTTTAGCTTTGAAGCTGTTGGATGGTGGTAAAGGCGGAAAAGGAGATGCTAAATACCGTGAAGTCGTCTGGAAACTTGAAGAAAGAGGTAAAAGTCAATTCAACACCCTTCCATAGTTCCCTCAAATTAAAAATTTACTAAATTAGTGTGGTCTGCCTGTAAGATTGGTACAGGTGGTTCCGTGTTAATAAGATTCAAAAAAAGTCATCTTTCCGATCTTGAGGGAATCATACATAAAATTATTATTTTTGTTAAAACGTTTTAGGTTCGATGGGAGAGAATCTAGTTGGCTGTTGTTTAATGCAAGGCAGTATAATACATACAAAGCTAGCTGTTTATATGTTAGAGCACTACCCAAAACTGGTAAACGATGTTTTTATATCTGAGGATTACTATGGACTTTCACCATTACATCAAGCCATCGTGAATGAAGACCCGTGGATGATGTGTTTTTTGTTGAGAAAAGGTGCTGATATCAATCAGAGATGCTATGGTGCACTGTTTTGTCCTGAGGACCAGATTAGCAGTCGGACAGACTCGTTAGAGCATGAATATGTTGAGATCAATGTATCTAACAGTAACTATGTTGGGTATGTAGTTTTATTTAATTGTGAAGTGAAGCTACTCTTATGAAAGTTAAATTATCAAAATTTTTTAAGCAAAATGTACTTTGGAGAGTACCCACTAGCGTTTGCGGCCAGCACCGGGCAGCAAGATTGTTACCGAATTTTGAGAGCATGTAAAGCCGATCCAAATTCACAAGATACAAATGGAAACACCGTGTTACACATGACGGTTATTCACGAGAATCTGGTAAGATACACAAAGCATTATTAAAAATTTATGCAGCAATTAATAAAAACAAAGGCGCTCATGCAAAATCGTTCCCACAAAATCGAAGAATCGTTCCCCACTCATAAAGTCATAATCGTTCCCCACGGTGAGAATACATAAAACTATGCAAATTTTTGCTTCACATATTTTTTCATTTTCATTATGGCTTTTCATTCTTTCTTTCTATTTGGTCTTGGATGGTCGAAAAATGGAACACGGTGTAAGAGGAGCAAACATATACCACTGCTATACAGATCATGATAGACAACTCTCTTCTCCCACCGGCTTATTCGTGCCAGCAAAGTTCGTCGATTATGAAGTTGTCAAAAAAGTCTAAACTGGCCGATAAATACATGGTAAGTTAGTTGTTTATATTTATCATCTGTTGTTTTAGTGGAGATGTCGACACGGAAGTACTGGTTGCTGAACCCGCTCTACTCGTCATGGTACCTACTTTTCGAACTCTAACCTTTCGGTCTCGACACAGATGGCGTACAATGGGCTCAAGGAGCTTCACTACCGTTCCCCAATGCTTTACTACCGTTCCCCAACGCTTTACTACCGTTCCCCAACGCTTTACTATCATTCCCCAACGCTTTACTATTGTTCCTTAACCCTTTACTATGTATCTCTCCCCAACGCACCACCGCTCAAATTTTATTTCTTAATTGAAGATGTTAAAATATAAAAATAAATAATTGGGGGAACGGTTATGCACCGTTGGGAACTATAATGCACTGGGTAACGATTCTTCATTGGCCCCAAAACAAAGCTTAAATAATTTTTATTCAACAGGATATGTTTCGATTGGCGCACACCACCGGCGCCAAACTTCAAGTTCTAAACAAACAAAAATTAACACCATTGACGCTGGCAGCGAAGTTAGCTAAAAAACGAGTATGTACTAAGTTAGACTGACAATTAATAATTGTTTCAATTAAAGATAGGATCAATAGTGGAACAGAATACTTTAGCTAGGATAGGGAGTAGAATCATCTTTGCCAAACTATACAGTATCTAACTTTTTCAGATGTTCGAACAGATTTTACAACTAGAAAGTAGTGTGGTGTGGAACTACGGGGACGCAGCAAGTACAGCGTTTCCTTTAGCTAAAATTGACACAATAAATCAAGAAACAGGCGAACTAAACGAAGATTCCGCGTTGTCTTTAATTGTATATGGTGTAAGTGTGACATTTTTAGTTTTTACAAGTTCCGTGCTCTTTTGGCAGTATAAGTATATACGTGACATTCATAGGAAAATGTACAAAAAATATTATTACAATACAAAAAAAATTGTTTTAGGATTCCAAAGAACATCTTGACCTTCTAGACGGTCTTCTGGAAGACGTCCTAGAATCAAAATGGAAAGCGTTTGGCAGAAGACGATGGATTGAGTCTCTCATAGCATTTACAATATACTATATATTTTACTTCATTGCTTTTATGAGTCGTCCATTCGATGACAATCGTGACCTTTCACCCGACAACACCACATTACCTGCAGTGGTAGATGAAACTGGACTTTTAGTACGAATAACCAACAAGTTTGCCAACTTTTTCAGTCAATGGGCCGACAACACGTGGATGTCCAAGGATAGTTGCCATTTATGGCAATATCGCGCATACGGTATTGAAGGTTATGTAAGTGATCAGAAGGAAAAAATCTCTTCCGCGTTCAGAAATCATTTTAATTTTAGCTAATGTGATTTGATTAAAAATTAACTTGCATTTTAAAATATAAATTTCAGGTGCGTATGGTATGTGAATTTATGGTCGCTATTATGGTACTGGCACAGTTATTTTTGGAAATACGGGACGTGCGAAATATAGGCCGTAAAAGATGGTGGCAAGTATTGGTATGTAACATTATCACCACACTATATAAGCAACTATTTATTTCGATTAAAACAGTATAGTACAACAGATGTTTTTCAGAAATCTTTTCCAGCCAAGATTTTGTACAAAATATCTCTACTGTTTACTTTATTTGTTATCCCGCTTCGGTTTATGTGTGGCATCGATCCGAACTTTTTGGTTCTCGATAATTCATTTTCATTGTTAGCAGTCCTTATGACTACAGTACATTTTCTGTTCTATTGTCGTGCAGTAAAATTTGTTGGACCTTTTGTCTTGATGGTGTACACCATCATCACAAGAGACATGATCCGATTTTTCTTAATCTACTTTATCTTTCTACTCGGATTTTCTCAAGGATTTTATGTCATCTTCCTGGCTTGCGAAAGAGAAACTGATGTTTTGTATGGACGTATGTTTCTAACTAATTATAAACTGTTTTAAAAACGGAAAGGTTACTGTGTAAAAACAAGTAGTTGATAAGCTAAGTTAAGTTTTTGTCATTTTTCAGCGACTACTGCCAAAAACCGCACAAACATTCTTGACCATCCGGCTGAAAGTATGCTACGTTTATTCATTACGACTATTGGCGAATTTACTGTGTTTTACAGAGAGCTCAACAATTGTGCGGCTAAAGAAATGGCAGTGCTTGGAAAAGTTTTATTCCTTATTTTCGAAATGTTTGTAAGTCTTATGCAGTTTAACCTACTAATTGCTATGATGACAAGAACGTACGATTTAATTTACCGTACCCAAAAAGAATGGAAACGCCAATGGGCTCAGGTTATTCTAATGTTAGAGTTGTCACTGCAACCAGCGGACCGATTGATGGCGCTACTCAAATATTCCAGACCGATTGGAACTGATAAACGTCGAAGAGCTTTTGTTGTCAATCGTAAGGTCAGTAGGTTAAAGAATTCCGAGTGATGGCGTTATAACACACGAATTATCACAGAAAAACTATTGATTAAATGACCAAAACGTTTATCTTTTTTTAGTTCAACGCTATGAATGAAACAGAACGAATTTTAAAAGAAGCAATGGAAAACGAAAAACGCCAAGAAAAGAAGCAACTTCTGAAACGACGCCTTAAGGGATTTACAAAAGAAAAAGGAGAACGAAGTTCAAGCTCTGCAGGTCATTTCAATCTACATCAACTGACAACATTATTGGCTCCTACACCAATGCCTGGACATTCCAGACACGAAGTATAAAAATCATCTACTTTTATGTGTAAAACACTTCAAAACCCATGCTTCATTCTAAATAAATAACAATTTAATTAAAAAATCAACATTTTAGATTAAACCTAATCTATCCAGATAAAGTATTACAATAAATTCTACGTTGCAGACATAGGTTCATCATCTGATCGTGCAATTGGTCGTGGGTGCGGAGTAACACCACCTAACGAGAAAAGCTTATCTTGTACATAATCGGCAATCGCCTTCCGCCGAAAAAGTTCATCCTTATGTTTATGTTCTTCTCTTATTGTTGTTGTGTCAATCGGTTCTCCAACAGTAACAGTTACCTTCTGAAAACAGCGTCTTTTATAAGTAGTAACAGAAGATCATTACGCAAAAATTAGCTAGCTTAGTTAAAAATAATATCAAAAACACATTTAAAACGTCAATCAGTAATAAGACTTACATTACCATACTTAGGATAATAAGGTCGACTGGTCGGCCAAACATTTGACATTCCATCTACCCACATAGGCAACAAAATGGGAGCTACTTTGGGTTCTTCGATCATACGCCCTATGCCCCATTTAATCCTAATAGGTGTTTGAGTTACTCTACCTTCAGGAAAAACATGAATCCAAGCGTTGTTATTCATTTGATCAATGCATTCATCAACACCAGCTTGAAAAACCCCAGCTCCACGTACGCAAGGCACACATCGTCCTAAAGAGAACATACTACAGTAATATAAAATGCTCTGGGTAAGATCTTACGTTGTATGCCATTGCTTAGTGAAACAAATGTTATGAGCTGCTAAAATATATCTCCATCTGTCAATATGCTTGAAGAACTCAGAAGGAGTTAATGCAGCTGAAATAAAAAAAACTATAAAACAACCGTAAATATTTTTAAAAAGCTATGAATACATAGCTAGCTAGAACTGTTAAGCCATCAAAACTATTATATATACGTTTTTTTATGTTAGTTAAACCGACTTACTCCACAGCAAAGGATCATCAATATTGCAACGATGGTTTGCGACGGTTATTAATGGCCTACTGGTATCTGATAACGCATCAAGAAACAATTTTCTGTTCTTGTATTCGATTTTGTTTAACACTAAATAAAAAACATATTTTTTAAAAATTGGACTTACTAGGAAACATAATTTTTGATGTAAAATAGACTAAACACATCGTTGCTCGAGATTTCCATTTGTATAAAGTCGTCTGATTCTTCGGAAAAGGCCAGTCAAACTTAAAAATGTCCATTGCTTTGTTTTCAGGCATGTTGAGGGACAAAGAACATAAAAATATTTTAAAGATGTAGATTAATATAGTCTTTTATAAAACTAAACATATATCACCTACAAAAAGCCCTCATTAATAAATGAGTTTTATAAAACACTTTTATGTAGAAAATATTATTTATTTATCCTTGAAAAGCTGCGCCCGATGCTCAGCCAGGAAAGGCACCATGCAGCTACGTTTTATACTAAGGAAAAAAAATATTTTTTTTGCGAAGTGTGTTTTTCTTCGTACCCTCACAAGACACGCACACTTCTCAATTTTTATGCTGTAATATAATTTTTGGTGGTTCAAAATAAAAAATTTGTTGATTAAAAATTTATTTTTTATTTTTCTTATGATGTACGTTGTTACCAATGCATTAATATTGTACCGAATTGTTAAACACTTCTGTTGTATTTTCTTGATGTGATATATATTTCTTGATGTGATATATACGTAGCGCGTTCGATACTACAATATTATGTTATGTGTAAACTTTGTTTTGTGGCAAGTTTTTGTTTCGAATCGAATAACTAAGATTTTTAAGCAGTTTTCAGTTTGCAGCTGTTAGAAAACGGGGTCAGTCAAAAAGAAAAATGAAAAAAGGGATGAGACTTATAATTTTCACTTGCTCTCGTTGAGTTTGATAAATTTAGTTTCGCTAGAGAACCTTATTTGACATGAATAAATAATAGTTTTTTTGAAGTTTTTTGTTTTTTACAAATTATTGTTTTTATATTGGTTTTTATCCAATTTTGCGAAAGCAATGTCTTTTTGTAATTTATTGAAACATTTTTTTTCAGTTTTGATTGATTTTCGTAATTTTTATATTTTATTATTTTTTTAGACTGATTCAACATGACTACTGACGCTGGAGAAGTACACAATGTGAAAAGACTTGACGTTCCTTTTCCAGACGAACCTGCCGCTGTAAAGATCTTGCAGCCTGTAGAAGAAGATCACAGTTTCTTATTGAATGAATTGTTTCTGACGAAGATATTGGCCAATCCTAAATATGCTGATAAAAAGGTATGCAATTTGGGTTTTTTCTGTTTTTAGGTTAATAGTACGGAGCCTATCGTTTCGAAATTATGTCCGAATATATAAATCTGCTTTTTATAGAGTCACATCATTGCAAATTTTTTACTGTGTTTGCAAGGTAATCGAATTTTTACAGGTATGTGTGGTTGGAGTTGCTGGGAAGTTCAGGAAAGGAAAATCATTCCTACTCAATTTCTTTCTGCGTTACTTAAAGTTTTTGAGTCAAGGCGGGAATGATGATGAAGACTGGTTGGAGACTGAATCGACATTGGGAGGTTTTTCATGGAGGGGTGGAGCTGAACGTGATACTGACGGAATTCTGTGGTGGTCGGAGCCATTTTTACTTAAGGTAGGCTGCCGTTTTTTATTTGGGAAGTGTTTTTATTGGTAAAGCTATAAATTAGTGTTTTATTAACACGTATAAAAATAATTTATTTAAATGTAAGATTGACTTTATTTGTTTTAAATATAAAGTTTTTAGGATCAAAGTGGCGAAGAAATTGTCGTATTACTGATGGACACCCAAGGCGCATTTGATTCTCAAAGTACAGTTAAAGATTGTGCTACTGTTTTTGCTTTATCTACGATGATATCATCAATTCAGGCAAGTTTTATATAAATTTTTATAGATCATTATTATATACATTTTTATTTTTAATATTCTTTTTTGACGGTTTTCAGTTAACACAACTTTCTGTTTTTAGATCTACAACATTCAGAACAATATTCACGAGGACGATTTACAACATTTACAATTGTTTACAGAGTACGGACGATTGGCTTTGGAAGAAAATGAAAACAAATCAAAGCCCTTTCAAGTATGTAGCTCTTTTAAAAAACACAACTTTAAGTTAATTGTGAACCTTTTGTTAAAAATGCAAATATTTCAAAAATTGCAATATTTATTTAAAAATTTGACTTTTTTAGTCTTTGGTGTTTCTGGTACGAGACTGGCCTTCTCCCTACGATATGGAATACGGATTTCAAGGTGGAATCCGACTACTTGATACCAGGTTGCAAGTAAATGATAGACAGCACACTGAACTTCAACAGATCAGAAAACACATCAAGGAGTCTTTCGACGAAATCAAATGCTTCTTGATGCCGCACCCTGGATTAGAAGTGGCTAACAGCCCACCCGGATGGAAGGGAGACATAACTGTACGTTTGAGCGCTTTCAGCTTATATTTTTTTTCGCTAGGGTGAGGGGGGAGGTTAATGTTGTTTGATTAACTTTGTAAAAGTAAATAACAAGGTTTTGATTCGATGCAAATTTGAACGATTTTAGGTAATCAACAATGACTTCAAAACCTATCTTCGTCAGTTCATTCCCAGAATTTTGGATCCAAAAACTTTGATTCCTAAGTCGATCGCAGGGCAACCGATAACATGCCGCGAATTAATGGTGTATCTGAAGGCATACATTGAAATATTTGCTGGTGAAGATATGCCTGAACCTAAAACTGTTCTTTCGGCAACTGCTGAAGCCAATAATCTTGCCGCTACGTCATCCGCTAAAGCTTTGTATGTGAAGAAAATGGAAGAAGTTTGTGGCGGAGATTCACCGTATATCTCAAGCGCGGAATTGGAGGATGAACACCTGAGGTGCCGCAACGAAGCGATCCGATTCTTCAAGAATGCTAAGAAGATGGGTGGCTCTGAACTGGCTTTACAATTTTTGGAGAAACTTGAACAAGACATTGCGGTATGTTTTTTAGTAAATTATTATTTCCGTATAAATTTTTAAATGTTGAATTTTGAGATACTTGAATATCAGTTTGTACTTTTGTACATATTTTTGACATTCAAAAAAATTTCATTAATTATTATTTTTTTTAGGAATCGTTCGAATCTTTCGTAAAACAAAACCAATCAAAGAATCTGTTCAAGTCTATGCGTACACCGGCTGTTTTGGTCACATTCATGATCGTTAACTACTTTTGTCAAGAAATCCTTCAACTTATCGGCTTGGAAGGTCTGGCTTCAATATTTTCGTTGATGTTGACGTTGGTTATCGTGGCTTTGGGTACCTGGGTTTACTCACGCTATTCTGGAAACATCCGAGACATTGCTGGAGGCATCGATCAATCAGTAACATGGGTATGGGAAAACCTGCTCTCTCAACATGTTGGCACAGCCGTGGGCGTCGCTGGACAAATCCATCAACTAGCTAACAACACGTCGACGACTGTTTCACATAAATCCCGTTGAATCTACATGATCGAACATCATAAACACTTGACAAATAATTTTTTGAATAATTGTATATCTTTTACTAACTTCGTTGTAATTTTGTAGCCTTTTTTTAAGTGAAATTGATGTATTACAAAAGATGCTACTTATTAAGTAGTGCTCTACTGGTCTTATCTTACACACCTCTTTGTTTTAAATATTGATTGTATTGTGTATCAGGCAGTGCTCATATTGCACTATCTATATGCTTATACAGTCTAGATACGTAAAACACGCTTTGGACAGTATAACCAAAATATTGAAATCCGTTTAAATGTCTGCTTCCCAATTCTTGTAATTGATAAGTATTTTTTGTAATTTTAGGGGTTTTTATGTTAAATAAATATAATAAGCAGAATTGTTACTAAAGAACAACCGGATTTTAATTTTGAAATGAAAATTCTAAAAATTTACTTGATTTATAACAATGTTCTGGCGAAGGCCTTTTCCTATTTTTATAAGCTATTTATTTTAAAAGTCGATATTTGAGCTTCGCTTTAATATTTAACGAAGTGTCACATTATTTTTATTTCTTTTCCAGAATTTTTAGATCAACAAGGATATTTAGAATTATTTCAGTAATGTTACCGTCATTGTCTTCTAAATTCTTGTTGTCATGCACACTACAGGAATCCAGCACTAGGATGTTGTCATTGACGCCTGCTTTGGAACGAAAGAGAACATCTGGAAAATACAGGGTAATTTTTATGTTTTTTTCTTCATTTTAGAGTTGATATGACTTATGAGAATACATTTTATACTTCAGAAATCTGGGTTAAGTTTTGGCTTTTGCAATCGAAAAAGGTGGGGACTTTAGTTACATTGTTTATTTTATCTTAAACATTTCAATTTTTGATATAATAGTTTAGTCGACTATTAACCGATCACAAATGTTAACGTATGAGATGGCTCAACGACCGTATCACATAGGTATTCGAAAGTCGTGGTTGACTTGGCACACAGCAAATTTGGATGAGTTTAGATTGAAGCAAGGTGTTGTTGTAGCGCAGGACGAAGTGATTCGTCGGTTCATTCGCGGCATTCTGTACGATCATAGAGTTATAGATGGTTCTGAAGTGAGTTATACTAATGTGAAGATTTTTAAATGTTTTTGATATATTTATTACGTTTTTTACAAAGTTAGAACATCGGTCAGTTTCTATTATAAAATTCAATTAACAAATAATCTTTGATGCCAAAATTTTGGATTGCAGTATTGTTTTAAACATAGAACGTTACATTACATTTTGCATGTTGTTGGTATTCATGAATTTGTATTCATATCCTTAGCTATGTATGAATACAAAGGCATGAAAACCAACGTAAGCTTATTATTTATTACGTTTATAGGTATTAGCTGAGGCGAAATAATAATAGAAAAATAAGAGGGTAGAATTATAAAAAATTTAAATTTTTTGATACAAGTTCTCTTCATCATTTTTAGTAAAACATTGTGCATCTTGAAGTCGATTTAGACTAAAAATTCAAAGTTAGGAAACGAAAAATGATTGGGCCAAACTGCAGCGCATCTGCCCTTTAAGCGGGGATGAGTTGTTGCTGCGAAGGAACCTGGGTGGTCCTTATCAAAAGTTGATCAAAATTCAGTGACATTTTACAAAAAACAGAATTTTTTTTTACTGGGAATGCAGTAATTTATGTATGATTAAGCAATGAGACACTATATGATTTTTTACAGTAATATATTTTTGTACATTATAATTAGGGCCGTGACTAATTAAGAGTTGTTTAAAATTTATCAAGGTGGATTTAAGAATTTGAAATATATCTAACTGTGATCATTATTTCCAGATAGTAATTAAAAGACGTGGAAACGCCGTCTTTGTGTCTGGATTTCTAAAATACGGCCGGCGTCTTGACATCAGAAGAATTTACTGGTTATGGGGATTTGTTGAAGAGTTTTTGTCACAAGTTTTGAAGCAACCAGTGAAGCTCGAGTTCCAGTTTGTAGAAGACGAAAAAGAATTGGCTTTCAATTACATTTGATTTTTTTACTTTATAGGAGAGTGAATAAATTGTTTATTGTTTTACATACATACTTGAATTTGTAGCGCAGTCGTTTTGACGAAAATTCAATACATTTAATTTATTTTAAGTTTTAAAAATGGTTTAGACGTGTCGTTTATATAAGTTAATATTAAAGTTTGTGAAAGCTAACTTAATTATTATTACCAGAGATCAATTCTTCTTATTTGTACATACATTATATCTTTTTAAGAAAGCTTTTGTCTATTTTTTTGCGTGTCTTGTAAAAGGCTTTTTTTGATAAACAACGCGGTACTAGATAATGTTTACTTTAGCGAGAACAGTTGATCACTCAGACATTGAAGCAGGCTCTTGTTTATATATTATTATATTTACCTTGTAGTGTTTGTGATTATTTTTTCAATATCATAATATTGATGTTCTGTAACTTTATTATTTAGTTTGTTTTAGCAATGTATGATGATGAATATACGAAAGATGAAGAAGACCCTTATGTGTTGGATATAAGGGAGAAAAGTCAAAGGGCTGGAGACCAGTTCAACATTGTAGATGAACCAGAGCATAGTACTTTACTTGCGTACAAGAAAATTGGAGAAATTAGTTATGCGACATCTAAGAATAACAAAATCAACTTTGAACGTTCGTTTCAGTTGTTGTTTGATTATATATATATATATATATCTGCGTATATACAAAAAGCAATGTGCAAGAAATAATCAAATTTTTAAAAGGTTTTTCAATTAATTTTTAGACTTGCTTTAGATAGAAAACGCGGCATAATGAAAAAATCTCGGTTTACTGAAGAAGAACTGGACAACAAAGATGACGAGATAATAGCGGGCCAACTTTATCAGGATATGAAACGAATTGATGACAGCCAAGTGACAATCGAAAACATACAAGGGGACATTGAGTTAATCGAGTAGGTTATTAACAGCTATCGTTGTTGGTACATTCTTTGATCAAAGGTTGTATGAAGCTCAATGTGCTTTTTGATTATTTTTGAATTTTCGTGAATTTTAGAAAAACATTAATTTCAGAGAATTCGAAGATATGGACTTGGACCCAAAACTCTTAGCTAACGTCAAAAAACGATACGTGACTCGACCTTCGACTATTCAACGTTACGCATATCCTTTGATTCGTGACACCGATCGAAATCTGATTTGCAGAGCACCGACCGGAAGTGGGAAAACGGCCGCATTTTTAATACCGTTAATTCAATGCATAGTAAAAAGCAAAGAAAAAAATAAGCACAAAGATGTCAATTATACTCTACCTTATGCGATCATAATTTCTCATACTAGAGAATTGGCTTTGCAGTTGGCTAAAGATGCATCTATTTTCTGCCAAGGAACATCAGTCGGTGTGACGTTTTCTATTGGTGAGGTGGCTGACGATTATAGGGACAGGGGAAAAAACGGTGTGGACATTCTCATTGGAACGCCTGGAAGATTAGAAGCAATGTTTTTCCAGAATGAAACGGTAAGGGTTTTGCAATACAGGAAATAGAAAGAGACTATCGCAACATTTACGGCGTTCTTAATTTTAGGGGAAATACTCATTAAGAAAAGCAAAGTTTTTTGTTATTGACGAAGCAGATCGTCTGACATCAGAATATACATTCAGAGCAATATGTGGACGCCTTCGGCGCGAAATGTTGAAGGCCACGAACGGAAAGTCAAGAATAATGATGTTTAGTGCAACGTCAGATAAAGATAGAGACGATGAATTAGCTGCTAATGCTGTGCTTCTTAATATTGGTGATGAACAGTTGCCCGTATTAAGTGTAGTTCAAAAGTTTGTTGAAGTGGTAAGCTTTCTTAATTTTTTGAAACTTATTGTTTACAGTGTTTTTTTACTTAATATTTTTTAGGGGTTTTATAAATGTGTTACAAATATCTTGTATTTTAGCGCAGGGCCAGCATGTATTATACCAAAAGGGAGTTTACAGGCTCGACAAAGCCGACTCTGTATCATCCACGAGATGTGCTTCATGTCATTTTACAATCACGTAGGAAACTGGTCGATGGAAAATACAGGCTAGACAAGACATTGCTTTTTGTTAGCAAAAGAAGGCAGGCGGACGCACTGGCGATTGATTTAATGAAGGCTGGTTACCAGGCAATATCGACTAACGGTGCTATTCCTATGAATGTACGGAACAAAACGGTAAAGTTTTTATTTTGTTTGTTGAAGCTATGCTTTGTTCGCATTTGAACCTGATCATAACCCAATTTATTTTGGTAATTTTAGCTCGAGCAGTTCAAACGTGGAGAAATCGACATTATTGTGTGTACAAACGTATTGGCTAGAGGGGTAAACATTCCAAATGTTTCACTTGTTGTCAATTACAATCTTCCACAGGCTGGACTTGTATACCCTACTGAGTACATTCACCGACTGGGTCGAACTGGACGAATGGGTAATCCTGGGGCGGCTATTTCGTTTTTCGACCGTGAAAAAGACAGGGATTTTGCTACATTTTTGGTAAAACATTTGGAAAAATGTGGGGAACCAATACCAAAGTTTATTCAAGATTTTTTGAATGATGAGCTGGATACTTTCCAAACGGAATGGTTAAAGAATTGTCGTCGAGAAGCAATAAAAAACGACCCTGATTACATTGTACCACATCATTTTGTAGAGGATGCTGAAAATATTACTTTTATTTAAAATACGTTATATTACCTTCCGTTTTGTATCAAACTTTACTTATTTCTTAGCTATGGGTAGTTGTTATTATATTTTTTATATTTTATTATTAGTGTTATTTTAACCATATGAAATAATTAATAACTGTTATTACCGTGCTGTAATTAAAATGTTTACCTTTTTTTATTATTAAATATTTTTAAACAAGAAGAATTTGTATTATATGCATTGGCCACATTTGAAATACAACGTTTGTTTTAATTTAACGCCGTATAACATTTCGACGCAAAGTGCGTCCGAAGAAGATTTCGCCAAAAAGCTCTTTTCTGTTTATTAAAGCTTTATTATTTTGCAGAAGCAGCAGTTTAATTTCTGTAGTTGTATTGCCTAACTGCTGATATGGAATTGGCTAAAAGATGTGGTTTGTTAAATTTGATTTGTTCAGTTGTACGTTTATTTTAATTTTTTTATATGGATACGTTGATTTACATGGATGACAAACATATTTTTTAGAATAATATTTCTTATGGTTGTGTACAAATCAGTTTTTTAAAGACTTATTGAATTGACTTTTTTAAAAATGAAATTTTTAGATAGTGTTTACATAGCAGTAATAAAGTGGAAATTCAAAAGGAGTTTGCGGCATTTTGTCATGACAGTGGAGAAACCGTTTGAAGAAGCGGGTCTTGCATCAACACGAAATGGCAGACGGATGTTTGATTTTTTGTTCTGGTAAACATATTCACATTTGGGCCACGTTGACACTACAAGGAACAAACTTCGAAGCACTATGTATCGATATGAAAAAGGTAAAATAGTTTTCCAGTGTTTTGTAAATTTAGGTTCGTTCGTACTATGAGTTATTACAATGTTGTTTGTTTTTTGATGTATGTTTTGATAAAATTAACGCTTAGCTTTATAATTTGCGTCACAAAAAATTCAGGCATGTCTTGACTGTCGTATCTATTAGTCTTTTTATTTTTATAAACGTTACACTTTGTGTTATAATTTGAAATATTACGGCTTCTAAAGTTTTGTTCCTTACTAGAACATACTATCTGTATTGGTGTTTCTAATGAATCGTAAAGAAGTCTTTGTACTTGTTGCTGGTTTTACCTTCCTATGGGCAATATTTTCATCAGGTCCTACTTTATTGTTAATAAATATTTTGCGACAGGAAAATTCGTTGTGTGTTAACATGACGTTGTTAGAAAGGTAGTTTGAACAAAATCAGTAATAAGCTTGGAAGATAAAAAATTTCTTCCTTCCAAACATCTTAAGAAGATTCTTGTTGACATATTACGGTTTTTTCAGATTAACTCATTACAACAGGTGTTTCAAGGACTGTAGGCAAAGCGCTTGCCACTATACGAACAAAATAAAGCCTCCTGTACCAATAATTTTCGAGTATTTTGATATGAGTTGGTACCTCAATCTTACGTTGACCTACTTTCCATTTCTGAATGAAACTACTGATGTCCTTACCTTCACGACAAATAGTACTGTAGAACCTATTAATGTAACAAAAAAACATATTGTGGAAGGCAGTTTTAATGTACCATCTAATTTTGTCGTTGCGATTAGTATGACGACGACAGCAGGAAATAAAGCTAATGAAAATGTTAATTTAAGTTACGTTTTGGATCAAGGTGATTTTATGATAAACACTGTAGCTTCATCCGTCGACAGCGTTGGTAGTTCTTCAACTATTGCTGCAACGTTAATCATTGAGTTTTTTTGTTATTTTTTGATTTTTTTATAATAAATTAATTTTTATGACCATATTGTATTTTGAATTTTTTGGTCAATTACCATTTACTTTAACCGTTATTCTTACTCTGGTAATTCGATATTTAAATTTTTATTGTTACTGTCTGGTGATAAAACAAGTATTTTAATAATTGCATTTACAAAGCATTATTTTAATAATTGGTTATTTAACTGTTTATGAACTGTTAATACTTTATTTACATTTCTTGTTGAGAGCTCATGCGTTTTTGTAAATTTAATGGAATCGTAGCCGAGCTTGCCGGTATTGCTGAGATGGAGCGGCTTCTGGTGCTGGAGCGGCTTCTGGTGCTGGAGCGGCTTCTGGTGCTGGAGCGGCTTCTGGTGCTGGAGCGCCTTCTGGTGCTGGAGCGGTTTCTGGTGCTGGAGCGGCTTCGGGAACTTCTTCCTAAAAAATATGTTCTTTTAGTTGTTTTTAGTGCAGTTTGTTCAAACTTTTTTTACACATTTTTGGGTAATATAAAAAAGTCGTTTTTTTTGTCGATTTTTAGCCATATTTTAATAATCAAACGGTAGAATAACGTACACTGCCGGCAGCGAAGATAGCCTCGTTAACGGCTCCCTCAAATTTCTTAGGGTGGCCCTGTGGAATGTTCACGTATGGCGAGCTGGGATCAGCTTGTTCATCAGCAAAGTTTCCCTAAAATGTTTCAGTATAATCGAAGCTTTTGATCTTGCGTACGCTGAAAGAAAAAGAAACTTACTCCAAGTCCATCATAAACTGCTTGATGGACTTCTAGTTTAGGTTTTGCGCCTTTCGGTGCTGGCGCGGCTTCTGCTACTGGCGCTGCTTCTGGTACTGACGCTGGTTCTGATATTGGCGCTCCTTTTGGAGCAGGTGCGTATTCAGAATCCTTAAAAAAGCCAATTTTCTAAAGCATTTTAACTCTTCAATATTGTGTTAGCAATAGTGCGTACGCATATGTGATTAAAATTAGGCACTGATTGTGGGTAAAAGGCTAACTGTGTAACTTAGACGAGCTTCGGTGTCAAGAAACGATAAAACGTTCCCGGCTTTTCAGGAAGTTTGTGAGAAGGTATTGTGCTTCTGTACTTACTGAAATTTCGCGGGTTTTGCGCCGGCTGATACCCCATGGATGTTTATGAATTCCATTTGAAATGCCATGTATACCCCGGCCTACGTAGCCCTCATGCCGAAACTTAATAGCTCGTTTACTGACCTGTTTTGCTGGAGTATCAACCTTTGGTGCAGAATCGTATTGGCAACTTGCTACGGTAATTATGGCTAGAAGAATTAGGCTTGAAGTTGTTGCATGCATGCTGAAAATGTAAATTTGATTTTCTGAAAGCGTACTGGTATGCGATTTGTATTAGTCAAAAATTAGTAGATATAAGACAGGGGTATGCAAAGTTGGTGGTTATTTAAAAATTGATGTAGTATAAAGCAAGAAAACGGTTGCTTATCATGTTACGAACAGTTAAAGGGTTTGTAATTAAACGATTTGATACCTTACCTGATGATAATTTGACACCTAGCGTCAATACCAAGTCATCGAATTGCCATTACCTTTTTAAAGTCATAGGTTTGGTCCGCCCACATTGAATTTTTTGTAGCTACGTTTTAAAACTTTATTGAATATGACATCAAAGGATTTGTATTCACGTGAGGTCATCAAACCTGTTTTACATAATCCTGTAGATTTGACTAAAGTGAGCTACTATCTGACACTCTTATTGAATATTTCATTATCCAAAGACAATTTAAATGTTGAAAATTTTGGATGTTTGCGTTTTTTAAATTGCGCAAGAGAATTATTAAAAAAATATTTTTAAAAGTTATGAAATCTTTTTTATATATAAATGTCTATTGATCGGCTAAAATCTTTTTTTTTAAATACATGTTTCTTCATTAAACTTTTTTTGTAACAAATCTTTTATTTTTTTCGTAAAAACGAGCGTTTCGTCGTGTTTCCGTATGAATTTTACTTTACAACCATGTCAAATACTACTTACAAATTAAAGATGCTTGTGAAACAATTACAAAGTCAAACGACAGTGATAAAAAGTTTCTCGGAGAAGTTGTATTACAGTAAAGTAGTTTGTAAACAAATATAAAATTGATCACAGTAAAGTTTTAGGATATGAGATTTTTGAATCTTTGCGACATGCAAAATCTGGTAAAACTACATTATACTAAAACATTTTGATTTAGACAAATGTCCGACGATCAGAAGGAAATGGGCACTCTGGTAATGTACATACTGTTGAGAAAAGACTTGCAAACTTCGTTGAAATGGCCGATTGGTGCGTTATGTTCCCAAGCTGCGCACGCTGCTACAGCATGTCTTTGGTCTTTTAAGGATGATCCGGATGTGGTCTCGTACATGAAGGATATGGACAGCATGCACAAAATTACTTTGGCTGTAAGTGCCTAATTTTTTTTGATTGTTATATACGCTTTTTAGCCGCTTTTTTTGGGGTACAAATGGTTTTTTTAAACCTTAAAAGCAATTTTTAGTGTTTCAAGTTTTATTTTAATAGTTTTTGTTTTAGGTTGAGGACGAAGACATGCTAAAATCGTTGGCGGCCAAGCTGGAAAGCGAAAAAGTGCAGCACAAGGTATGGATTGAAGATAACATGCCGGTGTGTATTGCCATCAAACCCCAGCCACGTTCGCCATTAAAGCCACTGCTGAGCCGTCTACAATTGTACAAGTGATCTTTTAGATAATTTATCACAACACATATTCCTTTTTGAAACATATTCCATTAATGTTATTAAATTGGCAAGATTTTGCGTATTTATTGGATTGTTATCTTAATTTACCTACCTTAAATTTAACTTTCGTAATGATTTATTAATGCTCGACATATAAAAATTTTACACTTGTCAATGTACTATATCAGACATTTTAAATTTCAATTTATTTACCTATACGTTATACCACATTATTTAATAAATTTAAACGTGAAAATCTGTAAGAAAAAATAAAAAATGATGTAAATTGTAACCAAAACATTAAACTGGGATGGAAAATAAAAGAATTCAAATCTACTGTAGTATATTAGCGATTTTGCTAATTAGGCAGACATGCAAAATGATTGGTACATCGCCCGTTGAAGACAACAATATCATTTATAGACCGTGTTAGCCTTGATGCCAACTTTAAACATTAAAAAGACCACGTTGATCTCAATTTTATTCAAAGTAATCCGTTAATGTATTAAAAGTAAGCATGCAAGTACATATACCCACAGTACCAACTTAAATATAATTAAAAAACAATGCTAAGAAACTCAATATACAATAAGATAAAAAAACTTCGTATTTTATACGTTTTTATACGTGTGCAGGATATAAAATAAGATAAATGATATAAAAACACCCTTTTTTAAACGTTTACGTTTTGAGACCTTTAACGAGTAATTACACAGAAGAAAAAGTAAAGATTTCTATATTAAGTATCTCACAAGCAGGATATTAAGTATCTCACAAGCAGGGACGTCGTTTGGGGGGTGGTTCGGGGTGACTCCCCCCCAGATCCGAAAAAAAATCCACAGGACCTGTACGTGAAAAAACGACCTGTACGTGAAAAAACTCCCCCCCCCCAGAGAAAAACCGTAGCGACGTCCCTGCTCACAAGGTAAAGAAGCATTATATATATAATATATTGAAACCGCACCAAAAAAAGAGGTTTCAAAAAGATGCAAACTGCACCATACGATGTGAAATATAGTACTCATTACAGACGAAACCAAATAAATCGATGTTAAAAAGTATAAAGTTGAATGCATAATGTAAATTTAGATGATTGAGTATGCTTAGACTGCGGCCACCGTTCCGTTAATGCCGTTTGTCGGTGGAATCATAGCGTTTTGGTTCATAAATCCGTTTTGTTGTTGTTGTTGATCTTCGTTTTGAACATCAATCACAAGACCGCCTTCATCCGACTTGTCTGACTTAGCGGAATTGGAAGTGGGACGGGACTGCTACAAAAAAAAAAGATTTATAAAAATAAAGAAGAAGCCAGAATTAGTATAAAACCGAATACATAATGATTTTGTAACAAAACCTTTGTTATGAAGCCATGAAATTTGCCGAATAACCGCGTAAACGTATATAGCACAGCCGTATAACTTTAGCTCTTACATACACAAAATAAAATCAAATAACAAATCCTTACCGGCTCTTCCATTTTTGGTCGTTTAGGCAGAGGTGTTCCACTAGTCGATCCACTGCGAGACGAAGCGGCCCGTTGGAACGGTGATGCGGCCCCATTATGAGCAGCAATCGTAGCCGATGACATTGGTGTCGTCGGCAACTGAGCGTGAGTACTGATCGGAGTCGATATCATTGGAAGCTTTTGTTGACCCGACTGTTGCTGTAACGCGGCCATTGAACTTGGTGGTATAGATCCGGCCGCGGCCATCAGTTGAGCTGCTGCTGGGTTGCCCAACATGTTCATTTGAGCCATTTGGGCCATAGCAGCTTGTGCCTGCATTAAGTTGGCCGGAGAGAACTGTTGCATCGCGGCAAATTGTGCCATAAGATCGTTGGGTTTCATGTCCATGCTCATCATGGCCATTAATTGGGGTGGAACATTACTCATACTACTCATTGCTTGCATAAGTTGTTGTTGTTGTTGAAGTTGTATTATGTCCTGAAATAAATTGTTAATTTAATATCTAAATAAAAAAGATATTTAAAATTTTTTTTGTCAAAATCATAAAATCGATTTTATTATGTCATTTCCGCTTATAGCCAAACTTTCCAAACCCTTCGCAAGGATCATCAGCTCTTAGCCGAAAATCAAAGGCATAAAGGCTTGACGAAGAGATAATCCGCCTTCTCTTAACCCTTCCGAGCAGATTATCTCCTAATGGATCAAATCCCTCCACTTATTTTCGGTACAGTGTAATAAACAAGATATGTTCCCGCGTATTATCGGATAGGGCCACAAAATTGGCAACTTTTAGCGGAAATGAGGTTTAAGAAAGCTTTGCAAAACGGTGTTATTAAAGTATTGAAAACGCAAAACAGAGATTTAATTTCTAGACCATGAAAAAGCTAAAAATCAAAGTGGACTAAAATTTTATACCTAAACATAAAGTAAATTTAAATTTGATACCTAAACATAACATAAAAAGACATATACTATTTAGAATTATAAAACTATTATCAAAAACCACATTTGCAAAAAAACTATAAATACAATGTAAAATTCAAGTCTTACCTGAGTGCTAACTTTCATTGCACTTTCCATATGCCTTCCCAAATTTAGCTGCTGTTCCTGCGTCAAATGCAAAGCATACTGTTGAATAACTTGTTGCAAACGTCGATTAATCTCACTTTGTCGAGCAACCTCTACCTGGAGATTCCCACTTTGTAACGCTGCTTCTTGAGCCTGCTTTTGAAACATGTTCAGCTCCTGTGCCTTCTTCTCATTATCGCTTTTCAACTTGTTGTTTTGGGTCTGTAGTTGTTGAAATTCCTTCTTCAAATGCTCTAAATACTCGAAAAAGCTGCCCATATTGATGGTGGTGTGTTGATGAATCCTTCGCCGGACAACTTCCGGGTCGTACGTTGGACCTCTAACCATAATATTATTATTAAAGAAAATAGTCAATAAGGAAACCAGAACGCGTAAAAATTTGACAAAGTCGAATATAAAAAGTAAATGTATAATATAGAAAGAATTATTATAAGGTTTGCAGAAATTCAGTCAAAATTTCTAAAAAAATGAATTAATTAGAAAATGTAGACGTTGCGAGACCAATTATTGGCATTTCGTCGCAAGAAAATAGAAAAAAATAGCTTTAAAAGTAGGGCCAAATACACTTCTGCTGGTAAATACGGTTGAGATAGTAAAATGGGACTGCGATACTAAAGAGTAGAGGGATTATAAACGGATATAAAAAAAGGCCTCTGACTATTTAAATGATATTTCCACATACGTAATTACGAATGTATAATATGTACGGCTGACCAAAGGGTTTCCGAATATCCGGTCGACAATGTAAATATGTTTTCAATGACATCTGTATATTGTGCGGGCAAAATAAATAATGAGTACATCTGGAAAGATTAAAGAAAATTTTCAAAAAATGAACACAGATTTATATAGTATCTTAAAGATTTATAAAGACGTCGTTTAACCGGGTTTTACAAATGTGATGTTATACATAGCAAACAAGATGATTGGCAACGGGGAAAGAATTCTTTGAGTTCATACTTTAATGCGTTTAATTTTACTTTTATTGAAAAAAAAACAAAAATTCAAAAAATTAAAAGTGCGAAAAAACAAAATATTCTGAATTACACCCAAGGTTTGCAAATATATATATATGCATCTCATAATAATATAAACACTCGCATTTATTAATAATTGCAGGATATACATGTTATATGGGTCTGAGCAAACAAAGAACACGATAAAATCCAGTGTGGATGGCGCGTTGTCGAAGGAAGACTGATATGTGCTTTACATAACGTAATATAAAGTAAGTATACAACGGGGTGAAATTGCGCAGTTTATGTAAAGGTTTGAAGGGGGGGGGGAAGGGGATGGTCAACATGTGGCGGCCTGTTGAATGATGAGGTAAACAATAGCTTCAGAGAAATTAGGCATAGTTAATTCTTCACAGGTCTGACAAGTGAAGAATGCTAAAGATGGGCCTCAAAACATACGTTTTTAAAATATCTCGTACGTTAATGAAAATAGATTAAACTATATAAAAAGAAGACAACACTAAAACAAAACCAAATTACTATCTTAATACAATTGCTAAATTTAGTCAACACTATCAATTAATTGTCAAGTAGGTATTTCATGCAATAACATACTGTCACGAGGCATAGTTGACATTAATTAATAGTATAAAACGGCTTTAAAAGTTTTGTATAGTAGGCTTTTGCGAAATAAGTTTTTTATTTTCTATATACAAGTATTGTTTTACAACTAGTATACTACTTTCGTACAAGAGTTACATACCCAAAAGAGGGCAGCTGGTGAATTCATAGATTAAAAGGCAATAAAATAATGTACAAAATTGTAAAACACATATGTCGTCGTAAAAATGTCATATGATATAAATCCGTTGGCAATTAAATGTTTCAGAAATTTGTAACGAAAATTGTATAAAATCCGTGGCGAAAGAAGTAGATAATAGCTTGAAATTTAAAACAATAAGTTCAACAGTCATATAGACGGAGATTTTTCTCAGCGTTGAAAATAGTGCCAATAATTGTTCTTAGGTTATTGTACCTCAAGAAACACAATTGTCGCCTAATAAGTTCTACAAGTCAAACGACGTCATTGATATTTAACATACGTCATAAAATGGGTCAAGAAGTTATAAAAAAATATTTTCTATGCTCGCTGAATTCACCACAAAAATTATTTTAGATACGATGGTGTTTTTCCCATTAGGCTCCCAAACGCGATGGATATCACATGCTACCCTAAAAACTGAAACCAACCTCATAAATTTTGAATATTTTGTTAATAGCAATATCCTCAAGCTTGACCGTTTTTCTCTTACCTAACCGATTTCAGCAAAAAAAGGCTACCCCTACAAAGTGACATACCAACCCTCAGCCCGTCTTAAGTGCCCTCTTCTGCAAACCATTCTGTTCGCATCACCTTGCCCGGCGTTAACCCCACCAAGTTAACTCGCCCTCTTCTCCTAGCGCCGATCGTAAAATGTTACTTAAGAGCCCTTAAAAGTTGCGTGAATGGCATAAGGGTTAATTTTTATGACTTTACAACTGGTCCTGTTTATCGACCGACGGGACGCGATAAAAGAGTTTGGATGCGATTGCAACAACTGTCGCACCTTAGTATTATGCAAGACGATTTAGAGCGCAAGCGACATTATTATACATAAAAAGTGATTTTTTAGATAAGATTAATATGTCAAAACTGCTGTATTTTTCCTATAATCTTTTTATCAAAACAACCTTAAAAAAATAATAGTTAGAAATAGCTTAAGTAAGACTTTCAAATGCTAGTTTGAAGATGCATTAAATTGTTAATTAAGTCATTAAAATATAGTACCTACTTAAAGTATCGAGAAAGCGAAGAACTTGTGGCACTTAAGTGTCTTTGAAGAGACTTTACTGCAACTTTGAAAACATGCGTTTGTAAATAATGACAGTGCATTATCGCAAAGTAGTACTCCAGCAGACCGAAAACTTAACTGTAGTGATAGAAATAGTAAAAACCTTAAAACAGCACCAAGACATTTGCATAAGATGACAAAAAACTTGGAAACCAATTATTAAATTAAACATAAAATGATTATAAACCTATCAATTAGTTCACTTTATCTATCAATAGTTCACTTTTAAAATCCACCCCTTCTCGGCTCCAATTTATTGAGCAATAAACATTTAATTCTACCCTACCACTTTTTATCTACAATAATTCTACCCTCGCCACACATTAAAAACAAAAGCCGTGTCATCTTCACCCCCATTGAAACAGGAAAGAAGTCTCGAATCAATTTTCTCGTGCACCTGCCGCAAAAGTAAAATTAACCCTCGATTTAATCCGAGATCCTTTGTGACCTTCGCGCGTTAGGGAAGAAAGCGCATAGAATAGGAAAAAAGATGGGGGAGGGGGCAGGAAAAGTAGTGGGGAACGACAAGGAGATCTTCATCTTCCCCATTCATCTTTTTCCCTTTTCTTCTTCCGACTGACCGAAGTGAGTTATGCCGAAAAATAAAACATAAATAGACAAGAAAGTGGCGCGATAAAACGGGGCGTGGCACTCGTTTATTGCGCAAGTCTGCCGGAGGGAATTAATTTTCAAACAGCAACCAAATTACACCGTCTTCTTGCGAGGATGGACCCAGTACGGGAGCAAGTCATGAAGAATTCAAGTTAAAATATTATGTTGAGGAATAGGGTAGGCACCTACTCCACAATGATTTTATTTTTAAAAAATGCGTAAACTGCACAAGACACAGATAGGCAAATGCGTATATTATTCTCAGGACAAAACGTGTTTAAAAAACCACAAAAAATGCTCAAACACTATTGGCGTTCTGTCGCAAAAAGCATCAAAAATCAGCCAAATTCAATTAAAAATTTTTTTGCAAAAATGCGGGCAGTCAGCAACAATCGTCAAAAAACAATCAACTCGCAAATTCTCGCTAATTCTATAAACTTTTGTCTTATACTTAATCTGTCTTAAAGTCCTCCCAAAAACACACCATGCCCCCATCATCTTCGGCTCGCTGCTCATCATAACGCTCTGCTATTGTCATGGGAATGTCATGCTCGTAAAAAAAGACAAAAAGCCACCAAATATTCAAATTAAGCGGCACAGACTGTAATTATTCCATCTGTTTTGTGCCGGATTATAATCATGATGACAGCCATAATTAAGTGCGTAATAATAGGCGCTTCAACTGGATTGTGTGCAATTACTCTGCACATACCACACATTCTCAAGGTAACCGGATAAAGTTGCGAACGGATAAAAGGTTGCAACATATAAGATGAAGGGGAGTAATGGTGATAATTTTTGGAAAATTATACCCACAGAAACACTTAACATTGATAAATTATTTATGAGTTAAATCTATAGCGACAATAAGTTTAAAAGTCGTTCAAGCGATACAAATCTGAATAAACAGCGATAAAAATCTGGTGACCTCAAAGTGAACAGCAGGAGAGAAACGAAAGATTAAGAGTAGAGAATTCCAGTGAGTTACGAGAACAAGCAACTTGTAAAATAAACCGCAACGTTTTCCCATTTTATGTTACAGTATAATTACGCTAAAAGTAAAAAAATTTTAATTCATTAAAAAACCAAACTCGAACCATCAAAAATTGATACAAATTTTAAAACCCTTTTCATAAAAAGTTTTCTTATACACGTCTCAATGTTGGCATAGAAGCAAATTGGCATAAATAGAAATGTGAGAGAAGTAATTATTACTAACGACCCGAATATGCAAACAGTCAGATAAAAAATGCACCGCCAATAATAAACATGGCTATCAGATAAACAAACATCGTCAACTCACTTAATAACCACTTCTTTTCAGAGCTTAACAAACATTCGAAACGGTAAATGCGCTTTAAATGAAAAGTAGGTAAATAATGCCTTTGACTTCATTAGAACTGAATTTTTTTAGTAATCAAAAAAATATTTCCGTAAAATCAGCAAATAAAAACATATTTTTTTGTTTTTCTCTATTATTAATTACAATACTTTTGACTTGAAAATCCTTTTTTCACACCTTTCAAAATGTCCCATCAACTCACAAGGCAATTAGCGCCACACTTAACCCAATTCAAAAAAAATTAACGCAAGAAATTATAAATTAGTCGCAAATTAAGTGGAAAATTGAGCAAATAAAACAAAAAAGAGAGAGGAGAAGAAACAAAAGTGTGATGATGTTGTATTCAGGTCATCGTCCCTTCAAATCCGTGTTTATTCAGCGGATTTAATGCGCGAAAAAAATTCGCTGCAAAACAAATATAACCCTTGTGTGCATTTTGAAAAAGGTAGCTCGGATTTGTTTTTCACTAATTACGCATCGGGCTTAATATGTTTCCGCCATCCGTACAGACAATAGAAGAAGAAC